GGGCCGCCTGTTCTTCGGCTTCGCGAGCAAGACGCTCAGCTTCACGGGCTGCTTGCTCCTCGGCTCGTTTCGTCGCCTTGGCCTGAAGCTGAGTCAACCTCTGCTCTAGCTTACCTGACAAGCCCATGAACGAATTATTCTTCTTGTCAAGCAGTTGAGCTATTTCCCGCTCTTCTTCAGCAATGGCGGCAGCTTCTTTCGCCTCCTTTTCCTCCTTTTCCTCCCGGGCCGCTCGCTCTGCTGCTTCTTTAGCTTCCTCTTCAGCCTCTCGAGCGGCCTGTTCCTCTGCCTCTTTAGCAGCTTGCTCCTTCTCTTCACGAGCAGCCCGTTCTGCGTCGTGGGCTGCTTTCTCTTTGGCGCGCCTTATTGCGCTTCTCTGGAGTTCAATAAGCCTCTCATCCTCCTTTTTGAGCAGCTTGCCTCCCCTTTTAGCTCTCTTTGCTTTTAGCGCGGCCAACTCCTCCTCCTCTGCAGCAGCGACAGCAGCAAGAGCGGCTGCCTGTTCTTCTGCTTCGCGGGCCCGTATTTCAGCTTCACGAGCTGCCTCTTCCGCTTCTTTAGCAGCTTGCTCTTCCGCCCGTTTTGCAGCATTTTCTTCAAGTATAGCAAGCCTATCCTCGTCTTTTCGAAGGAGCCGACCTGCTCTCTTGGATCTCTTCTCTCTCAACGCAGCTAATTCTTTTTCTTCTGCGGCAAGAGCAGCAGCTTGTTCTTCTTCCTCGCGAGCTGCTTCGTTTGCTTCCCGGGCTGCTTCCTCTGCCTCGCGGGCAGCTTTCTCCTCTGCTTCCTGGGCGGCTTGCTTCTCCTCTCGGGCAATCCGTTCGGCTTCTTCGGCTGCTCGTTCGGCTTCCCGTGCTTTTCGTTCTCTCTCGCGTTTTGCGGCACTTACCCGAAGAGTGACAAGCCTCTCCTCTTCTTTCCTAGAAAACTTACCTTTTCTCTCCTTCTTTGCCAGCAGGCCGGCCAATTCCTCTTCTTCCTCCTTGATAATGGCGGCGGCTCGCTCTTCTGCTTTTCGGGTAGCCCGCTCTCGTTCCTCAGCCTCGCGGTCGGCTTGCTGCTGATCATCGTCTCCTGCTTCGGTCGCTGCGACGGCTTTGGCGTCTTCCGTTTCGTCGACAGCCTCGACTTCCGGTTCGTCCGCTGCTGGCTCTTGGGCTTCCTTAGCAGCTTGCTCTTGTGCTTCGCGAGCGGCGCGTCTTTCGGAGCGTTTGGCGGCAGCTTCTCGAAGCTGGGTAAGCTTTTCTTCATCCTTCCTAGGTAGCTTGCCCTTTCTATTCTTCTTCGTAACCAAGGCTTTGATTTCCGCTTCATCGGCGATGGCGGCAGCTTGTTCCTCTGCTTCGCGAGCAGCCCGTTCTTCTGCTTCTCGCGCCGCTTGCTCTTCAGCCTCTCTGCGAGCAGCTTCTTCAGCCTCTCTGGCTGCCTGCTCCTCGGCAGCTCTCTTCTCAGCCTCTCTTGCCTTGGCTTCTCGCGCAGCTCGTTCCTCGGCCCGTTTTGCGACGCTCTGCTGCAGGAAAATGAGTCTGGTCTGATCCGTTTTCAGCAACCTACCCCTCTTGTTTTTCTTGTCCGTGAGCGCAGCTATTTCTCCTTGCTCCTTGGCTTCAAGAGCGGCCTCTGCCTTGGCTTGTGCTTCCTCCTCAAGTCTAGCCTTCTCCTTCTCCTGTTCGAGTCTTTTCAGGTCTTTTTCGGTCAGCTTAGGCGCTTTCGATCTAGGAGTTGTGGCGGCATCGGGATCTGCTGCTTCCATTTCAGATTCAGTAGGGTCCATGGAAGGGGGTGTTGGCGCACGAGGAGGTGGATCAGCCAAGGCCTCCTTCTGGGATTTCGACATTGCCCTGCCGGACTTTGTCCAAACAAAGCTGTCGACATCCTCAACCTTGCTGCCCCTGACCTCCTCTACGTCGTCAGGATGGACAATCTCACCAGTAGTCTCGCCCACAACCTCAATCGGACTCTTGAAACTCTGCTTCTTCTTGTCCTGGATCGGAGTGCGGTCGGTCGGTCCTTCGATGCCATCGGGCTTCCACGACGAATCGCTTCGCTTCTTATCGCTCTTACCAATACCCCAAGAACCGAAGAAGTCTACACCGCCACCAAATGCGTCCGTCGTGTCCAGCCCTGTAGCGTTAGCATCATCTGCAAGTGGCGGATTGTCCAAGGCGCCTAGCCGAACCAAATCAGTGCTCCCTTTCTTTTTGACCTTTTTAGAGTCCAAGACGTCTTCATTCCTAGACTTTGGGGCTTTGGAATCACCTTTGGACGGATCAGAAGCTGATGGCTTCTTCTTCTTGTCCTTTTCCCCTTTACTTGTCAAGCCGCCATCAATGCGCTCTCCAGAAGACTTGGGACTTTGCGTTTCCGCCTTGTGAGAACCTTCGTCTACGCCGGACTCTGTAAATGAATCGCCCTTCTTTTTGCCTGCGAAGCTCCAGAAGCTCCAGCTTCCCTCGTCTTGATCAGTTTTGTCGAGTCCATCTGACGTTTCGTTGCCGTTTATACGTTTGTGTTGATCGGGAATAGGTATGGGAAGCTTTGATGGGATTGGTTCGTCAGTCAAGCCTGACTTGGTTGTCGTCTTCCTCTTGTCTTTGTCCTTGCTATCCTTCTCTCTCTCCTTCTCTCTCTTATCCTCTTTGGACGATTTTTTGGCAGTATAGTCGTCCACTGGAGGTGGCGCAACCTTAAGTTTAGGCTTAGTTTCGGGTTCTGGCACGGCTATAATGTCGGGCTGTGCTCCCTTCTCTCTCTTCTTCTTCTTCTCCTTCGATCCAGATCCAGCCCAGACATTCTCGGTGAGTTGCGCTGCTTCTGCGGATGGTAGAGGTGGCACGGGAGGGGGCGGCGGTGGCGGTGGTATTTCTTCAGCTGGCCTGACACTCTCTTCGGCCTTCTTCTTATTCTTCCCCAGTCCCCAAAATGACCAACCCTCATCTTCCTTTTTCGCCGCTTCCTGCCTGGACGTTGGCTTAGGCTGCGGCATGGGATCTGACTTGTCTTCGTCCTCTGCTAATGAATCGCGTGCTTTCTTGGTCTTCGTCTCTTTGGTGTCCTCTTTGCCTGCGAGGTCGTCATTTACTGCTGGCGCTGGAGCAGCGACAGATGCAGATGCGGGATCGTTCTTTTTGCTCTTTTTCTTGGACGGATACTGATATCCCCATGGGTCCTCGTCCCCATTTACAGCATCCTGGGGAGTCTCTGCTTGTTTTTTGGTCCTGCTCTGTGTCGCATCGGTGTCGGCGACTGAAAATGCTAAAGATGCTGATTGTTTCGGGTTGCTGGTGCTCCAAGGGTTGCTCTCAAGGCTGCTCTTCTTGTCGCCAGTGTCGTCGGTATGGGCATCGTTACCACTCAAGGATCCGCTGACGCCCCAACCACCAAGCGATGCGATTTTGGTGCGAATAGCGGCCCCAATCCCACTCTCAGACTCTGGCGCGTGCGACCCAGAACTAGCGCTTTTCCCACCGTCGTCGTTTAGATTTACGTTGTCAAGAGTGCCGTCGTCGAACGCGTTGGTTGGAGGAGGAGGAGATTCGGTTCCCGTTCCTTTTTGGGACTTATCCTTTTTCTTGCTCTTGGGAGTGGCCGACAAATCATGTTCCGCGTTGTCATTGTTTACACCCCTGTCCGGATCCTTGCCCCCATCACCGCCACCACCATTATTTCCGTCACCTGCAGCTCCGCCCTGGTCTGCATTGCTACCACCACCACCCTGATCCCCACCGCCATTTCTGTCGGGGTTCTGGTTACCTTCCCTGGATCCCTCTGGGAGCCTACCGTTGCTGGCGCTGCCATTTGCCCCTCCCTTTTTCTTATTCTTGCCTTTGCGACAGACGACTCCGTCTTCAGAAGCGAAATCAATTTCTATTTCGTCGAGAATCGGATCGCCGAGGATGCTGGGACGAGATCGCTGGCGTCGCTCCGATTGGCGGGGGGCCGGGGACGATCGAGGAATGGACCTGGCGCATGACCCTTTCCGGCGAGCAGGCGAGTCGGCGTGGCGAGGCTCTGTAACATGATGGGCTGAAGAAATCGCTGCGAGCCTTGCATGATGTCGAGCGACTCGCTGTGGGAAAGAATCAGGAACTACTAGTGGTCTGCCTTCCTGCTGTGATGTGCCTTTTGAGAACAATCGATGCTATAAGTCCCAAGTCAACACCGTGAACGAGAACGAAGATGCCTATATATAATGCTTGAGCTTCCTCTCTGCAGGTGTCAATACGCACCTCTCCGCATTTGATCCAAGCTCGAGATATAAGTCGCAGCCGGGCCTGGAGATTGCGCTCATCCCACGCAATATCTGACTGCTTGGTGATGGACTGACTCTCCGCGCATCTCCTCCACGGCAGCTGACTATACGCCAAGACATCGGCAGCTGCCATTGTTACAATGGAAGCTGGTGCGATGAAACGGCTGTTTTGCAGTCATGGAAGCTATGCACTCGCAGAGAGCAGAAAAATGAGAGATGAAGACGAAAAGTCACTGAATAAAAACTCGAGCTCCCTTTGTGAACGCTGGGGGTCCCTGTGCAAGGGAATGAAGGGAGGAAAACTGATTCGAGGCGCCCACACTTGATGTCGATCGCACTGTTGGGTGAAATAAGACAGAAATGAAGGCGAAAATTCGATATCGTGGACGGAGAAGAGAGAATATGATGTCGAACAGCGCGCGCGCCGGAGTTCCTGAATAGAAAGTGATGGTGATATTTTTGGTCGAGGGCCTAATGCCTGTAGCCGTGTAAGTTGTGCTGCCACACCAAGTTTTATCTTCAACAACCACAACAACCCACCGGTATATGAATTGACAAGACAGAACAAAAAAAAAAGCAAAAAAAAAAAAGGGCAAAAAGACAGAGAAGAGAGAGAAGAAAGAGAAGTTTAAAAAAAAAAAAACAGCGGGGGTACCGACAGAGTAGGGATGACAGTTCTATCACAAAATGTGCTGTATAAGCTGAGTCTGAACTTTTTTTTTAATTCTGTTTTTTTTTTTTTTTTTTTCTGTTTGGGCACTAGCTGCAGCATCCGGTGAAGCGTCGCAAGCGCAGCTACCGGCAGCTAAGATAACTGATAGATACCTGGTCCGGCAGTAGTGATCATGTACGATGGGATAAGAGGGCACCTTGGTAGCGGCAATGGCTGGCGATCTCGAGCCGCGCCGGCCGCCTCGTTTCTCCAGGTTTGCCCCCTCCCAACTGCTCAAAAGTACTGGGTACAAGGTAGGGACAAGGCGAGTTGTATTGAGGTTGTGTAAGGTGCCTTATATCTGCAGTTTAAAAAGTGCTGCAATAAGTGATTAGGCGGAGTAAAGCTAGCCAATATGGAATAGTAGTAGATCCATGAGAGTCCGGATTGTAAAAGACACGGCCAAGATACGTGGGATGGATAATGGGCGGCCCTCGATCAAGCATTCCAGACGATGCTATTCGCAGAGGAACAGCCAATGGAGCCATAGAAGGCGCGCGCCGGGCAAGTGACTAGCCAACGAGTAGAGAATTGGATACTTCTTAGGCCAGGCGAGGCGAGGCGATGATGCGGAGAGGCCAATGATGGTCGTGTCTTTGCCCTGGAATCGCCACTTCAACGGAGACAAGAGGCCGTATCTCAGCTTGATGTCGCACAAGGGCGTCGTGAGGGCTGCGAATTCACACCCTCTTGCTGAGTTCGCCGCGCGGGACGCCCTCCTCCATGGGCGACGGGTATCCAGGAGAGGCTGCCGGCAAGAGATGGTGCGCGACGCGGCGTCTGGAGTGCCTCTTTTGGGTGCTACGTGCTACTAATAGACGGCGCGGAGTGTCTGATAGTATGGAGGTCAAATACATCAATGCAATAGTCTACATGGTGTCTAGGCGGGCGCTGCTGAGAGGCAGATCTGGTAGGCATTACGGGATGTCAGTATGTGCCATCAATACCTTATCACTGAGGCGATATCACACCCCGTGCCAGAGAAGCAATAATGCAGCGACAGCATTTGATATGCGACTCAGTGGAGAATGGGGAGCGACTTGCCGAGAGCTACCAAATAGTCTCGTACACATACATGGACAACTGTTGTGCGCAGTGTCTCTTATCTGTGTCTCACTCACGCATGTGAAAGCATATAAACATCAAAAGATGCATGTTGGAGGTACCTGGTACGTTGAAACTGGGTACCACCAGGCTGGCCTACGACAGACGAGCTCGAGCCCTCGTGGGACATGCCAGAGCTTACAAGGGATGCTGCTAAGGTTTGGAAGGCGCTTGAGGGCAACAACGTGACACAGACGCTACCGTCATGGCCTCGCTTCCTCCCCTGTCATGTCGTTGACGCGCAGCGCGCAGCGCACAGCGCAGAATCAGAACAGACAGACGGGCAGGTTCGACGGTCGATACACATGAGCAGGTACGCCTCCCACTAATCCCACTAATCCCACCTTCCCGCCAGCACCAGATGCACAAGAGATGCGGCCCGGCCAATCAGGGCGGCGCGCTGGCGGAGGGTTGACCGGGCTGCAGACCCCATTCGCTTGTCACCAGACCCCCAATCTGCCTAGCGGCCTTTTTGAGCTGTCGCCAGAGCTGCAAAGCTGCAGCAGCGCTGCTCCATCTCGCATGCAGTCGCGACCCAGCCTCCCTTGGCTTGCTTAGGTACCTCGTCGGTAGTTTTTGTGGGGAGCTGAGCTTGCTGAGCTGAGGGAAGTTGAAGGAAGTTGCATCCAGCGGCACTTGCAATACATGATGTGTACTTGTATCTTTGTGAGCCATCCATCCCATCTGCTGCACAGAATTCATTGCATGCAATCAGCTGAAATTACACTCGCCACAGCATTGTAGCGGTATTCTCTTGGCCATCTGCAAGCCATGGTCTTGTTTCGTCGCTGCGCCTCATGTACCATGTGCGGGCGTATAAACACCTGCGCATCCCGCTGGCGACTCTGTGTTCATTTGCTTGCTTCTTTACGCTTTTGACTTTGCTCTTTTTTGTCTTCTCACTTCTTCTTCAAACTTTCAACATCATGCGCTATTTGGATCCCTACTAACTTACTGGTGAATTAGTACAGAGTAGCATCTGCAGGGATACGACCAGAGAAGAGCATCTCCATTTACCCGCTAGCACGAAGCATGAAGCAAGCAATCACATAGAGGCTGCCAGTATCACCCAGAGAATAAACCGCCAAAAATGCCATCTACACTACAGCAACAAGAAAAAACCATACGATCCACAAGCGCTCTCCCCACGCTCTCTCAGCACTTCGTCGCCTTCGTGGGCCAAGGCGTCGCGTGACATGTACAGTAGACGCAGGCCCTTGTCCGCCAGCTGCAGCAAAATACGATCAAGAAACAAGAAAAAATCTCGCATATACTTGTACATGCGCATGCGTCTCTGCATGGGCGGGGACGTGCCTTCAAGGTACCCCCTCCGTACATGGATGGCTCTTGTTGGTGGCCACGAGCCCGCTGCCATTGGCTGCCCGGGTCCGCATCGAATCGACATGCCTCACATATACTCCCGTCTCCAACGAGGGCTCACCTCACAGGGTGCATGTACGTGCTACATGGGGCCACAGGGCGGGTGACTGCAGGCCATTCAGGCGTCGTCTGCCTGTCTCTTCACCGCTGGTCAGCTACAGATTGCCTGCTGCTGCTCCCTGCCGCTCATCAGCCCTCAGACATGCCGCCGCCCATCCTCCCAAAGTTGATGCATAATCGCAGCCCTTGACTCTTATCTGACACGTTGAGTCATTTCACATGCTCTGCCCAGCTGCGAGTATACATTGCAGCATTCTCTGTGTACCAGGGACGACTTCTCTTGCCCCTCACTGGCCAGGAGCAAAGCCCCTCCCGATCGCAGATCCTTTGCGGAGCAATATGCGTACTCACAGGCACATGGGCATGAGCAGCCAATATTGCCCAACTGGCACATGTATCCTAGCACGCTGCGCGAAACAGCGCATTTACAGGTCATACAAAAGATAGAGAAGATGCCAAGACAATATTGACGTCGTCAGCTTGGCTGCAGTGTAACGTCGTTCAAAAGAAGAAGAAAATTCAGAGAAGTAGTCGAGACACATGAAAAAAAGATAGTAAAAAGCAGAAAGTTATTTACCACGCCACGCCACATCTGCTGTGCTACGCATGGAGAAGCAGCCTCGAGTAACCCAATATAAACAAGGGCCGCCAGAGCGGTCAAGCCCAATGATTCATCCATTGGTTTATTTCTATTTAAATAAACAGCAAAGTCGGGTTTATTTCCTGTATCTCCCCAGGCTCGCATCACGCCATCAAATTTGGTAGTGTCATGTGCCATGAGAGCCATAAATAATACCCCAGTGTCATCATCGCTACCCTCCCTTCCATTCAGCCAGTGACAAAACAATAGGTACGTGAGAGTAAGCCGATTTCGCTTATTTTAATACTTGAACAAAAATAATGAGGGTAAGTAAAGCTTGTCTTTGGGTTAGGAACCCCCACGGCCCGTTCCTCACGCGTCATGTAATGCAGTAAGTAGGTGGGAGAGGAAGAAGAGTAAAGAGAAGCCTCCATCAAAGTCAACTAAAGCATTTCTTCGTGTACCTAAGAAAAAACATGCATGATAAGCCTTCAGTCTACCTCCGAGCAGACGCTTCTTTTCTTCTATAAATGATAGCTTTCAGTAGATAGAAATTCCCCATATACAGTTGAGTCATCTCTGTACACACGCTATTCTACAGGACACAGCACTGTAATTCGTTACAAGTAAACCCATTTTTTTGTTGTACTTGGAAGCAAGACAAGATCCCTCTCAGATATATATCTACACCCAAAAAAAAAAAAAAAAAAAAAATTCTTTCGAAGATACCCAGCTGTTCAGATTGAAGTAAATGAGATGAGGTAGCCTCACACAAGAACATCATTACATCTCTACTGCCCCCTGTGGTTCCCAGCACCCAAGTGAAAACTCATAGACGAAACTCAAGTACATCAGCAGATACTTTATCTTGCATCTTAATCACAACAGAGCCCAAGTAAATAATATCAACACAATAGAATACAAATGAACAAGGTTTTATTCGGTAAGACTACATCTTATCAATAGCATCACAAAACTAAAAGTGATTTCGCAGGAAGTCAGAGTAACAATAAGCTTCAAAGAGTTGATGGTATCTATGCGACGTGCCGTCTAATAACCCGAGCCATCTCAGAAAGAATTTTCCAAAACAAAAACTAAGCGCATTTAACAAACTCCCAAATGCCGCTTATTCCACGACATAGCCAGGATTGCCGCCTCAGAAGCGAGCTTCAGGGGGGCGGGAGAGTTTGACGCCCTTCTTTGCGGGATGAATAAAGAAACTTTCGAAAAAAAAAAAAATTGTGCTGAAAAAAGGGACAAATGGGGAGATGATGGGGAGGATGGTGGGGAGGATGATGGGGGAGAAGATGGTGAAGAAGACGGTGAAGTAAAATAGGATAGATGTAAGAGATGGAAAAAAGGGATCCAGAGATCCAGAGATCCAAAGAAGTATAAATCAGCGCCCATAATCACTGGTATAGCTCATCTCGGCATAATTTTGATTCATGCCTTCCTCTGGGTATCTTCCAGAGCTACTAATATAGCCACCGTCGTCACCATCGTCGTAGTCGCTGGCATCAAACGATGATCTGCCACTCAACTCATCATCCAGTCCGCCTCCCATGTCTGTCGTTGACCAATTCATCTGCGCCAGTGCTGGATACTGGGCCAACAGGGCCTGTGGGAGGGTATAGTTCCCACTGGCATCCATGGGATAAGCTGGGCCAGTGTCCATCATGACTTGCTGACCAGCCATATTCTGTGCCATATTCTGCTGCATCCGCTCTTCCTGCCACTGGCGCTGCCTTTCTATCATTTCTTCGTCCAGTAGTGGTTTGATGCAGATTCTGCCAGCTTCAGATCGAAAGTGTCTTCCCAAAGCGTCGGCTCGGGCAAATCGCCGGCCACAGCCCCACTGGCCACCAGTTTTCAAGTCCCCCTTGCAAACAAACTTTTTCTCTCCAGAATGCAAGCTTTCATGTCTTTTTCTGTCGTGTTGTCGAGCAAAGGCCTTGCCACAGACTGTACAGACAAACGGTCGCTCGTCAGTGTGAGTGCGCAAGTGGGATCGAAGATTATAGGCGCGCGTGAATCGTTTGGGACACAAATTGCACTGAAATGTAGCCGGGTGCTTCTGCGTGCGCTTGTTGGATCCTGCTTCCTGGCTATTTTGATACTCCGGGTCAGCTAGACGCAAAGCGATTACGTTGTTTGGCACCGAGGACGTCGACTGCCGTCGTCTAGAGGCTGATGATCCCACTGACCCCCTATCGAGAGGAGATAAAGATCGAGACGCATCTGAACGGGCCGTAAGATCAACACCGAGAGACGGCCCTAGATTGTTAGGAGGCAGCATTCCTGGGTGGAACGGGTCAGTAACCGCGCGTGGTCGAGATTTCGGACGGCCTGCATAGACGCATTAATTTTCAACTACATCACACAAGCATGGACAGTTAAATCATGAAACAACTTACCTCGTTCTGGAGGAGTGAGAGAATCTTGATCCATTTGCGACTTGGGCGGCTCAAAGCCAAGTGGTCTTGAATTGGTCGGTGCAAAATCGATATTGATTGCTGGCGGCGCCATTTGGTGCATGTCGCCAGTACCCATGCCACCTTGCAGCGATGGGAAAGTCTCATGATTCGGTTGCAAATCAGGATATCCAGAAGTCCCCTCATACGTGGCATTCGGTGGAATCAGATTAAACGAGGGCTGGATGGTTTCCGGCATTTGTTGAGGCATTAGGCGAGGACTGATTGCAGGGCTATGAGAAGGGCTTCGACCATGATAGCCAGGACTGCCGTGGTCAGCTAGGCTGAATGCTCCAATACCAAGCACCTCCTGGTAGAGACTGGCGTCTGCGGGCCGTTGAAGAGGCGAATGGCCTGATGGGTCAGCGTCAAATGTGTCGGAGCTGATGAGATGTGGCGAAGGAGCGACGGAAGAAACGTCGGAGAACTCCGAAGGCGTTCGTCGATGACCTTGGAACTGAGGTTGAGTCCAGTCGCCAATCTGACTCGGGAGGAGCGCGGCTTCGGGTCCTAAGGAAGCGTTCCTCGAGTGAGTCGATGGCGGCGACGAGAACTGATGTTGGCTGAAGGGAGGCGACTGAAGACTATCTGGCTGGAAGAGCCGTGGAGGGGTTGGAGACTGATGCGAATGCGGGGAGGTCATGGCATTGATATCGCCAAGTGCCGGTTGTTCAAAGAGAGGAGCGTTATAATGATCTCCTTGCTCAGCGCCCGAAGGGAAGAGAGAAAAATCGCCGTCGGGAAGGTTGGGAGAAATATAATTATGTTGCGCCTGGGCGTTCAAAGACGGGGTGGGGTCGGCACCGGTAGCTTGCGGCTGCTGTCCGAAGCTTGCGCTGGGGTCAAAGCCGGTGGTCGAGTCGACAGCGTTGGCCTGGGCGCCGAGGAAGCCGTTGGCGTTGAATGACTCAAAGTTTGGATGAAGAGATGCCGTGAATGCTCGGTGCTGCTGCTGCTGCGGCTGCTGTTGTTGTTGTTGTTGCTGTCGCTGTTGTTGCTGTGATGGATCCAGGCCGACGCCGATACCAAGTCCAAGACCGACGGAAGGCTGATCGCTTGTGGGTGCGAACGGACTCCGAGTCGGCGAGTGGGATTGGTTTATATCAGGCTGCTGAAATTGACTGGCCGACAGCGACCTTCCGCGCTGGGATTCTTGATCCATGATGGCGGCCGAGCACTGGTGCTTCTCGTCTTGCGAGGCAGATTCCACAGTCAGCCTTCCAAGCTACAGCGGGGAGGCTGTGCACTGGCGGCAGCGATGCAAGGTGCTGGGGCGCGGCCCTATCACAACGAGGAACGCGTATAGTGGTGCGAATCACAGTCCGAATAGTGTTTCAGACTCACGGTAGTGGTGGTAGAGAGAACAAGCTGCGACTCGTACTGCCACGGGCGGGCGCGGGTGTCCAGGTACGCGGTGGGTTTGCCGTGGGTATAGGGCTGGACCTGGTCTGGTGCTGCGAGGCGAGGTGATGTTGGCCGGTAGAGTTTGGGAACGGGACTGTATGGGACAGGATGAAGGAGGGGACCTTTCTGGGGGGGGGGGTCTTTTCTCAGTCGGGGCTCGTTCGGGTTGGGCGTCAAATCATCGAGCAGAGACGGGGGACCAGCGAGGCTGTGCAGAGACCGGGACTGCTGCAGTAGAGGAACCTTGTGGCCTCGGTGATACTCGAGAAAAGCGCTGCAGTGACGGCGTCTGACCGGGCTGCTGACGACGCAGTTTTGGAGCCAGGTGCTTCGGGGTTGGTTGATGTCTGGTCAGGCTGGAGACCGGTGATGTAGGAGGCAGAAAGCTATCATGCAAGCGGGATAGCAGGTGAGATCTTTGTTCAGCTCCGGCGCCGCTGGTTCTCGCTAGACGCAAGGCCGGGAGGGCTAGGCACGGTAGCACTGCTGGGGACGAGGCCTGGCCACGCGCTGAAGGACTGCTAAACGCTATTCATGCCCACGCGCAAATCATGCGAGAGAGTTTGCTGCTCGATATGTGTCAGTTACAAGCTTGCAAAAGTGCGCATAGGAGGGTGCGCCATGGAATGCTGGCTGGTTTGGTTCTGGTTACCTGTGCCCAACGAGCGAGATCCGGCACCAGGGCCAGGCTACTATGGAGCACTGCTCTGCGAACTAGCTGTCGACTCGGCCAGGCTATTCTTCAGCTGCCAGCGGTTCGCGCAAATCTGTGGCAGCTCTGGATATTTCGTAATTAGCGGCGTGTCTTGGAGCAGCCATCATGAGAAGAAGGGAAGAGGCCAGCCGCGACCCCGCACAAACTGGGCTGCCATTGGATTGGTGCCCCTCCACAGCGGCAAGGGGCGGACCAGAAAAGAGACCTATTGGGTACTAGCTGGGCTGAGCATCGCTCGAGGGAATCCTGCTAAGGCATGCACTTGGCAGGGCCCAGGCGAGCCACCGCCAAAGTATCCCGCAGGTACCCCCGGCGGCTGGCATGTTCCTCGTCCCAAGGCGTCTGGAATCTCCACCAGCCCACGGAACTGCCCCGAGCTTTTGACGGTTTGTTCTGGAAGGGAAGAATAAGGAAAAAATAAAATAAAAACCAATCCCACATGGGCCGAGTTAGTACCAATGGCAGTACCAATAAGCACCTGCATTTGTCTTAATCATTGCTTTTAAGCTGAGGTCTACCCAGTCTGCGAGTTGCCTATGAAGGCAAGCATCTCTTACTCTAAGTGCTACAAACACCTATTACTACCTCTGCGCTGTTGAACTGCTTGCAACTCATACCTGCGCACTATGAGTCGGTACCCAGCGGAGAAATAACTTGCAAGGGAATCAATCTGCCAGAGATCCACCGCGTTCCATCCATCGCATCGCTCCACAAGCATTTACATGTACAGAAACGATGCTAATCATAGACTGGCAGACTCATCTGCGAGGCTCCCCCCCGCTCATCTCTTAGACGAAAAGCCTCTTTAATTTACACGAGGCTTGACACAACACTACTACAGCCACCATCAATGGCAGACACGTTTAATGAAGGAGCTAAAAACGGCCGGACACGGACATCAAATTCCTGAAACCTGGCATTGGACAATGCCGCCGACACTTGAGTCGATGCACCGTTTTCCTCCCCACATGGGCTTGCGGTGATGACGAGTTTCTGCTCGAGCCCCGGGCCTGGCGCTACGGCGATGCTAAGCTTTTACCCATGCCCAGGGCGTGCGTCTCCGTTTCTGGGACAGACTTGGCCATGTCATGTCATGAACGGCAAAAAACAACCTTATTAGCCCGGTTTAAGATGTAAGGACCGGGGGCTCTGCTCTGCTCTGCTCTGCAGAACATCGAGGAGCTGACGACAACTAGCCCATCCCATGATCACAGATCTACAGTCCAAGCAGCATGAGAGGCAGCGCTCTTGACGCGTCTCAAGCTAAATTTGGATATATTATACGAGATTTCGCGGAGCAAGTGTCCGGAAACGATCTAAACATGTTTTGTTTCCTTCATTCTCGCCCATCTGCAGTATGCTCCAATGTTTCATATGCATCCCAAGAGGGATGTAAGTGATAAGGGCGAATGTGGCTGTGAAGGAGGAGAAAAAAAGATGCCAAAGCAATAAGTAAGTAATACGAAAATAGCATCTTAACCGGGCAAGGGACAAATGCCCGAATAAGCCAAAAAAAAAAAAATTGAGTAAATGGATTAGAGTTTTTGAAACACATGATATAAAGCAAAGCACAGCATTGTCCGCAGCACGTTTCAAGTTGGCATGTCAAACACGAGAAACATAAAAGGCTGTAGCCATTTCCCCATATTATGGAGCAGACCATGGGAAACTGTCATTTAACATCTCCTTACCTTACCTAGTCGGTGCGTTGTTTTTTTTTTATTGTCTGAGGTCCAGTCCATCCTTGCGTCCACAGCCACACCGCAGTGACGTACATATTCTCGGCCATGTTGCAGGGGAGCATTGATTGTGACCTCATCTAAAGACCAAGTTCAGCAATGCACGCGGCGTATGAGGCTATCTAGATCACATGCAGGAAACATTACAAATGAGGGCATGTATAGTTGATAAGGATGTTCAAAAGCAGATTGTTTTACATTCGACATTAGACATCTTGTTAAAGAAAAAAAAATGGTAAACAAACTCTCTTTATTGCTACCAAATGTAGCATAGCCCGTCCCAGAAGCTGCAAATCCTCGGCTCTCGAGAGCCAATCGGCTACCAACCCTCGCCGCAAATCTAGATCCCTTGTTCTATTGGCCAGCGCTTGGACCCTTTTATTCGGATCAGCTTGCAAGGCTCTCCGCAAGGCTTTTTTTTTTTTCCTCCCCTTCTCTCCATATCCACGATGCCGTTCCCTTGCAGCTCGCTATTGCTTGCCCCCTGGGATTTTTAAACGCCTATTCGTTGTACCTTTATTTAGACGATTTAGGAAATGTCCGAATTAAGGGGGGGCCTTCTAGATTGGCACTTTTGCGGGCGCTAAGAATTCCCGTCCTGCCGCTGCGTCTGCCTGTTGTGGACGACACGGTGCCTATTCCGGTCCCATGTAGCGCCCTTTCGGTACCAATAGATGCTACCCTGATACATGCTGCACATGCTCCTCACACTGCAACTCCGGGTATCCTCGTATCATGTAGCCTTGTTACGGAGATTTGAGTTTTAATCGCCAAGTCTAAGCCATGGCAATGATGACCTAAAAGTGATGGCTGCGGGAAATTGAAATCAATTGTCACGGGCACCGTAAATGTCACGTCACTGTAGCCACTCTCGCCTACTGACTGAAATCGACTGATTCAATCTTCATCCTCGTCCCGTCCTCAGTCGTTGGCTGCCTCATCGTTGGCTGCCTCTCATCACATCATTGTGTCTTTTTTGGGGGTAATTACGTTCAGCATTCAGAGCTGTTGTAGCAGAGTCGAGAGAAAATCCTATCCATCTAACTGATCCCAAATTCCAAACGCCAAAGATCCTATGCATTTCTCTCCCAGTTTTACAACCCGGCTTTATTCTAGGCACCCAGTCAATCCAAAGTGATATCCTGTACAAACGCTCCCCCCCCCCCCCAATGTTTACCAAAGTGCAATGGTATTATCAACCATCACAGGCTCGTCCCCTCCCATGTTGATCAAAATGCAATAGTGATGTCAACCATCATTGTTGAGTCCAGTTAAATCACATCCGCACGCTCATAGCCTTGAGGCTTGAGTGCAGGCTTGGGAACCTCCCTGTCTTTGAATTTGCTGACAAAAGGGTTAGGATCCTCAGCCTGGTTGAGGTTACCCAAGGTGTGGTTGACACCTCTGTGGCCTGCCTCGTCGGCTCGAATATACAGGATTAGATCCTTCATAGTGCGGTGACCTTCAGGCATGTGCCAGTACTGCAAGCAAATCTGTTAGCTAAAGTGTTCTCGTCGACCCCCTTTTTCTTTCTTTTGCAATTTATTCAGTTACTTACTTGAACTGCAATATCAGGAATTCGAAACTTCGGGTCCGTCCACCGAGGCAAGTGGCCCTCTTCGATTTCATGAATAGCCCGCGTATAAGTGTGGACTGCTTCTTCCTCCAAGTATCCAACAAATCGATGCACAATCTTGGGGTGTAGAAGATAGGCAACAAAAAGACTGTTGAAGAATACACCCTGGGCTCCGATGATCATGAGCTTCATGAAGAGTCCGGGCTCGCACATGGTCATGAATGTCAAGAGATGCATTCGTTCGTTGTAGCTTTCTTCCAAGAGCGTCTCAATCCAGCCATTATCGCGCTTCATGCCGCGGAGACTCCTCAGGTGGCGAAGCATGCCACCCACCATGCCTGGAACTCCAGCAATGCTTTCAAGGAAAACGAATCTGACAAGCTATTTTGCAAACCCAATGTAAGTTAGCCAGATGTCTTGACATCAATTGTTTGTTTAACTTGCATTGATGCAAACGGGAAAATCATACCCATTGAGCCTCTGTTAGTGGCTTTTCGGCCTCGACCGCCGTCGTTGGGTGCTTCTTATCGACCTGCTGCTTTCTATCCATGCCCGTAGCCTTGTCCATGAAATATCTCGCAAACCGCACAATCTTCCACGCAGCCCAATCACCAAATCCTCGAGGCGGGCGATGTTCCGGCACTACTTGACGGAGCTCTTCCATTGAGTAGCCGGGGTGAGGCCATGCTGCCGGCGTGGTCTTGATGTGAGCGGTGTCTTTGGCGGGGAAGATGTCCTTTAATTGGGAGACTGGCGTCGTCGAGAACGCTCGAATTGTCTGGCTGTAGAGATGGTATGAAGGAGCTGTGGCCCGGCTGGTGCAGCCCAGTCTTCGTGTCAGTGCTGGTTGTGCAGCGAGTCTGTAAGTCGCGTGGCTGTTGACCACGACTTTGGCAAGCTTGACTGCCTGCCTAGGGGCTTCGGTTTGAGTGTAAGTCATGGTGAAAGCTGAATATAGCTGTAGTCGATATCAATGACTGAGTATCAAGTGGTGCTGATAAAATATAGTAATAAGGAACTATGCCACAAGGCTGAATGGTGATGATACAACTGAGCATCCTCTCTGGTCTCTGGGACACTTGATGCTTTATATCAATTGGCTCGGGGCTAAAATAGCTGCAGATGAAAGGAGCAAAATATTACAGGTCAGACGCCTGCTTCGTATTACCACACACATTCTTCGGGTAGCCGTAGCCCTGAGGCTGCCCGTCTCTGGATATCCGCACCCGCAGCAAAGGATATAAGCGGGTTCGCCGTGATTGAGCGCCGATATGCAAGACAGGCACGGCGTCCAATGGGAAAAGACTCAATCAAATTTTTTTATGGTGCCTGGTCATATGCCAGGCAAAAATGCTCGCGGTGATCCCCTATCGCTCTCGGCATCTCTCAGAGTTACGAGGTCCGAACGCACAGGCAAAGCCTCGAGTCGGGATCTTTCGGGAAACCTGTGTAAGTGACTCTTTCGCTTCTCCTTTAACGTTCCGATCAATTTTCGATTTACGCTATGCAGCGAATATTTGCGAATATTTCCTTGCAAATCGAGATGAATCATAACCTGCTCTCCCCGTGCTCCAATTTCCGGTGACCTACGTGTCAGATGCCAGCCGGTGTGTCGTCATAGCAAAAGGATGCGTTACCAAGCGTCTGGATCCCTAGATGAATTTCTCCTTCACTAACAGGGCGACAAAGCTCCACCCATCGCTTATTGACAACATGCGGCACTCGGCGCTAGTCGAGCCGCATTTGGTTCTTCGAAAGAGAATAGTAGTTGCAATTGGTTTCTTTCGCCTCCTATGTGCTCGTCAAGGCGTCAGCAAATAACCAATGCTACTCCAATAGCTATGAGCATAGCCTAAAAGAGCCAGTTATCGGTCCGTATACTGCCTCTTTGTTGCGCAGTGAACTCGCTCTATGGAGCGCATAGGAGCCAACTGGTTGGTCTTGTATGCTAGCCTGGTTACTGCTTACGGACAGTCCGACTAGTGTTAGATTCTCAAACAAAACGCGGCATTCTCCTCTTTCCAAATCCATCGGAGATGCATAATTCTTGTGGGCGCGAGGAGATGCCTTTTCTTCTGGCTGAGAACTATCGACTAGGCGCTTGTTTGGCGCGGGTTGTAAACGCCTCCCGCGTATTAAACCCAAAAAAAAAAAAAAAAAAAAAAATCAAAAAAAAAATCAGGCCATTCTTTGCTTTTACAGCTGCATTAGTTGTATTAAGGTGAAGGCTAGATAGTGTATTAGTAGTACGCTCCCGGCTGCATGGAACTGGACAGGGCTGTTAATAGATGAAAAGATGGAGTAGCTTTGCATCTTCATCAACCTTCCATTATTCTTGTCACTGGTAGAAAAAGTAATCAATTGAATGGGGCACGGTCGAGTCAAAGTCTTCATGCAATTTTTTTTTCTTGGCGTCTTTCTGTGCCTAGATCTTTAAAAATGGAGTTGATTTTTTTTTTTTTTCCACTTTGCGGCAACCTATTGCGGCCGAAAGCGGCACATAAGATAGTATCGGTGCCCAATTTTTACATCCTATATCGAGTTAGTATTATTTAGACTGACAAAGAAATAACGGAGAATTTGTTCTTGAAATAAGGATCAAAACAAAATAAAGATTCTGGCACATACCTCTCAAGCGGCGTCAAGCCAAGCAGCTTCATGCCGTTGGACAGAACAATTCGCGCAGCGTCGTAGAGAGCCATTCGAGCCTTCATCAATTCCTTCTCACTGCCAACCACCTGCAAGTGATCGTAACTGCTGCTCACGGCGTGGCTCATCTTGAATAGGTAAGTGAGCACGGTGGTGGGCTCAAGAGTCTTGAGAGTGTTCTGAACGGTGTCAGGCCACTGTGAGAGCATTCGCACGACGTTAGTGGCATGTTGCTCGGTGAGCAGTGAAAGGTCTGCGCTCAGCAGGTCTTCCTCTGTCAAGTTCGCCCGACGCTTGATGGAACAAAGTCGAGAGTGAGCATACTGCAGGTAGGGACCCGTGTCACCCTCGAACGATGTCATGGCCTCCATGTTAAATGTGTAGTTGTTGATCCTGTAACCATTGATGAGCCCAGTTGAAATCACGAAGCGCCGTCGAACATGGCAACTCACCTCTTTCCACTCATATCCTGAACCATGACACTGCTAATACCGAGGATATCTGCGGTTGCAATTGGGTTCTCGACCTGGGCGTACTTGTCCTGGTTTTTTTTCATGGTCTCATGCATGTGATCTGCGCAGTCCCTCAAGATGTCATCCAAGCTATTGCCGCCTGTATCAGCCAACTGCAAACTACCAACCAATGCGATGGATGAGGGTAAATTGGATGTTGACGAGAAGTACTCACAACTTGACGGTACCCTTCCTGGTGCTCATACCCAGAACCAGGCCGAAGTTAATGTGCTGGCAGCGGTTCGCAATATCCTTGTAGCCAAGCTGTCCAATAATCTCGAAAAGCTGCTTGAGATGGAGATCTTGGGCACTTGCCACAACGTAAATCATGTGATCAAACTTGTATTCTTCATACTATAAAAAGTTAGTAATCTTTCCAAGCCTGGGATAGCATTGCTAATTTGAGTATGGATAATGTGTTTACTTACACGAGCGAGGAGCTCGCAGATATCACGGGTGAGATACAGAGCAGTACCATCCCTCTTTCTGTTAATCCAAATTAGATACTTCGTAATTATGGACCAATGTTGTTGGACGTGAAACATACCGAATAACAGTGACACCAAGTCGCTTTCCTTCTTTGCCAGGGAGAAGCTTGGTGAAATCAACAAGCGTGGCGCCGTTGTCTACTCGGGAAATGTTCTTTTCTTCCATCTCAACAGCAATCTTTGCCATTGCGTCTTCGGAAACCTGGCTCTCACCGCTGTACTTGTCAAAGGCGATGTTGAGTCGGGAATAAGTCTCTATGATATGCATTAGCATTGAATGCGGACGAGGCATCATCGACAGGCAGAGATATCTTACCCTTGTACCGCTTAATACTCAGGTCTCGGAAGATTTTCCATTGCTTGAGCACATCTTCATCCCTGTCCGTCTAGATTAAGAAATGAGTTAGTAATCTAACGATATAGCCTGGAGTACACCCATCACTTACCATACGCTTGAAATACCTGCGAGCTTGCTCATCAAGGCTGTTGGCTTCAAGCTCGGTAACGTCTTTGCCCTCCTTCTTTTGCGCCTCAATGGACTCCTTCTCTGCAGTCATCTCAGAGTTGATTTGTACATAGAGCTTGAAGAGGTGATCAATAGGGTCTTTCTGCAGTGCTTCCTCGTTGCCGTATTTCTCATACGCCAAGGCGAGAAGTCCATACTGCTTGCCCCAGTCTCCCAAGTCTATAAGCGGTCATCAGCATAACTGTTCTTCAGTGATAAAAAGTCTATGGACTAGAAGTAGAGAACATGGTTTATACTAGGGATTGAAGGAGAGTAGAAATGAGCAAGTCCGTGAGAAATTTCACGTGCACATCAAATGGGTCACTTACAGTTAATCCGCACCACATCCCAACCACTGCCTTCGTAAAGGTTTGCCAAGAAGCTACCGATGATGGTTGATCGAAGATGACCGGCATGGAATGGCTTTGCAACATTGGGAGAGCTGAACTCAACGACCTGGAAATCAGTTAGCAGCCATTTAGCTACGTCAGAGCTTGAGCTTGAGCTTACAATGCGCTTCTTGCCCTGCTTCGGGTCTTTAGGGTCCTTCAGACCGTTAAATCGGTTACGGCCTAATGACAGAACAGTAAGTTTCCATACGATGACATGATTCCAAGATGACCAAACATACCATACTCTTCACCAAGATTTCGAATCATCGGAATCAAGGAGTTGGATAGCGGGCCTCCCTTGAGGAAAAAGGACATGAAAGGGCCGCTAGTTGTAGGCTTGTCGAATAGAGGGTCCTCCGTAGGGAACTATCAATGGTTGATGTCAGCTCTAAACGTGCAATGGCCAAGGCTGCTGCTTTGTACCTCTTCGGCCCATTTGGTAGCGAGAGCATCTGGCTTCTGGCCCTTGATCCTCAAAGCTGGAACAGCGAGAACAAAATCACCCTTGTCGAGACCAGTCGTCCAGTTGATGACGGGGAATATGATTTGAGAGTCTACACCAGATATTCCGGCCAAGACATTGCTAAGGTGTGCCCTGTAGAAATCAAGTGGGTTGATTTCTGGATGAGCCTGGGGGTGTTTCTCAGTGATGGAGTCAAGGCTCAAGCCGTTGACCAGCGTTGTCAGCTGGTCGATGCCCGTTGGTTTAGCCATGGCTGAAATGCCTCTTAGACAGCCGGGAGTGGAAGCAGTGAAAGCTGAGTTCCACAGAAAGGCTTTGCAGTTTGGCCGTTGAGTATTTGAGATGTAACGTGTTTGCTGATGCAGGGAAGCAACAGGCCGAGTTGAAGTCGATGGTGGATGAACAAACGGCCTCACGATCCCCGCAGAAGAGAAGCTTAATATACGATGACTCCTTCGACTGGAAGAAATCTGGCAAATCTTCATGAGAGGTGTGAATTTTTGGGGCTTGGTAGCTCTGACTCAATTTTGGTCTTAGGAAGTTAACCACAGGTGCTTTTCCCCACCACAGCAGAGGAATGTAGGCCTGTGAGTCGTTGGTGGGGGAGCTGTAACCTGATTTTCTCACACGGTGTTTCGTTCCGCCGGTCCTCCGCACTCCAAGCTCGATACTCTATAAATAATGTCCTCTCTTTATGATAGCGGAACTATATAAGAGATTATGTTGTTGAAATTAAGAGAAATGATGCGCTAGGCTCTGCCCAATCTTTTTTTTTTTTTTTTTTTTTAACAATAATTATATATATTTTTCACGGCGCAAGCCCATAACGACTGACGTCTGTTTGGTCGATCCAACAAAATCGATGGAGGGGTAATTGTTCGTATCTAATCTAAGATGCACAAATTGGTGTTGGGGTTGGTGGGTAAAGAGGCACCACAATCATTGGAATCGAGCTGCACGTATAGATTTCAATTTAAAGTTTTGTTTGCATCTGTTTTTCTATACGGCTGCTAATAGCATATTTCTTTCTCTTTAAGAAGAGCCCCCCAATTAATAGAATTTGTAGCTGGTACTTCAAGCTTATATACGAGAACTCGTGGTGTTAGTGCTTGCGACCGCAAAATTTCAGGGCAGCCTAAGCCAGCCGTTGCGAGGCTACTTGCACTAGCACCAAAAGTTTTTGCCCCTCCTTGCCCGCCGTAAAATTATCCATGACAGCCTAGTAAGGACAGACGTTGATTTCTTAGACTTGTCCAGAATCAATCACACGATTCAGCCCGACAGCGATCGCAGCTAAACGCAGCAGGCGCATCAGTTATTTCTATTACTTCAATCATCGATTTCAAAACTCCCGTTTTAATCATCTGCCATCATGCCTCCGAAGAAGTGGGGTGAGTCACGAGCGCGCAGTCTTCACGCCTTGCGGGCAACACTGCCAAATCCGCCTCTTTTCGATGCGCCAAAGCAAAACCATGTCGCCAGCTTGAGAACACTCTGCTAACATTTCTCTCGGTATCAGATGACGAAGAGAGCGAAGGCGGCGGCGACTCCGCCCCCGAATCCCCTCCTGCGGGCGCCGTTGGCCGTCGACGACAGTTTGACGACGAAGAGGATGACGGTGATGTAAGTATCAGCAGCTATATCACGAACAGCGCCAGAGGCTCTTTCGAATCTGCTTCTAATCTGCCATCGAATACATATAGGTGCTCGACTCTTGGGACGCTGCTGAGGACTCCGAAGTAGAGCGCGAGAAGGCAAAGAAGGCAACCGAGGCTAAGGAAAAGGCTGCCGCTGAGGCTGCTGCCAACAAGAAGTCAAAGGCCCAGCGTATCGCCGACCACCAGGCTGAGCGCGCTCGTCTCCAGGCCGAAGATGACGAGGAGAGCGAGGAAGAGTCAGAGTCAGCTCGCCGCGAGCGACTTCGCCGCACCGAAAAGGACGCCGATCTCAGGCACGCCGAAGATCTTTTCGGAAGCATTGGTATCAAGGATGGGCGAAAGGCCAACCCTTCCAGCACCATGATCGCCGATCCCGAAAACCCCACGAATCTCATCAACCTTGCGGCTGTCCCGATTTTCAACCCTCAGACAAAACTGCAGTTTGAGAAGATGCGCGGCGTTCTTTCTTCTCTTGTTGCTGCCAACACCAAGAAGGCTCACTACGGCCTCTTCCTGGAGGAGTTCTCCAAGGATCTTGTCAAAGAGCTCAACAGCGATCAGATCAAGAAGATTGCAAGTGCTCTTACACGCGCTAGTAACGAAAAGTTGAAGGAGGAGAAGACCGGAGACAAGAAGAAGACCAAGGCCGCCAAGACAAAGACCTCTCTTGTCGCCAGTAGGGCTGGTACTACTGACACCGCGACTTATGAGGATGATGCCTTTGGAGAGTGAGTAGATAGAGATCCTTTCCTGGAGCGACTCCGCTGACTTTTCCTTTTCTTTTAGCGACGACTTCATGTGAAGAAGTTTACGACATCATACACAATAAAAGCACCCCAAAAAAAGTAAACTAGAACGACGTTATCTTAGTGTTCCCAGCGTATTACTATCCCCGCCTTAAAGTAGAGATACGAAGACTCTTTGATTCCCCGGGACCATATTCTCAATCACCAATGGCCTTGGTAGCGAAGCAGCATCTTGGCGTTAGCGCAAGCTGAAAATTATTCGAAATGTATTTTGAAATTGGACGAATCCACGGGCAAATAGATAAAAGCGATGACGAGTGTTCAGAATGGATTGCACAATCTGACACTACCTGCCCTTTCCTTTCAAAGCGCTTGGTCCAAGGGACGGGGTGGACAATTCCACGGTTTTCGGGGATACCAAAAAGTTATGACTAGGATAATAGAACGAACCTTTCCCTTATGTTTTTTTTTTTTTTTTTTTTTTTTTCTTTCATTCTTTATTCAGTAGTATTTTGTTTATTAGAGTGGTTTTGTTTCATATACCGCACTGCTTCAACATAAAAGAGGCTAGGGTATCTTGGAGATAGCTTCCCATGAAGCAAGAAGTAATTCATAAAAAAGAAAACCATACCTTCCCCTAATCGCCAAGAAATGCCCAAATTGATCCCACGCAGCAACGCCATCATTAAACCTCACGTCATATGCCGCCGCCAATCCCGCCATAATTGTACATATACAGCAATTCTACAAGAATCCATCGCCCCTTTTTCCAGTATAACAAATCTTCTTTCATAGTTTTTGTTCTTCTCTTCAGACGACGTTCCCAGCCATTCCCATGAACAGAGCATGGATAGCCAACGAAAGCGTCCAGAATCCAACTTTTCGGAATCGTCTTACTCGGCTTTGCTGGTCTTCGACATCCTTTGCAAAGGCCTCGTACGTTTCGGCGGACGCATCGTCCAAGAGGCCGCAGTCGAAAAATGTCCAACTTCCGTCGAAGTCAGCTAGCGGCTTGATGATGCGGCTAGAAATCGGAATGTAGGTCTTTTTAGCGTTTATATAGGCCACAATAGGCCGAACCAGAGCCTGGTTCACATAAGATAGATCGGGGGTGAATAATGGCACGGCAGCCTTAACATCGTTGAGATGAATGCGTAAGTCCATGATAAGGAGCCGCCTCTCTTCCTCCGACTCACTTGTCTGCTTGTCGGACCTCTTCTCACTTGCTGCACGGCCGCCTTCCGAGATGTTTTCGGGTGCAGGGGCTTTCGGAAGAAAACGGTAGCGATTCGCAATAACTGTGCCTTCTAGCTGATCGTAAAAATCTGCTACGACTTTGCTTATGCTGTCGTCCATGTCCGCTGGAAACATGACGTCTGCGACGATGTCAACGTTCCCTTCATATATCCAACCGAATGGGCCTTCGACTCCACGGTTTAAGTGGTCAATCTTCAGGCCGTCGATGCGTAATCTGTTGAACTTTTTCCATGATTTGGATTCTTCTAGTCCCATCATGACTCCTTGGTACCGACTTGAAACGGTACCATGAACCTGTCTGGGGTGAATCGTAAAGAGGGATCCGTCAAACGACCCAGACATGTGGCTAGCAGAGAGGAAATCGTAAAAGAGCCATTGTTTTCGTAGTCGTGGAAGCTCACACGAGTATATACTGACTGAGAAAGGGCGGAATCCATCGGGTTGGCGAACGGTAAGCAGAAGATCTTCCAATTTGAAAGACTCGATTTCGAAATCGCCTGGTTGGTGTTTGTGGCGATAAGAAAACGGATCAATCTGTACTTCTGGCCAGCGAACAGAAGTTCGGTCGATAACTCCTCTGACGCCGTTTACCTCTACATCCTTGAGAAGGCCCCTGCCATTCCACCAGTTGAGGAATGAAAGTGTGACATTAACATTTGCAATTGTTACGTCAAATTGCGTATAGTTGCCATCGTCCACAACATTACTATCGTCTTGTTGGATCTGGCGCCCTGCGGCGGCGGCGGCAACGGCAGCAGCATCAGATGAACCTTTGCTGACCGATGATTCGACTTGGCCGGGTCTTCTCGAAACAAATACGTTGCGGAATGCGATGACACCATTTCTCCATTTCGGAACTATAGCAGATTCAAAGACAACCGTAACGCCGGCTGACTGGGTTAAATAGTCTCCAATCCACTGCGCAAGTGTTTCTGATAGTATGTTAGCCATGCTGAGAAAACGTTGTTATGGGATCAAATAACCATCACTGTACCTTGTGCAAAAACAGTGTTGATCGAGAAGATAAGGATAGAGAAGAAAGTCGTTGTGCCCACAAGGATCCAGACAATATGGCCCAACATGAACCAAGAAACAAAAGCCCCCCATTCATCAATGTTCCAAGGTCGCATGCTTCTGATGGAGACCCATTTGAATCTGACTTTGAACCTCTCCCAAAATCCATTCGCAGCCGCCAAAAGCTCTTCTTTGGTAGGACGGTGAGGTAGCGCTGGCAAATTCAAATATTTAGACACTGATGTGGCTATTGACTCCTGCTCCTGGTCATTTGGGTCGATCCTGGTTGGGTCGATGTTATTTTTGGATGCAGCTCCCAAGCTTTCATGGGGGTTGGCGGTCGACTTCGGGCCATCGAGCTCGCTTTTAGAATCTTCTTTAGAGTTTCTCCTGCCATTGACGCCATTATTGCTGTGTTGATCACTTTGAAGAAATCTCCGCGCAGTAGCTTGAGAGACACCGAGAGACATTCGATGCCTCTCCAAGACACTCAAAGGAGAAAAGCGTCTGTAGCTGCCATGGAGAAATGGCCGAATACCGAGTCCAATCGGTGTTGGTGAGAGGCAGACATCTTTCCAAGGGGCCAGTTTTGATATTGGGCTAATCTGTGCATATTGAGAGCTTGCTCTTTGCGTTGATCGATTCGACAATGGAGCGGCATGTGGAGATCGCCATGTTGGAGGGGTTTGATAGTGGCATGTGAGATGGCGGCGAACATTCAGCCATGATGAGATGCCCTTAGACATTCTTAAGGTTCATGGCGACCAGGTATCTGGAGGCGGTGCGCCAATAAAACAGTTCCAGCAGCGCCTTTGAATCTCAAACAAAGTCAGGAATCAACATCGCTGTAAATGATGGACAAGCCTGAGCGGCGGCGCAGAAGTAATTGCATGACGCGCCACTCACGTTTTGCATTGTGGGTGGCGCCCAGCCAATGGATAAGCTCCGATAGCCATCCACAAATTTTTGAGCGCCCAAGGTAGAAACGGCATGTGGCTTGCCCAGCAAAATCCAGCGCGATAACATTTTTTTCTCCGAGTACTTGCGACAGAAGGAAAGGCGCATAATCGCAATCCTCTATTCCGACTTATCAATATATTGATTGATCCAGATCCTCGATTCTCAAGCATCCGAACACACAACAGCAGCGCCTTTTGCCCCCAGCACCATGCCTGCTCCTACGGCTCTCAAGAAGGCGGAAAGCACCCCGCTTGCTGCAGATGTTCCATCAGCTGCTCAAGGTAGATATTCTCTCTTGTATTTGCCTTTACCGGGGCCCTCAAGGCTAACTTGCGCATAGATAACGACCAGGAGTTCCTCCTTGATGCGGCAGATGTTGCATCGGCTGATGCTGAAATGATGGTACCGGAGGCTCAAGATGACGGCGACAATATGGCGATTGACGAAGAGGGACGGCCTCGCTTTGCTCCGTCAAAAGACATTGTACGCTGAAATGCTGCCTACTTGGCTATTGAGAGCTGCTTTGCTGATGTTTAACCTAGGATCCCATGGCCAGAACCGAAACACGAAAAGTACCGATCCCACCTCATCGCATGACACCGTTGAAACAATCATGGCCTTCTATCTACCCTCCCATTGTGGAGCATTTAAAACTACAGTGCCGCATGAACATCAAGCGGAAAACCGTCGAGCTAAGGACATCCAAGTTCACCACTGATTCCGGTGCGCTACAAAAGGGCGAGGACTTTGTCAAAGCCTTCACTCTCGGCTTCGACGTCGACGATGCCATTGCTCTCCTGCGACTGGACGACCTATACATCGAAACCTTTGAGATCAAAGATGTCAAGACCGTGCATGGAGACAGCCAGAGCCGTGCCATTGGTAGAATTGCTGGTCACCAGGGCAAGACGAAATTTGCCATTGAGAATGCTAGCCGTACGAGAATTGTGCTCGCCGATTCCAAGATTCACATTCTGGGAGGATTCAAGAACATTCACATGGCTCGTGAATCTGTCGTTAGCTTGATTCTTGGAAAGCCCCCGGGCAAGGTCTATGGCAATCTGAGAACCGTGGCTGCCAGAATGAAGGAGCGTTTCTAAATTGGTTGGGCAGGCATGTGCGGTAGTCTTGGCGTTCAGGTGGGAAAATAATCATGATTCATGTCTTTTGGCGGATTTGATGGTCTGTATGTGTCGGAATTGTTCTTCTGCATAACGTTTGAAATAAAGCATTGCTCCCTAGCATGATGAATTTGCTAAAGGATGCGGCTGAGGAAAATATGGTCTCATAATTCACGCGCCCCTATACTTTGTACGTGGCAAATGAAATTGATGAGAAAAGACTTTATAAACATCTATTAGTAAAGAAGGTACCATTTCTCAGAAAAATGCGTAATATCATACTAGACTGCCAACTCCTTGACGCCAAACGGGCCGATAAAAATCTCGCAATCTTTTGAGCCCAGGTAGATAGATTGCTCACTGTGCAAGGGAATATATATCAAAGCGATTTCGGTGTTTAGTTCTGACGAGGCTTTATCATTCCTTCTTGCACAATATAGTATACGACGGTTGAGTCATTATGCAAGGCGGCCAGGACAATTCGCTTGGCACCCTTGCGAGCATCTGGGAGGGCGTCCATGACAGCCGCAAAGTTGGAAAGCGTCCATTTCTCGGAGAGATGGACTGCTAGCACCCATTCAAACTCCGCGTCATGCTGAGTCCTTGCCCCAGCTGACTTTTCGTATGCAAGAGCTGCTATCTGATCGTCTGGGTGGAGATATAAGAGGCGTGGTGGGAGGCCTCGAATCATTGGCCGCGAGAGCCCTGGGATGCTAAGGATTTCCAACGATGCCCATTGGTGCTGGTCTTGCAGGTTCTGAAATACCGCAGAGGCGACATCGGCAGAATACCGGTGTGGCCCATCCATGTCAGAAATGATAATGATAGGTAGCTGGCAAAGGAGAGCGTAAAAGAAATTAGAGGAGAGGAATGACCATATCAAATCCCGTTACATGGTGCCCGAAACAGGCATAGAAACATTTTTTTTTTCCTCACGGCGTCGTGGTCGGAGAAATACTAGCGCTGCAGCGCCGGCTGGCTGTCTACCGATAAACGTAAGGAGTGGCCTAATCATTACCTCACAAGCACACCAGCTGCCTCGCGCAGGAGCTCTTAGGTAACTCCCTTGTTATCTGAGTAGCAGGATACGCCCCACCGCTTCACCCCTCCATTTTCTTCTTCTACGCGAGCAGCTGCAAAACACCACTTCCATCTTTTCCTTCTACAAGACCTCTCGACTCGTTCAGCTTCACACGAAGAGCTTGAGAAACCGAATTGACCTCTAAACTACAGGTATGGCAGTTTTTTCCTTACAATGAGCAGCATTCTTGGCTTGTCCACCTCAGCTGTGCCCCTCTTTCTGTTTTCACCATCCAGGTTACCCCTCCATTTCAGGCGGAAGCTCTGAAGGAACGGCGTCAAATGGGCGTTGAGGCATATTTCGATATTTGCTGGCGACTTACATAGATGGCCAGCTCCATCTAGTTAAAGTATTGCCCCAGGAAGAAAATGCGCTGCTATAGCTCTGCTCTGCCCATTTCCAAGCTTCACAGTCGACACTTCAGCTACTGCTACAATGTTTCTGCTAACAAGCACCGGTTTCTGTCTACAACAGCTTTGAAAATGGCCATTACCAAGGTTCACGCCCGTTCCGTCTACGACTCCCGTGGTAACCCCACCGTGGAGGTCGACCTGGTCACTGACACTGGCCTGCACCGCGCCATCGTCCCCTCTGGTGCCTCTACCGGTTCGTGCCCTCGACTTCCCTCAATCTCGCACCGCTGCAGGAAATAACTGGTATCTCAGGTCAGCACGAGGCTGTTGAGCTTCGCGATGGCGACAAGGCCAAGTGGGGTGGCAAGGGTGTTACCAAGGCTGTTGAGAATGTCAACACCATCATTGGCCCCGCTCTGATCAAGGAGAACCTTGATGTCAAGGACCAGTCCAAGGTCGACGAGTTCCTGAACAGCCTTGATGGTACTCCCAACAAGGGCAAGCTTGGCGCCAACGCCATTCTCGGTGTCTCCCTGGCTGTTGCCAAGGCTGGTGCCGCTGAGAAGGTAAGCAACGTTATGAGAAATTGTCATTGACGAGCAAGAGCTTACACAAAGCAGAACGTTCCTCTGTACGCTCACATTTCCGACCTCGCTGGAACCAAGAAGCCCTATGTCCTCCCTGTTCCTTTCATGAACGTCCTCAACGGCGGGTAAGTATATCACGCGTCTTTGAAGAACAAGCTCACCAGCAATCGCTAACTAATTAATCAGTTCCCACGCTGGTGGTCGTCTTGCCTTCCAGGAGTTCATGATCGTCCCCTCGTAAGTCAGCCAACAGCCTCACTTTTGCGTATACGCCTGCTAACCTCCAGTAGTGCTGCTCCCAGCTTCTCTGAGGCCCTCCGTCAGGGTTCTGAGGTTTACCAGAAGCTCAAGACTCTGGCTAAGAAGAAGTACGGCCAGTCCGCTGGCAACGTTGGTGATGAGGGTGGTGTTGCCCCCGATATCCAGACCGCTGATGAGGCTCTTGAGCTCATCACCGATGCTATTGAGCAGGCCGGCTACACTGGCAAGATGAACATTGCCATGGATGTTGCCTCCAGCGAATTCTACAAGGAGGAGGAGAAGAAGTACGATCTTGACTTCAAGAACCCCGAGAGCGACCCCACCAAGTGGATCACCTACGAGGAGCTTGCCGCCATGTACTCCGACCTCTGCAAGAAGTACCCCATTGTCAGCATCGAGGACCCCTTTGCTGAGGATGACTGGGAGGCCTGGAGCTACTTCTACAAGACCCAGGACATCCAGATTGTCGGTGATGACTTGACCGTCACCAACCCCGTCCGCATCAAGAAGGCCATTGAGCTCAAGGCCTGCAATGCCCTCCTCCTCAAGGTCAACCAGATCGGCACATTGACCGAGTCTATCCAGGCTGCCAAGGACTCCTACGCCGATGGCTGGGGTGTCATGGTCTCTCACCGATCTGGTGAGACCGAAGATGTCACCATTGCTGACATTGCCGTCGGTATCCGTGCCGGTGAGATCAAGACTGGTGCTCCTGCCCGTTCTGAGCGCCTGGCCAAGCTTAACCAGATTCTCCGCATTGAGGAGGAGCTTGGTGAGCTTGCCATCTACGCGGGCGACAAGTTCCGCACCTCTGTTAACCTGTAAATGGTAACATGGAGCTGGGGATAAATACATATTAAAAGGCTGGCGGCCCAGAGAATGGGCTAATATGGTCGAGTAAAAACATAAAATAATGATTTGAAGAAACGCCCATACGGCGAAAGAAAAGTAAATTGAGCTATGACCAAAATTTATACAACAGCATGTCCATAAAACCACGTGAAATGACTTGTTTCTGCGGCTCGACGGCTTTGGTGCCTTGTGTTTCCCAACGTTATCAATTTATCAATATGTAACCGGAAGTCAAACGACCTAGGCATCTCAGAGCCACGTTTATTAGTAGTACTGCATCCTTATTTGAAGGGGAAAAAATTATTTTAGTAATGATACTACGATTTATCTGATATTTATTTTCTTCTCATGATTTTTAGTTCTGCTAGTAGTAGTACTCACTTTTATTGATGATAAGGCCTGTGATGCTAGTGGGGTGTAGATAGGTGAGTTAGTGCCAAAGTCTAGAATACTAAATTGGAGATGAAAGAAACTTTCACTAGAGCAGAATCATGTGCTAGCCTAGAAGTATACAGCCACGATTAAAAGGTACCAGTACTCTTTATTTTGATAAACATATCATATCACCAGAGCAACGCGGGGTCGAAAACACATCCCACCATAACACGAGCGTTCAACGCTAGACCCGTCAACATTCAAGGAAAATCTACCACATAATACCTATCTAACATTCTTGCCCAAAACGGCCATTCACGCGCATCGGGCATCGTATCCCGTATGTTGATTTGTATCATAGGCAATTATATAGAAAACGCGTCTTAACCACCATTCAGGGCCTCCAGAATCCACATTGTTTCGATAAACCAAAGAGCTGCCGCCATTTGATGGTAACGCAACAACAATGGCGGGCGCAGAAGATTTAACCGACTTTGACGTGATCGAGAACCAAAAGGAGAATATTCAGTCTTTACCTGGCGGCCGTTCAGCGAAAAAACTGGCCACTCTTTTCTCTCCATCTCCTCTACACAAATTGTCCACGCCGACGCCGACCGACACGAGAAATGTCAACGATTGCATCCGCGCAGAGTTCGAAGCAGAAATCGAGAGCCTATCCGAGTCTGATGATCCCTTGGACGTCTTTGACAGATATGTCCGCTGGGCTTTGGACGCGTACCCATCAGCACAGGCGACGGCAGAATCACAGCTGCATACAATCCTCGAACGCGCGACGAAAACGTTTGTTGCATCGTCCCAGTACAAAAACGACCCCAGATATCTAAAGCTATGGATGTACTATATCCAACTATTTTCCGATACACCCCGCGAGACCTATCTATTCCTCTCTCGACAAGGAATCGGCGAGAGCCTTGCATTGTTCTACGAAGAATACGCTGCGTGGCTGGAGGGCGCAGGCCGATGGGCGCAAGCAGAGGAAGTGTATAAGCTAGGGATCCAGAGAGAGGCTCGGCCAACGCAGAGACTGCTTCGCAAATTTAAGGAGTTTGAGGCAAGGCTTGCTCAGCAGCCAGATGCATTGGCGGAGCCATCTTCACCGGCTCTGCCAACTGTTCGTCCCGCGCTGGCCAGTAAGATGGATCCCTTCAGTAGCTCATCACAGCCAGTGGATCCTCAGGCTCCAAGACGAACCAGCGGTGCTGGCGGCTCGTCTCGACCTGCGAAATCTAAGCTATCTATCTTTTCTGACGCAGACGCTCAACAGCCTGCCATGTCGTCAAGGGATGCTGCGTCCAAGGGCTGGGATAGCATAGGATCTCTTTCAGATCGAAAAAAGGAAAATACAATGGAGCCAAAGCCATGGGTAGGAGAGACTCTTAAGGCGGGTGGTAAGAAGCCAGGGTCTGGGGGAACAAAACTGGCAGTGTTCAGAGATCCGGTATGTAACCCCCCCCTCTCGAAGATTGTTCAGCTGTTGATAAGAATAGGACTAATGTATTGCTGTCTGTGGTGCTATGTAATTCAGTCGCTTGCTCAAATACAAAATATTGTTGTTGTTCCATCAAAACATCAAGTAACGATCCATCCACAAACGGGGAAAAGAGAGTACATCTTTGTTGATCTGGCAGCCGTATATCCTACCCCCGAGGAACCCGGGACAGAGATGAGCTTTGAAGAAATTATTGCCGCGCATCGTGGTTGGCTCGACCGCGAGTGGGATGCTGACCATACGAATGAAAATGACACCCCAGATCGCGTGGTACCTCTACGTGAAATTGAGAATTTGACTCAAGACACGACTGAGAAGCTAGTTATTGACGGAGACCCTATGATGCTTGATGAGAATGGCGTAGCAGGAGGAAAGCCTCGAGAACCTCGCACAGGTAGGAAGAAGAAGATGATGGAGGTAAATGAGACACAGATCAGTAAGTCCCCAATTCTTATACGACCAGATACAATTTTTTTCCACAGGCTCCTAACACCCAGTCAGTCAAAACGAAGCTCGACTCTCCCTCAGGACCCAAACTCAAGAAGAAGAACGCTGCCGAGCCCACCATGACACTTCATACAAGAGCAGCTACGGATGATATTTACGACATCTTTAATGCGCCGCTCAAGCCAACATCCTTGGCAGGGGACGAGACTGGCGACGATGATGATGATGACGAAGAGGAAGAAGAAGATGATGATGAAGACGCCGACGAGGACGAAGACATGACCGATGCCTTTTATGGAAGTGATGCTGAGAGCACTGGCACTACGAGACAAACCCACCAAGGTGAGCAAGAAGATGAATCAGCGGATAACATAAGCATCGGCGAGTAGTTGGACATATTTTCCCATGAACATGCTCCAAATAGACATGTGCAGATTAGCAACGGGAGCGAGAGGACTCAGACGACTAATTTTGTCAGTATAGATGAACCAGCACACAGCTCATATGTGTATGACGATGCGGAAGAGGACGAAGAGCCAGAACCGCCTAGAACTCGCACGATCTTCATTCCCATGCCTCCGGAAGATTATGAACCACCAACACGCCCGTATAGGGACCCGGCAGAAGTGGCCAATAATCGTCTGCCATTTATGACGCCTATTGCGGAGAGAACTGAAGTATCACTAGACGTGGACATGGACGTGGACCGAGCTTACCAATTCAAGACGCCTAGCAAGCATCATGGTCAAGCTACGCTCATTGAGGAGTTGTCAGATTCGGAACCATCGAGCAGTCCGTTGAGAGAAATCTTGTTAGAAGAAAGGGCTTTCACCCATGGACGAACACCTCTGGGGTCCAAAGCCGTGCCTGTTAAAGGACCCATTATCAAAGAGGCACAATGCAGCCCTGTTGATGGCGGCATTAGACTGAACATCCTGACAAACCAACATCCTCCGCTGGCAGCATACCCCGGCTTCTACGACCATCACAGCCAAAGGTACGAACGTGGCGGAGAGATTCGCAGATTCGCCAAAGCCGCAAGCAGACTTGGGAAGACGGGTGCAGATAAAGCCATGCCGGGTAACCCTCCAGTAGTTATTCAGTTCGCAGACTGCAACTCTAGATACACTGTGAGGAAAGAACTCGGCGCTGGCGCTTTTGCACCCGTGTACTTGGTGGAAAATTCACGGCCGGACCGAGAGGAAGACGATACTGATAGGGTCTTTATGGGCAAGGGCGCATTCGCCATTAACCATCGCGCCGCCATAGAAGCCTTGAAAATGGAATCTCCTCCAACTCCATGGGAGTTTTACATCATGCGCACCGCCCATTCACGGCTAGGTCCCCAGCATCGGGCAACGGCATCAATCTCGCCAGCACACGAAATGCACCTATATCAGGACGAAGGCTTCCTGTTTCTCCCATATCACCCCCACGGCACCTTGCTAGATGTAATCAACTTCTTTCGAGCGGAGCCTTCAGGGGTTATGGATGAGCAGCTTGCCATGTTCTTTTCGATTGAGTTACTGCGCACCGTCGAAGCTCTTCACTCGAAAGACGTGCTCCATGGCGATCTGAAGCCCGATAACTGCCTCCTTCGCCTTGATCCCAGGTCGTCATCTGCGTCCTCTGAGCAAGCTCTCTCTAGCCAGTGGTACGCTGATGGACGCGGCGGCTGGGACTCGCGCGGCGTCGTTCTCATTGACTTTGGGAGGGGCATTGACATGAAGGCGTTTGTGCCAGACGTGGAATTCATCGCAGATTGGAAAACAACCGTACAGGACTGCCCTGAGATGCGGGAAAGCCGGCCCTGGACGTGGCAGATTGACTACTACGGGCTCGCAGGCGTCATTCATTGCCTTCTCTTTGGCAAATACATTGAGACGGTGCGGTCCGACCAAGGGGGGCTAGGACGAGGCGGGCGCAAGTACAAGATCAGGGAGAGCCTGAAGCGGTACTGGCAGACGGACATTTGGTCAGACTGCTTCGAGGTGCTGCTTAATCCGTCGTCGTTTTTGGATCATGAAGATGGCGGCAAGATGCCTGTGCTGCGGTCGATGAGGATTGTACGCGAGAGAATGGAGGAGTGGCTGCAGATGAACTGCGAAAAGGGGGCGGGACTAAAGGCTGCGATGGGGAGAGTTGAGGCCTTTACGAAGGGTCGCAAGTAGAAAAAGAACCTTTGCTTTTTTTTCCCCTTGGCTTGTTTTTTCTTTTCTTTTCTTCTTGTTTATCCATTTTGACTTTTGTTTATAAGTTATTTATAGATGTTATACCCGGCAAGATTGTATACAAGCGTATGATACGTATAATTAATGGAATGTCTTCCTTTATATGAGATGTCTTTTTTTACATAAAGGACGACCAATTAGAGCGACAGATTCTCGCAGGAAAAAGTTGAGCAATCCTTATCTTGAACCTCTGTTACATCAGGACGACCTACTATGTTAAGCAACTACTAACCTGTATTCCAGCAATACTGTAAGTTGACTTGTGTATGCTCTGTTATAAGCAGATTAGTTGGGAACTCTTAGCACATACGACCATAGGTAGTGGAAAGCTCGGGGTCCTATCAAGCCCTTTTCTTGAGTGCGATGTCTTCCGTTTTCATAGGTACCTATAAAACGTGCACGCGCTGTGTGGTGCCAGAGTTCCAGCGTCGGTGCTGCTAAGGAACCTATTGATCTGACGCAACACCAGCTTAGTCTCCCTCCAATCATGTGCTTGGGCACGTTACGAACTCCTCCCCCACCACCATCACCACTATCACCACTGGATATCTACCTGGGCAATCACCGTCGCCGATCGGAGATATAAGCCTCCTCAACCCACAATCATCTCATCGACCTCTGCGCCCACCACCGAGTCAATTGGGTTCAAGCAGCCCCCGAAATGATGCTCTCTGCACCTTGGCGCAGGCTGGCACTACGAGCCAAGCCAGTCTCAAGTGCTGTGCCCAAGACCTCCCGAATCCTCCTCGGCCGCAACCTCAATAAGTTGTCAAACACCACGACCTTGCGATATTCTTCTACTGCCGGGAATGTCACCAGGGAAATTGTGAGCCAGGCTTTGCGGTCCATCGGATCTGTAGGTTCTCTCTCCAATTGCTTCTCTCTTTGAAAAGGGTCAAGGGCTCCGCCGATTCCCATGGCCGCGCCATAACATCAACCACTAACACTCGCCAGAAAAGGGAGTCCCAGCAATGGCTTAAGCTTTTCAGTTCTGCCCAGACCTTCTGTGTGCTGAAAGTAGGCGGTGCTATAATCCAAGAGAACCTTGAAGATCTTTGCCGCAGCTTGCTGTTCCTGAGTGAGCTGGGATTGAGTCCGGTGCTGGTGCACGGCGCGGGGCCGCAGCTGAACCGCTTGCTCGAGGAGGCTGGCATCGAGCCTCAATTTTCAGAGGGCATACGCATCACCGACGCCAAGACCCTTGGTATTGCCCGCAAGCTGTTTCTTGAGGAGAACCTCAAGCTTACAGATAAACTTGACCAGCTTGGTGTTGCCACTAGGTCCCTCAGCGGTGTCTTTATGGCTGATTACCTTGATAAAGAGAAATGGGGCTATGTTGGCAAGATCACAAAAGTCAATTCCGCCCCAATCAGTTGAGTCCCCCCAGTCATGTTCTATTACCATTTACTGACTTGTCGACAGCACATGCCCTTAAAGCCGGCTATTTACCTATAATGACATCCCTAGCAGAGTCCGAGGATGGGAGACTTCTTAACGTGAACGCAGATGTTGCTGCTGCTGAACTCGCTCGCGCCCTTGAACCCCTCAAGGTAGTGTACCTATCTGAAAAGGGGGGGTTATTTAATGGTAGTGGCAGCAAAATATCTCAGATTAACCTTGATGAGGAGTACGACGATCTCATGTCTCAGCCATGGTGTAGATACGGAACTCGTCTAAAGATTAAGGAGAGTAAAGAACTCCTCGATACTCTTCCACAAAGCTCTAGTGTCACTATCATTCACCCTAGTGATCTTTTAAAAGAGTTGTTTACTAACTCTGGAGCTGGTACCTTGATTCGTCGTGGAGACAAGATTCAAAAGGTATCCTCACTTGATGAATTTCAAGATCTTAACAGAATTAGAGAGATCCTTACTGGGGACTATAAAGATCCCAACACCAAGGCTACAGTGGATCGCTTCATGGAGCTTCTTGCAGCAAACCCCTTTACGGCTTACTATGATGATAGCATGTCATGTCTTGCCATCGTCCTTCCACCTTCTGCAAACAGGCCTATAGCTACTCTAGCTACCCTTAATATTACCAAGTCCGGATGGCTTAGTAATGTGGTTGAGAACGTCTTTTCGGCTATAAGAAAGGATCACCCTTCTCTCTACTGGATAGTTTCTGAAGCAGATGAGAATCTGACTTGGTTCTTTGACAAGTCTGATGGCAGCTTCAACACCAATGGTAGCGTCTTCTTCTACTACGGATGCGAAATGGACTCGAATGCTCTGGCTTCCATCTTTCAGGACTTCGTCTCTCATGGACATGCTGTAATAGGTGATTCCAACATCGAGTCTCAACTTGGCCGCGTTGCATAGGCTGCAAGCCAATCTTGGAACCTTCAGCGCGCCCAGCAGGTAGCGGCTACTCGACCATAGTTCGCAGGCAGAAGTCAAATCAGTCAGCAACGACTGGGCTACGCCATTACCATGAATTCTAGCCCACCGCTCGCGTCATTTGATCAGTGCTCGAGAAAATATGAACCCCGATCACAAGATGATCAAGTAAAGAAAAGGCTAAATACTCGATTCAGGAAAGCATCGTCTATGAAAGCGGATATCACCTAGCAGACCCGGTCTAACTAATCTGCTCAACGACTGCACATACATGACAGAGAAGATGAATCTCGCGCTTGTTTATGCAGAGTTTTGAGGTCATTCCTACTATGTAAGAGCGACAGCCAGATTGGATGGATTTGTTCTCAAATGCATAAAAGATGATTGGTTCTGTTTTTGGGCCCTTGTATAAAAGGCCTTTCTTTTATACAAATAACAGCGTCGTTTCGCTTCATAAACCACGCTCGCATTTTATATTCCATGCGAATGCGACGAGCGTGTTTCTTTGCATGTACTCAACGTTGATAGAAGATAAGGGACTGAAGGCACTCCCTATGTTAAGAGACTAGCTCGGTTCAAGAGCTAGAAGAATAGGTAACATCGAAGAAAGAATCGTAAATAATGACAAAGATGTACACCAGTTCCTTTCTTCTCAACATCGTCGCTCGAATGGCATCTTGGATAAATATGTCTAGACAGTGTGGATGATGGCGGGTTTTCAGGTACACAGCTACTCAAGTTGGTAACAGCTTTGAACTAGTGTAAGTTAACTTGACCAAGATATATAAAAACATGCAGCAGTTCTTGAAGATGGAGAGATGGAGAGAGTATGGGTATCGCCTTTGTTTATAAAGTCAAGCTTCAACTGCAGATTGTATAGAGTGTGCAGTTTATCATCATTTCGACATAATATACATACAAGGGCCGCCTTCAAATTTCTCTGACAACAGCCTACTAATCAAACAAGGCCGTATTATAGCCAACACGAGGTATTTTAAGATTGAGCTTTTGGTTTTTGTTTCCTCTAATCGCTCCCCTCGTCACTTGTCGCCTCTTTCTTCATCTTGGGCGCAGCCTTGCCCTTCTTAGGGGCACTCTTGGATTTCTTATCCACCTGGTCTTGAATCTTCTTCCTTTCGTCACTGCCCTTGGCTTGCAATTCCTTTTCTAGTTTTCTAAAGTCTTCCGTCTCTGGGTCCATGTCAATGAGACTCTCTAGAAGTTTGATCTCGTTGGCCCAGATTTGCTTGTCCTCTACTGATTTACCATCTGCGCCTTTTCTGTCAATGGGTGTCTCTAGGACCATGGGCTTGTCCTGGAACTCTGCGTGGTTCATGAGGCTGTGGAAGGCTCGAAGGCCTAGAAAGCCGGTTCCAATGTTGGCATGGAGATCTCTGTTAGAATTGAAGGGTGCTTTGCTGTCGTTTACTGGATATTCGATAATTAGTACTCTGCAAAAAGAACAGAAAATCAAGGCGGCAACTCACAGTGAAAAGCCTTCAAGTAATTTGCACCAACAATTTCGTTGAAAGAGTCGACAGTCTTTTTGAAAGTCTCGGGCGTCCGCAGATCGTAGCCAGCTGCGAAAGCATGGCAGGTATCGATGCATACTCCCACGCGAGACTTGTTCTCCACCAGGGCAATGATGTCTCTGAGATCCTCCCAAGTTGATCCCACAACATTGCCACTGCCCGCCATGTTTTCCAAAACGGTGATGACGGTCTTTGTAGCCTTGTGGGCCTTGTTTAGCTGTGTAGCTATGCGCTTGATCGCGGCGGCCTTTGTATCGCCTCCGGTAGATCCAGGATGGAAGTTGTAGAGCTTGATACCCAGCTGCTCACATCGGTCGAGGTCATCGACAAAGCTGTCGTATGCCTGTTTGGCCTTGTCCTTGTCTGCCTGCGCAAGATTGACAAGATATGAGCCGTGGGGGAGAGCGTGTTCATTGGCGTGATAGTGATGCTCTTTGCACTGGCTTATAAAGCCGTTCTTTGCTTCTGCTGTGATGGGAGGATTGCTCCATTTGCGCTGAGATTTGAGGAACAGGGCGAAGGAATTGGCGCCGATTTGGACGGCATTTGTGACGGCATTCTGGACGCCTATTGGAAATAGATTTCAATATTAGCACTCGATATTTCCTTTGCACCGTTGAAAATGGTGTATGAGCGTCGAAATACCTCCTGCAGCACTGACGTGAGCGCCAATGTACATGGCCTTGCCCAGAGCCGATACAGCAGTCCTCTCCGCCAAAACCATTGCTTCTTCGTCGCCTTTTCCTTTCCCCTTGCGCTTCTTTACAGCTTTGGAAGCTTGAGTCTTGGAATCGGCATCTGCCTCGGGCTCGGAATCTGCTTTTCGCTTTGCGGCAGCTGCAGACTGTCTTGGCTTGGAAGCTTTCACTTCGTCAAAGTCGTCTTCTTCGCGCTTGATAGCAGCCTTTTGGCTACCTCTGGTAGGGCGGGGCATTCGGATGGTGTGCTGTGTTATTGTGAGATAAAATTGGGGAGTATATGCACAAGAGAAAAAGAGAAGAGGGACAAAAAGAAGGGGGGGAAAGCAAAAATAATTGGGAAAAGTTTAAAATTGAGGTGAAGAAAGTAAAGTTGAGCTGCCGTGCACGTCTTCACGGTGGCGGAAGGGAGAATCGCGTCAGGACTTGGACGCGAGGTCAGGTGACATTTTAAAGCTACATCAATCGCAACAGCTGATGAAGAGGGCAATGAAGCAACCGAAGCTTATAAGAGCAATTGCTTAAAGGTACGAGAGCAAATCAAAGCGATGATACCCGAATGAAAACCGATGATACAAAATGCCATATTCAAAAGTTCTTCAGTTTTACAATCTATTAATCCGTAACACGCTTGCTTGCAGCGCTCTTTCGCTGGCATCAGTAACTGACAACTGCCGCGATTATGGCTACCCTACTTGAAAATGATTTTGCCCATCCTTTTCGAATTACCCTGAGTATAATAACTCATATCCCTATGGTTGATCCCTAAAAAAAAAAATACACAAAAAAACAAGAGTAGAAAGGAAGGAAGAAAGAAAGAAAGAAAGGAAGGAAGAAACAAGGAGAAGACGAAGAGAAGCCGAGGACATATTTCACACGTCAGTCAAGATTCAAGCATCAATGACAAGTTCAGACGTCCGGCCTTTGGCAAACTGGTCTTTGTAAGTCTCCCAAATTTTTTCAATCTCTTCGACATACAGCTCGTGGTACCGGTCCACGTCCTCTTGTGACGGCTGCTCGCAAGGGGGTGAGTCGATGCGAATCGGCTTGCCCACCACGATGTTGACTTCACGACGGTAAGGCATGAGGCCGACGTCGTAGTTGAGAATGCCTCGGCCATGAATTGCAGGGAGCGTAAACTTGAACACTTTCAGCACGAACATCTGGAACTTGTGGACCATGGGGTGCGTCTCCGCGGTTAGCTGGTCGTATAAGTCGTTTTCGCCAAAGGCGAGGACGGGAACCAGGTCAGCTCCCGTGCGCAAAGCCATCTTCACGAAGCCCTTTCTGCCCTTGAGAATGAGCCTCAAAGCTCCCGGCTGGGCCGTCAAGGATTCACGAGCTCCGCCAACGACGATTGTGACGGCGCGGCCGATCCCGTCGTTGTTGGGTCCGCCTCGTGTCAGCGTATTGCGGATGGAATCCTTGGACACCGAAGCCATGCCCATCGATAAGATCCAGTCGCGGTAAAAGGGAATTCGGAAATTCGACTCGAGCGTCAGCAGGGTATTTGTGATGCCGGGGAACTTTGCTGAGAAGCCCAGAGCGTTTGTGCTGAAAGCAGTCCAGGCGCCGTGGGAGATGATGCCATGTGGATGGTAGCCAAAGATGTACCTCCGATCCGGCGGAAGGTCGTACGTTTTGTGCAGCCTCATGGGGAAATACGCCGCAAAGAATCTCCAGAGGGGCAGAGATCTGAGGTACTCGGATCGATAGCTGAGCTTGCCATTGGTCGCCGCGGAGGACATGGTCAGATGCACCAGATACGGCACCAAGATGGGCCACGTCAGAACGTTGGCGCAGGTGAACCAGAACAGAGAGATCAAAGTGACGAGAGTCATGCAGTGGAAGAAGACGGCGGCAGTCTGTAGACGGCGAGGGAAGGGCATGCGCAGCGGCGCAAAGCGGATGCCCGCAGCCTTCCAAGCGCCAGACTCGTGGCCTTGGGTGTGTCCATTGTCCGGCAAGACGGGATACGGCCGATCGTCGTCGTGGCCGTGGTCTCCGTTCACCGTGACGACGCCATTGAGGCGTGTCGAGCAGCCCTCGCCATTCCGCATCGCCTTCTCAGCCGCAGCCATGGTTGAGATGTTGTCAAGCGGCCTCGTGGACTATGCCGCTAGTAGGCCTCCACCATAAAGAGCTTGGGATACTTGTCGTAGGTAGTAGGTAGCTTGTGCCTGTGGTTCGTCTTCGGTTGATGCGTTAGAGCAGCGGTCTTGCGCAGTGGCGTTGAGGGGTCCGGAGGGAGATGTGAAAATGCAAAGTCGCTCGCGAATAGATGGTCGTCTGCGGTGGTTGATTCTACGTAGATTGCAGATTGCAGGTGCTCAGTTGCCCAGGGCAAGTTGCGATAGCAGCCTCTCTTTGTCTGGCGCGGCGCCACACTCCAGGCACCTTGAAACAGGCTCTCTAAGCTGCGTCCATTACCTCATCGGTGCGCCAAGCTGCAGGCGGTGCTGCCCCTGGACAGTGACGTGACTCTCCGCGCTAGAGAGGTCCGGAGGTACCTGCTGGAGAGCATTTGGCGGCCGTCAGAGCAGGGAACCTGCCAGCCACAGTGCAGAATTAGCCATGATACGGAGTACTCTGCGTCAATCTCCCCGGTATATGCATAACCTCGCAGCTTGCCCGGGAGCAAAAGGCAGGCCAATGGAGCGCGGAACGTACCGACCAGCATGCCTGCGCCTCACAAGCAGCTGAGAAAGAGCATCAGCCTCGGTTCAGTTCGGCTGTCTTACAGCAGCCAATTGTCCCATCTGCTTGTGAACAGCTGCTGTACAGAGGCCTAGATTAGACACTGCGTTAAATTGTCATCTCAAAGTCTATAGATACAGGACTCTTCCAGCTGAACATTAACAGATCCAGAACTCAAGACTTCATAAGAGTAAATCGTCATTCCAGTCCTACCGTACTCTAAAATACGAAAAAAAAAAAAAAACGAGAGAAAGCCTTTCCGAATGCCGCACAGCAAGATCGCACGTCTGATAATCACACAAGTTCTGTATACTACTACAACACGGCAACAATAGAGAGGGAAAATAAAAACCAAATCGTAAATAACCGGTCGCCATCTTTTTTGCATGGAGGTTTCCACCATCCACCCAGATTCCCAAAACCTGAACGCCATTTCCACACCCCCTTGTAGGATTCTGTGCCAGTCCGGAAGACCAACATGAGTTGCCAACAATATAAAACAGATAGGAAAAGTGAAACCCAAAAGGCGAATGCATTCTAAATGTAGATTGTTTAGCCCTGCTCCCCACCCTCTTAGAACACCGTGGCGCTGTATGATGAGGCGGGTCATATCGCGGGTCATATCATGGGTCATATCATGCTGGCTTGTTCTCAGCTAGCGGGAACTCCTTCACGATTTTCAAGCTTGCTTTTCAGCATAGTCATCTCGTGATCGAGCGATACTATCTTGTCCGACAGTGACTTGACTTTTTCTTCCAAAGTCTGGATGTAGGCCCACACGCTCGGGTCGCTCTGCGCAAACATGTTGCCACTGTCGCCGCTCGACGCCGTTGCAGTCGGCGGACGGCCGCCGTGAGAGAAGCCCGGGGAAGTCGCCGTGGCATAACCTGGATGAGTCAACCCAGGAAGCTTTGGTCTATTTTGCCCGCTGTGAGGAGACTGCATTTCTGACTGTCGCCTTCCCATCTGCTGCGGCTGCTGCTGCTGTAATTGATGGGACAGACTGGGCGATCGTTGTCTCACGATACCGGAGGCATCGTGACTCGGCACTCCATCGGGATTCAGGGGCTTTCCACCGTCTGACACAACAGCCTGTGGATAAAGACCTGCATTTGCACCGCTGACCGCAACGGACGAGGAAATGCTAGTATTTGGCGTGTGGCTGCCTCCAATACTATTAGAGACACTTGTACTGCTAGTCCCCGCGGCTTGGTTCTGGCCGACGCCGGGGGGATATAAGCCGGTAGTAGCTGTCGTAGACCTCGCACCGGCTGGGGGATACGTCCGGGAGTGACCTCCGTACTGTTCTGCTGGTCCGCCTGATATATGTTGCGCACTGAGGCTGGGCAAGCTCTGTCGCCTCAACTCCTCTTCGTCAGGATTATCGTAGGCAATGCCCGTCATTACAGCAGCCTCGTCTCCTTCCATGGCACCGTCCAGCTCATCTCCGTCGGCGAAGCTACCCATGCTGGACCGTCTGCCGGCGCACCCGCCCAATCCTTTGCTGTGTCGGGCCAAGGCATCACCTCGAGCAAATTTGCGATCGCACTTGGGGCACACGTGGGGCTTTTCACCCGTGTGAAGCTTGCCATGGCGTTTTAGGTCGTGAAGACGGCGGAATCGCATCTGGCAGTCTGTACACACGTAGGGCTTTTCCTGACTGTGCGTCAGGAGGTGGCTCTTGAGGTTGTGGTGCCGAGTAAACTCGGTGTTGCAGTAGGGGCACTTGTGTTTCTTGCTCGCCGAGGATGGAGGAGAGCCCTGGCTTTGGGCAGGCATTGGAAAGCTCATACCCCGGATTGGCGAATCGGGAATGCTGCCGCTTGTTTGTAGAGAACCGGGATAAGACAATGATCCAGGCTGCGGCCGTTCGTCTTGTACGGCAACCTGTTGAGAGACGAGAGATTCACCTTTCGCATCGACATCCATCGCCGTTGGGCTTTCGGTTACCTGCGCGCCGGCGATGCTTGACGGGCTCTGGGGAGTCATCTCGCTTCGTTCTTCGATACGATCGCCGCCGCCGTTTTGTGATATGGACAAGGCAGCCGTGGCGACCTTGGAGGATGGCTCCATGGCGGCCGTGGGAGCCAGTTGCGGCGCGTCTGCCGGACGGCTCATGGCTTGGGCCCCCGCAGACATGAGAGCAGCTAGATCACGCTGACTGGGACTCTCGTCGGTCGCGTGTAGATGCTCTTGCTCAACCTCCCCGTCTGTTTCTTCTTCTTCTCTACGCCGTCGCTCGTCTTCCAGAGGCGCGGCGCCAGTCAGTGGAGGCGGGGCTTGGCCAGTTGCCAGCAGCAGCTTGGCCGACTTCGATGGAGGCGATTGGGGATCGAGCTGGGCGGAAGCAAAGGCTCGCGACGATGAGGAGTCAGATTCGCGCCGCCTCTTGGGCTGTCTCGCGACGTCGTCCAAAGGGAGAGCTGGGGGAGGGGTTCGAGTCGGGCCAGACGGGAGTGGGGTTCCGGTTGCGATGGCAGCAGCGTGAGAGGCCATAAGAAGATGCAATGGAGAAGGCGATGAAGGCGACGGCGAGTCCTGGGAGACGGTTGACATGCGGTCGCAAAAGGTCGAGGCAGGCTAAACCAGCGACACCATTTCGGGGCTGCTCGAGGTGTGGCTGAATTATTGTGGCGAGAGCTAGAGTAGGGTAATTTTCTGCTCCTCTGGATCTTTGTTTCGGCAGCCCTGCCGCGCGGTGACGCTGACTATTCCGAGGCTGCGCGGGTGAATTGCATGGGGCAAGCGGGTGCTCTGCGTGGTCCCGGAATTGGCAGGCGTTGGCGATGGGAAGCGGTGGTGGTTGATGATGAGGGTGATGGAGATGGTGATGTATTGGGGCTGGAAAACAGGCTGGGGATGGGAGGAAGAAAGTCGAAGTGCGGCCGAGCCCAGCTTTAGCGCAGTACGCGGTGCTGGAGCCGGGCCAGGGAGGCTGGGCGGTGGACAATAAAAGGCGTGCAGTGGGCTGCCTGCGCCACACAGCTGCTATTGGACGCCGCGTCTTTCTGCGGCAGCGCAGCGCCTGTCGGGGATGACATGCCTCGAAACTCGAAGCATGGGAGGATCTGGAGCTATTATAAAGTCATGCCGTCTTCTTTTGTCTTGCATCCTTTCTTCAAATACCTAGCAATTGCTACCAATTTAGAGGATCTGAGGTAGAATGGCGTGGTTTAGATACCATTCTTTTGCCAACGAGTTAAAATAAGGTGGCTGGTTGCCTAGGTAGCTTTGCACATGGCATGCTGGGTTTTTATTTACACTTGTGTTGTGCTTTTTTTTTTTTTTTTTTTTTTTTTTTTTTTTTCCCTTTCCTCGTCCTTTTTCGAGGATAGCATACTGTAGGTACACATCATAGCATCATAGCGTTGTTGACAGAGTGGATCGGTAGAAATGCCAAGCCTAGTGCGCTCCCACGTCTTCGTACGGAGACCAAGCCAAACGACCAAGCCACTCCCACGCCGGATATCTCCAACTGGGCTGCCGACAAGGAAATAATCACGGCAAGCCTAGCGCGCTGCTTGATCCGCAGGTGCCGTGACCACGCGAGTCCTGGATACCTCGGCCTTGCGCGCTGCTGGCCCAGCGCCTTGGGTACTGGAGACGATCTTGTCTCGACTTGGCTTATCACTCACCGTTAATGGTGCTGCTGCTAAGACAGGCGCCACCTCCTGGGTATCGCGAGGCGGTTACATGTTGATGATGTTGCCATTACTCGCTGCGTATTCCTCGACGGAGTGAGTTCCGTTCTGTAAAGGGCATCGGGGGCTTGATACGGGGGAGGGGGGCCATTATTAACGGTCTCTAACTAGCAGCCTGGTGGCAGCACTCCAGCCATGTGCACCAGCATCTCTGCTGTCTCCTCTGATGCGCTGTACTTCTCCGAGCTTCCAATCGGAACAGTCAGTAGGCCCAGGAGGTTATCTGTAAACTCAAGATAACTGCAGCTAGTTGCTGCAATCGCTCGCGGATCATATATCGAAAGCCACCTACTTTCCTATCAAACGCTTATTTCTGGTACTCCCATAGAACTGAAGGCTTCAACTCCATCACAACCTACTGCCGCAACTGCCACAAGGCACTGCGCCTCTCTCACGATGAGAGAACAGAGAGGAGGCGCCAGTTCCACCTCTATGGATAAAGTCCTGGCTCATTCGGTGGCGACATGCTGACAGGCAGATGGAGCAAGTGGCTGGTAAGCCCGGCAGCGTTGCAAGCTGATTTTTGTCAGCCATGGGCTTTGGCCGAGTCTAGCCTGCATGCCCGCCACAGGTCATATCTTTGCTGAAGAATGAAGAGCAGGGCGTGACTGGTGCGTTTGTCGTCTTGCAGCAGCATCTGCATGCACGGCGTTGGCGGCAGTGCCCACGCCAGCGCCCGTTAGTTCAGGTGAGAGCGTGGGAGAAGACTAGAGAGTGAAGAGAGGAGGCTTGTTGCTCCCTTGATGCTGTATGTCAGTGGCTGGAGAAGGACGGCGCTCCCCTGTTTGTGAGGCTGGAAGGATCAGCGATGAAGCAGCGAAAGACTCGATTCCTCTAGTAGTATTCTGGTGGAAGGATACGAGGTTAGTCTTTTGCAGCTGTAGTGTCAATACAAGACAGTATGAGTTATCAGCCCTCTGATCTCATCTCATGAATTTGTCATGGGGACAAGCCTGCCATGAGCTTGACTCAGGATATACTTGGACAACGGGCAGTTGACACAAGAGTCCATTGCTCATCTTTCACACACATACAGCGTAGCAGGTACTCCTTACGAAGCATGCCGGAGCCGCAAAAAGCATTGCGGCATCTCTCCGTGCTCTGCTCTGCGGGTGCGCTGATGGCACTCAACTCCCAACCTGCCTGCTGTACGGTCAACGGCTGAGTTCATGTTGAGAGCGTGGCGGTGCCAAACGAGGTGCTACTGCACACTAAACCCGGCATCAGCCACTGTCATGGCTTTAGAGCTCTCCACTCGTGTCAAACCAGCAAGGGCAGAATACGGGTTGTTCTACTTGTATGACACCTGTCATTCACTAGCATGAATGGCTCTCGAAGGAATTAAAACCCGAAACAGAAGAAGAAATAGGATATGGAATAGTTTCCCTATTTCTTTCCATGATGTAATACCAAATGTGGCCAGCCTTTTACGTAGAGTTTTTACACTTACAACCGTACGTAGAGGCTCTCATGTAAAACAGACTACCCAGCAATAGCAGTAGGGCAATTACTTTCTCAACTCTCACAGACCAACATGTCTCTACCTCGGTTTTTTCTTCTTGCTTGTATTTTCTTTCTTCTTTCCAATGACTGCTCAATACCCGCTCTGACTTTCCCTGTTGATGACTCTCATCGGCTATACCATTGTAGGATAGAAGGCGCATAACCACAACACGAGCAATCAAAAGTTACCAGCTGAATCTCGGCTCAGCCACCCCAGGGCGACGTCATCTTACCGACAAGTGCCAAAATACTGCTGCAAGTGGCATCATTACTGCATGTGCCCGGCCTGTCATTTTCCATCATGATCAATACGGGGTATAAAACTGGTAGAATGGGTATAGTATTATGGGCTTGAGGTTGTATCCATGAAAAAGCAGGCCTATATGGAATTCCGTCCATCTCTTGGCGGCATCTCGTAACCTGCACAGTCGGAATGCCCGTACAAAACAAAACGTTGCTGCCATGCCATGCCATGCTCCACGCCATGCGCCATTCATCCCTACCCTTCGTTGGTGGAGAGATGCCCTGATTTCTCCTCCCCTCTGCCAATCGTCCCTGCGGACATGCCCAAACAGGCTCTATCTTTCTCCAAACTCTGGAGCTCTCGCTGCATTGCAAGCATCTAGCAAAGTCCGTAGAATAAGCGTTTAGGCCATGTTTTTTCTCCGATCCATACTCCTCGGTCGATCCATACTCTACGGTGGCCTCTGCTCCATGGACGAGGGGTAAATCGCTGCCTGAAGAGACGAATCGAGAGATCTGTGCCGAACATGTCAGATGCCGAACCGATTAGCCTACACCACGATGAAGAATCCTGTATTACGTGACGCTGAATCCTATTTGTCCTTTGCACTCAATTCAGGCACAGTTGTTGCGTACCTAATAGGTACTATATCCGTGTCGCACCCACGGTTCCATTATATTGACCATCTCGTCTTTCATCATGTTTTCATTAGCGATCCTAGCATGTGCTGTTTCACCTTTTGCCTCATTCGCTTCATGTCAAATTCAATGGGAAGAAAGCCACCTTCAGCCCTCAGATAGACAAACAGTTCCCCACTTGCAAGAATTAAAGCCAAGCGACATTCGAAAATGCTCACTTGGCACATGCAAGCTTTCGGGTTCCAGAACGTGCTGCGGCTTCCTTGGCGGCCTGTTATTCTGTAGAACACTATACACCATACCAGCCACAACTCTGTACACAGGCAAAGGCGAAATAAGGCGTGGTCGGTGCTTTTCTTCCCTTCTTTGCTCTCCCGCGCAATTACATAACGGGGTATCCATCTACCTGGTCTGACAGCTGCCAAGAAGATGCATTTCTGTAGCAGAAACCCGCTCAAACAAAGCTTGGTGTTTTTTTTTTTCTTACTGTATCATCGGAAAAAAGGGGATATATCTGACACGCATGGCACTAAAGAATTCCGCTCATGTCGACGGGGCTACCCGTGCTGCTATGTACTTGATGTCATAGAACCCTAGCAGCGTAGCAACAATGGAATAATCAGTACAAGTAAAATGGAAAAACGCCAAATCGCAGGTATTGCTTGCTGCTTGTCTTGGCGCTCCTCTGCACCTTTGCTCGTGTTGACGCATCTCCATTCCGCATCCACACATCGAAACCCTCTTTTTTTTCTGGAATCTCAAAAGAGCCTAGGGAGGGAGCAATAAGGAGCGGCGTCCTCCGTGGCCGTAAGGAACTTTAGCGAGCCCAGCTCAGGGGAAAAGTGCCTCAAACCAGCCTAGCCCAGGCACCTTGCACCGCTAACGCAAGGCACGGGCACAGCGCAAAAACACGCGTATCCTGTCAAGCCTGTCACTGTGGCAGCAAAGTCAAAGTTCTGATTTACCATATCCAACAAGCTGTTTCTGTAGGTATATGCCTTTGCTTCTCCCAATCCTCGCTTCTATACAAGTTTTTATACACAATCTTCACATATACCTTATTATAGTACTGCTACTTCTATTCTAGCAAAGAAGAGCGCATCACCCGCTCCGCCGGTACATGCACAGGTACCAACAACAGCCACCGCATGGGCCTCAGCATGGGACTCGCTGGCGGCGCTTCCTAAGAAGGGGGCTGCGTGCTATACCCGATTCTTCCTGCGCCGAACCTTGCGATTTAGTAATTAATTGGCACAAGCGAAATGCTGTCCGACACCTCTGTACCTGTTGTCGTGCCACCATCAAGGCGCCTCTGTACTGTCAAAGCACTATGCAAGTACATTGGTGTACAGAATAGGTACCACTGCCCTACCTGAGCTACGGGGCACAGGCACAAGTTGCCGAACCTGGCGCCAGAAAGCTTCGTACCGGCGTCATTTTATTGTTTTACCCAGCCGCCGGTGCCTTCTATTGGAAGACCTGGAACATCCTGGCTCATTTCCTGACCTGCGGCGGCGATCGTTGACTAGCAGCGCTGGTTAGCTCTGCAGGACGGCGGCTGGGCTAGCGGCCTCTTGCAGGCCTGGCCGTTTCAGCGTGATTGGCGATGGCCTCTTTTTGCTTTGGCATTCTCGTCATTCTTTCTGCAACGCAGCGCAATGCTCGCCCCCGCCATATAGCATACAGCTATGAACCCTGTTTCCACCTTTGTACGGAGTAGACAATGCAGTGCGTAAGTACAAGTACATGCTTGTACCAACTGCTGTGTGTACTAATAATAGGTACAGCATACGCACAAGCTTGGGTGAGGAGAGCCTTGTTGGGCGCCCCTTGATCTGGCAGAGAGTCGCGGGCCACGGCCGATGCGAGGAGCCGGCAGCAGGCTCCGTCCCGGCATCAGGCAATGCGGAATGCGGTGAGCAGCGGATACATACTTGTACTGCAGCTCGACGGAGCAGGCAGAGCAGAGCGCAGCTCTTGATCCTCTTGCGCGCGCTCTCTCCTCTCCCCGCTCTGCAAATTGGATTGTCGCTCGAGTCGTCGACATGGCCGTAGTCGTCGTAGCCGTGCTCCGTGACAGCAGCACTTCTGGTGCCTTGCATATTGCGAGCGACGAGTGATTCGCTTTGGCGCCAGACCGGCGCTGAAAAAGCAATTTCCCAGAGGCCACCCCCTTCCTCAGGAGTGGCACCCCCTTGTCTCGCTTTGCGCACATCCCTGGCATCCCCCCTCCTTGGGTTATTGATCTCCGTGGGTCAATGCCATGGAGACTGACCAGGTCCCCCCTCCCCCATGCATCCAGCTCCGTTTTTCTACCTGTCCTGCCCTCCCTTTTGACGCTTCGTTCTTGTTCATCATCTTCAGTTGCGGTTTGCCCTTTTTTATTCCTCCAACAGAGAGTTATTGTCTGCTCTCTATCACACTCTTTTTAAACTCAGGTTCATCACGCCAATTACTCTCGTTTTTTGATATATATATATCCCTTCTTGTTTTACTTTCGTCAGGTCAGTACATTCGAGGTGTCCAAGAATCGCGGTTGCTGTCTGCGGCTGTGTTCGTATAGCACAGAGATATATATCGACATCGGTCAGGATAGTTGGTCTAATCAGTTGCGATCCGTGAGCAGTGCGCATTAGAGATAAAACCGCAAAGATGAAGTACTCGATTCTGGCTGCCTCTTTGGCTGCTAGCGCTTTCGCCAGCCCTTCTCACAACCATCACCACCACCACCACGCGAAGAAGGCGGCTGCTGCCAAGGTCGAGAAGCGAGACGCAAGCGTTGTCACCACCGTCGTCGTCGGCCCAACCGCCACCCAGTACGTGCTCGATGGCAAGCCCGTTGACGCTGCCGCGGCCAAGGACGGTCTGGCCAAGGGCGAATACGTTGTCGTCGGAGAGACCCAGCCAACTTACGTCCCCCCGCCGCCGCCTCCTCCTGCTCCTCCTGCGCCCTCCAGCACCGCTGGCGACATGAAGGCCCAGTTCATTGAAGAGGCCGTTTCCTCGTCAGCTCCCGCGTCGACTTCGACCACTGCTCCCCCGCCACCGCCCACGACCTCGGCCCAGCCCACGACCAGCCAGGCGGCTCCTCCCAAGTCCTCGGCCCCTGCCCAGCAGCCCTCTGGTGGTACCGGATTGACCGCCAACTTCCCCAGCGGAAAGATCCCTTGCTCCGAGTTCCCGTCCGACTACGGCGCGGTGGCCCTGGACTACCTGGGCACCAAAGGCTGGTCTGGTATCCAGTATGTGCCTGATTATACTCTGGCTTCCGAAGTCATCAACGAGATTATCACTGCGGTTTCTGGCCAGGGCTGCAAGCCAAATGCTATGTGCTCTTATGCTTGCCCTCCTGGTTACCAGAAGACTCAGTGGCCCAGCGCTCAGGGCTCTACCCTGGAGTCCATTGGTGGCCTCTACTGCAATGCGGATGGAATGCTCGAACTCACTCGCCCCTCGCACCCCACGCTTTGCCAGCAAGGTGCTGGTGGTGTGACCGTCAAGAACGATCTCGATGATTCCGTTTGCACTTGCCGTACCGACTACCCTGGTATTGAGAGCATGGTCATTCCCGCATGTGCCACCGCTGGCGAATCCATTCCCATCACCAACCCCATTGAGTCCGACTACTATGTCTGGGACAACAAGCAGACCTCTGCCCAGTACTACATCAACAAGAAGGGTTACTCAGTCGCCGACTCTTGCGTCTGGACCAGCGCTCTCGATAAGACGGGTGCTGGCAACTGGGCTCCTGTCAACCTCGGTGTTGGCCAGACTTCCGATGGCACCACTTGGCTTTCCATCTTCCAGAACCTGCCCACCAGCACTGCCCTGCTGGACTTCAACATTGAGATTACCGGCGATGTCAGCAGCAAGTGCTCATACGTCAACGGCGTGTGGACCGGCGGTAGCAATGGTTGCACGGTAAGCAACCCCCAAAATCGAAAAGAAAGACAAGTAGAAATAGAAAACTAACATGAGTTTGATAGACCTCGATGCCCAAGGGCGGTAACGCTATCGTTCGATACTTTTAAGACGACGGCTCCGGGATGAATCTTGTTGAAATATTCTCCAGTACTTATAATTAGATATTCGTGTGCATATTACTTGTGCGGAGCACGTGGTGGGAGGTAATCTGGGCCGTTTTTGTCGTGCGACGACCAACTTGGTTCGAAGTCTGTATAGATGGAAGGGGGACGAACTCGCGATACCAGGAGGGCCATTGAAAGCATCATTCGGCCTTCCACTAGTGCACTTGCGCCTCTCTTCTGCTGTCCCTGGCTGCATGCCCGCCAGATGCCGCGTGTGGTATATAGACATACGCCTTCTTTGGCGGTGCACAGTACTTGGATCTCATTTAATGTTGCTTTTTTTCTTGTCTCTTTGCTGTCTACGGGTTTATTGTTTCCAATTATAAAAAGTCTGCTCACGCAGCAGTTGGTTTTGGGGTGAAGATATAATGAGTCGTTGATAAATTAGAATTCCATGGCGGTTCCCGCTCCAGACTCCCTTTCCTTTCGTAGCCGATCGTTCCTCTCGTCCTGTTCCTCTTTCAATCTGGCCTCCACGTCGTCTCTGAAGCCGCCTAAATCGGGAGGGATGACCTGCATCTGAACGCTTGGCGCTCCTTGTACGAAGCGTAACTGCTCTGTAACATGCTGAACGATATCCTGTAAACGCTTCTGGGGATTGCGATTCTGTCGCGGCTCGCCCAAGATTTGTTCCAGCGTGGGGAAGAGGGTATCTTGGCGAAACTGTTCTCTCCATGGAGTATGCTCTGGCAAGATAGGGTTGATTTTGTCTTGACAGTCGATGGCTATGCTGGTCTCGTATGTCCACGCCCGGGCTACATTCCGTGGAGTGTAGCCGCCTCCACCAAAGAGAATCATGGGGATGTTCATCCTCTTGCAAAACGCAACACACGCTCCATGCCCCTGCACTTGCAGATTGAACCGACCCAGACGATCTCCTGCTAGGGAGTCAGCACCACACTGAAGGGCGATGGCACCTGGGCGAAATTTCTCAACTATCCTGCCGATGATGTTGTTGAATAGCATATCGTATTGTTCGTCCGTAATACCATCGTTGAGCGGAACATTGACGGCGTGGTGTGCTCCGGGATTATGCTCGCTCTTAGGGCCATTATCATCTAATGCACCAGTGCCAGGAAAGAAGTTGTTGGGATCGTATTTATGGAATGAGCAAGTCATGACTCTGTCTGTTGAGAAGAACGCCTCTTCGACGCCATCGCCGTGATGCACGTCAATATCAATGTATAAAACGCGTGGATAGAACCGTAGCAACTCCAGAATAGCAATGACAATATCATTAATGTAGCAAAATCCAGAGGCCTCGGCCTTCTTCGCGTGGTGTAGGCCACCTCCCCACGCAATAGCAATGTCGGACTGCTTGGAGCAAATTTTCCTGGCAGCATCAAGCGCGCTCCCGGCAGACATGGAGCAGTAGTCATAGAGGCCGTCAAATAATGGACAGTCTGAACCGCCCAGGTTAAACTTCAGATCTGGATTCTGGCTCTCAAGATCCCGTGGAACCGGCTCGGGGAGGACGGTGCCCAGAAAATCGAGATAGTCGGTAGAGTGGAATGAAGCCAGCTCTTCATATGTAGCAGCCCGGGTTACAAAGTTGTCCATTGCAAAGGACATGCCGTATGAGTAGATGAGGCTCTTGGAGAGTGTCAGACGCCAGGGCTTCATCGGATGCGTCATGCCAAAGTGGTGCTGCTCCATATCCGGGTTGCAGTGAAAGGAGACATTGTGGCCTTTGGGGCGCGTGATGCCCGATTCTTCGGCCATGCGTTTGCACTGTTGATAGTATTTTGCATTTTCCGCTTCACCAGCTAAGCCAAGAGGTTGGACGTATTCCTGAACTATGTCGTGATCAGGGTCGATGTCCAGTTTATGAGGGAGGTAGTTTGGCTTAGGAACACGGAATCTGTAGGCGTCCATGATGGGTGACGGTGCTGGGTCTGCTGAAATTAGGGAGATGGAGAGGTTAAATGGCAATAGATGATTTATTATGAGAGAAAATCACTTGTCGGTGCAGCGTCGTGACGCTCACCCCCTTGGCGGATGAGACCGTAACGCTGGGCAGAGTGCGAGGATTGGAGCTGCAGCGTAATGCCAAAGACCTGAACAAGGGTGCACGTGAGAAGCGCTGCTTTTTGATCAGTTGTGAATAGATACGCGAATGGGTATAGAGCTGAATAATGCTATTTCGGAGTAAAGCGAAGAGGAGAGAAGAAAAGAGATGGACTCTCATAACATTATGAGAGATGTAGATGAAGTTACTACTGCAGCAGTAAAGTGGACTGGGATTGGCTACGCTAAAGTCTGTTCCAGATTGAAAGAGCGACTCGGCTTCATCCAGCAGTGTCACGTGAGAGGCGCGCTTGTTCTTGATTAAGCTTTTGCAAGGACAGAGTCACTGAGGTGAGGTAAAGCAGCAGAGCAGAGTCATTATTCATTATCCTGGAAAATATTTATCATCTTCCTTCTTCTTATCAGAATCTTTACTAGATTGATCCCCTTCTCCTTTCATGTTTTCTATGACTTTATGAAATGACGAGCTGCTGGAGTTCAGAGCACTGGACTGCGAACTGCTACAGTATAGCTTTCGAGGCTCGTATTACAGAACAAGCTTTGCGGAACATTTCCGGGTGGCTAAGCCTCGGAACATGCTGGAAGCCCCTGCACCCACCACCCGATTTTGACGTACTTGCATCTCCTAGCCTGCATAAACCTCCAAGCTTGCCCCATCACTAATTCTGCATCTCCTCCGAATTGGCAGCCCAACCAGACCAACTTATTCGCTGCCCGCGCAACTCGCCGCGTCCAACTCGGCTTGTCCATCTTTCCTCAGCCGACCCAAAGCAAGACAGGCGCCGCAGTGTGAAGCGGCATCGAGGTGAGCATTGATCGAGTCGCTCTGCGCCCGTGTTTGCGTTTGCCTTGCCTTGCCTTGCGTTGCTCTTGACAACCACTCTCTGCTCTCGGAGAGGGTCCATCCACATCGTTGGAGGAGTCACTTCACTCGTTTGTCATTCGTTAGAGGCGTCTCCTTGCGGGGGGAGGTGGCTATTAGCTGGTGACAGTTTTTTTTTCCCTGCCGCAGAGCTATTGTCTGTCATGCACGCCTGATTATCCGTACATCTATCTGCTGTGTCCACTTCGTGTCCCCTACTATCAGTAGATGGGCTATGCCTCTTCGCTTCCTCTATTCTCTTTTTTCTTTGAACCATCATTTTATACGGTGAATACGGAATAGACGAGGGCGCAACCACCGCATCTTCGAGGACATGGCCTAGTATTAGCATCAGCCTGTATTTTTCAAGTCTCATCTACTACTACTACTTCTTCACGGCTGTGCCGGTGCTCGTCCCGTCTCCTCTGTCACAACGTTACACTGTCTCATTCAAGAGCCTTTCATTTCATCAAATTGCATCAGCCTCAGCTCTTTTGCTAGCCCGGCCATCTCATCTCTGGCTGCTGCCGTCTATTCTTCACCTGTTTATCATCAAAAACCCATGGGCTCGGCGTTGCCAAGTCATTAACCATCATGCCTAGAGACGATTTGTCCATCGATTTTGTCAAGAGGATGCCGCAAGCCGAGCCTCTCGACCCCGGCTTGATCCTCGATGACTGGATCAACCGGGTCCAGAACCTCCCCGAAGAGATTCGTTTCATTCAAGAAGAGATTTCAGACAAGGACCGTCAATACAATGAGTGCATCCGCATGATCGAAGACCGCGATGGAAAGATCCAAAAGTGGATAAAGACGAATGGGAGTCATGAGCCTAACCCTAAAGAAGATATGCTGCGAGCCCAGATCCGCGAGAACTACAATCGGGCAGATCAGTTTGCACAAGACAAGATCAACCTTATGCAAAGATTGCAGCTCGTCATGGATAAGCACCTGCGCAGTTTGGATATTCAGATCAAGCTGCTTTATGATCGTGCTGAACCTGGGTTCACAGACCCTGATGAGGTTCCTTCGCTTCTTCGCCCCAGTGCCACTAATCACAGCGCCCCTTCAGCTCGCACACTGAACCTATCCAACAATATCAACTCAGTCGGCCCTCTGGCTTCACCTCGCAACCCCGCTCCGGGCCCTGCCAACCCGGCCATGGTTCGACTGCCCAACCAGCCCCAGATAAGGCATCCCCAGGCCCAGCAGCACGTTGTACAGCACCAGCAGCACGCGTCTTCCGCACCGGCCACGCCTGCCGCAAGCATAATACTGAACAGGCAGCGAGAGAGCTCAGCTGGTCCAGCAACGAAGAGAGGGCCACGATCCATCACAGGGCCTGGAAATCTGCCCACAACATCAAGTGGCCTGGCGAGGCATTCATCCCTGGGGCCCGGCACGCCAAAGAATGGGGCTGGGACAAACTTGGGAGCTGGAGGTGCGGTTCGAGCAGGTAGTGCTGGGCCGAGAGCAGGATCAGTTAAATCAGCGATTGGAATGGCTGGCCGCAGAGGAACCCCGACAATAAGCGGGCGTAAGAAGCCACCCAATAGGTCATCGCTGTCACGGGTGAAGAAGGCGTCGAACAGAAATTCACCAGCCTCAACGGCTGATAGTGACTTGTCAGACGCTGGAAGTGGTAGTGGCGAAGAAGATGACAGTATCGAGCCAAGACCGAGGACCAACTTGGCTAGGGATGGCAAAAATGGTAACGAAGCGCCAGGAGATGCCGATGACGATGAGGACGGCGGCGATGACAAACAGTATTGCTTGTGTTATAATGTGAGCTATGGAGATATGGTGGCTTGCGACAACGACAATTGTCCATATGAGTGGTTTCACTGGTCATGTGTTGGACTTAAGAGCGAACCGAATGGCACTTGGTATTGTCCCGAGTGTACCGAGAAGTTGCGCAAGGGGAAGTAGGAACGAACGGTTTGTGTAAATAGTTTGAACATCAAACCTGTAATCAATCATCTCTGGCCGAAATGTTGCCTTGATTTTTTTGATTAGTATAGCCAGCGAATTGCGACTCAGAGTTTCCACTATAGTAGATTTGCCTCTTGCATTGACATAGTGTTGGGATAGATGCAGCCATGTGTTACTGATGGCCTTGGTCTTGCAAGATACAGTGAACTACGCCACGTCGTACTCCTTCACTCTCCTCTCTCAACTCTGATACCACAGCACCCTTTGATCGGGCTGCCTCGATAAAGTCGTCCAGTGAGCCACCGACTCCGAAATATAGCTTTTTTGCAGCCACATATGCAGCCGCTCGAGCATTAGATGCCTTTTCACGTTCCAGGATGGTAAAGACGAGCTGTGTGAATGCCTGCAACGCGAAGGGAGAGTAAATTGTCTCTGCCCCTACCATGAGTGTGGTTGGCGCCGGAAGATTTGATGAGAACGCCGGTAAATCGTACAAACAACGAATGAACTCGGGTGACCACGCCCCAGAGATGAATGAAAAATGAATGCCGCTGGAGGACAGGAACTGCTCGAATGCTTGGATAATTTCGGGCGATAGCTCTAGCTCGCCCTCAATGCTGAATGCGTTCTGAAGCACTGGGTCGTGGGTGTTTTCAAGGGCCCAGGCGAGGAGGAAGTTGGGCAGCGTGACGAGGCGGAGGACGGATGGGTTGTAGTCGGCTAATATGAAGGAGAGGGGCTTTTGATGCCATTGGTTGCGTGAGATTCTTTTCATGACCCAGGTGAACATTGCTAGAGAAGGGAGGGCAGTTCCACAGCCGAGCTATCAAATAGTATATGAGTTAGTTGAATGTTATACGTGAAACAAGAAAGGGTGAGTGAATCAGATGATTTGAGCAAGATGCCATCTCTCTCTCTCTCTCTCTATCTTTTTCATCTCCTTTCACGTTTTGCTTACCTCAATTACACGAAGCGATGAGGCTTCTTGAGCGGCAGTCAGTTCATCCTGGGCGGCAAGCACTTTGACCAGGTCGATGCTGCTCTCCCAGCTCTTGAAGCCGCCTTCGTAAATGCCCGTCTTGACATCGTGTTTTCCAAGCCCGCCATCGTCGACGCGGTCCTCTCCATTGGCCACCTCGTCATCCTCGGCCATGAGCTGCACTCGGACATCCCACAGCTCGCGACGGGGCAGCCGCAGTTGCGTCTCACTGGCACCAGCATCGGTGGCCTCAATGTCGAGGAGATCATAGGCGATTTTGGAGGGCAGCTGGGAGAGGAAATCCGAGAGGCTGTGCAGCGTGGCTGGCAGCTGTGGTTTGCCCGGGACGGGAAAAGCGCTGTAGGACATTGAGGCCGGGGGCTGAGCTGCGGGAGGGGCTGATGTCTGAGACTCGGTGATGTTGTCGTTGTCTATATCGTCTCCGGAAAAGCCAAATGAGAATGACATTGTGACTGGTGGGCGTGTGGAATGTATTTATATGTATATATATGCTCCCGAAATCAATGGATCAAGCAACAGTTTATAAGCTCCTTGATAATGTATGAAAATTTTAGAGAAGGAGAGTTTTCAAGTAATGAGTGAGAAAATAGATGGGCAAAATATTGAAAGTGGTAGAAATATTTCAACAGATTCAGTGAGTGTTGTTTGGTGGGGCTGCCGATTTGAGCTTCTCTGCTGTGTCTGCCAAAGAGAAAAAAAAAACTGGTTCGGCGCTGCGGATCCAATTTCCATTAGCCTTAGAAATCATTGGCCGCGGGCGACTTCATAGATGCAATCATGTCTCGGTGGTAACCAGCATGGTGGTACAGCGATTCTTATTTCCCTGCCTTGTAACAGTTACCGAGGCTATTATGCTGCCTGCTTGAAAGAACCTGATCCAGCAAATTCGATCACCTTTTCTAGTGTCCTGAAGCAATTCATGTTACCCACCATTGTTTAGATTCTTGCTCAACTAGAAGTCGCTGTATAAATAGCATCTCGCCCATCCGTCACAGAGGCAACCCTCTCGCAACTATGCGCCAAACAATCGCAAAGCTGGCGTCTGCCTCGGCCGTGCAGAATGGTCTACGGCCAAAGCCCATGGCCCTATTGCCGCCCATTCCCCTTTACCGACGGCTTCTGCGCGCTCACCGAAAGTACCTCCCGGCAGAGATGAGGCTCCTCGGCGACCAGTATATCAAGGCCGAATTCAGAGCTCATCGCAACGTGGATAATCCTGCGCATCTGGTATGTTTTTTTTATGAGGGGAAGATGAGACGGTCTATACCCTTTCTTTGCTTCCAATAGGAGTATGCTCTTTTCCTCACAAGTGAATGATTCACTGATCTTGAGTTTCCAACCTGTTAGATTGGCTTCCTTTCAGAGTGGCAGATGTATGCCCAGCAAATCGAGGGCGAGTCTTGGGTTGGTGAAAAGATTGACCAGGGCAAACTTCAAAAAATGAGTGGTAAGTCTCTTTGCCCGATGGCTCTTGGTAAAGTGTGGAAACTCATTCGTGTACAATCTTCTAGATGAGCAAATCCAGCAGTTGTATGAGTTGATGCAGGCCATACAGAAGCATCGCAACGGGGAAGAAACTGAATAGTATGCACTATTGCTGGCTTGCGTGAAATAAAAACTGTAGCATTAGACTGTATATTCAATAGCAACTGTATATATATACCCATCCATCTATACGCTCATATGCCAGTGTGTGACGTCTATCCAAAAGCACCAAGGGTATCTATCTACTCTAAATCGCACATTTATCGCCCCAATGCTTCAGCAATCCATGTTGCCTGGATCGCACTGACTTTCTTCGCGTAATTCTTATTTGTATACACATGCTCAAGGAACATGATGGCCTCTTTCTTCTGCCCGTGCATGACGCTGGATGGGTGAATGGCAACTACATGCTTACCATTGACCGTCACAAAGCTTCCATCGGGTGCCAACATGGCCGTTCTCATAGCAAAACCCCTCAGAAAGCACTTGATCACTGCCTCTGCCTTATCAGGTGACAAGGGAGTAAACGGCTGAGGATCAGATGGCGGCATCTCCGAAAGGAGCTTCTCCTTCAAACACATCCCTCGTAGCTGTCGACGAATATTCAACGCTTGCTTCATGTTGCGAATATTGATTTTGCGCTTCTTGCACCATTCTATTCTGTCCGAGTTCTCCGCAGCATACAGCTGCATAGTGGTCAAGTAAGTGATGATGTCTCCCTCTCGTCTCTGAAGATCTTTTCGGTGCTCCTCTACCTCCTCTGCGCCTTCCTCGGATTGTACGTGCATGAAGATGTCGTCTCCGGATGTGAGGCATGAGATGGCGTCGATTACTTCCAGAACGCAGTCAAACTCCGGTCCTGAGGCGGCGAGGATAACGGCACCAAGGGGAGCTGAGAGCGGGAATCTAGCCATCGTTTCTCCCGCCGGTGTGATAGTGCCGTCATCGTTGAGGGCGCCAAGGAAGTGCAAGTGTAGCAGCGCCATTTCTATGGACGCGGTTTCTGGCGCATCTATCAGCGGAAAGGCCAGTACATCCTGGATGCCACGAGCCTTCATCGTCAGGACAGCTCCAAGAACATCATTCCTCAAAATCTCAGGAAGATCAGAGCCTTGCATCATGTCAAAGGCCTCTTCAGTATAAAGTCTGAAGCACTTGCCTGGTCCCTCACGGCCTGCACGACCCGCACGCTGCACGGCGGATGACTTGGAAATAGGCTTGGCTAACAGCGATTCCATGCCCAGCCGCGGTCGGTATTGCTTCACCTTGGATTTGCCGCTATCTACGACATATCTCACACCAGGGACCGTGACGGATGTTTCGGCAATATTTGTAGCGAGCACGACCTTGCGTGTCATGGGAGACCTGGCCGGCTGAAAGGCCAATCTCTGTGCTTCAATAGAAAGCTGTCCATATAAGGGTACAGCAATGATTTTGGGCACGTTAGACGCCAGAGTCGTAGCATACTCCTCAATCAGCCGCTGTGCAGCTTCAATATCTTCCTGGCCGTTGAGGAAAGCCAAGATATCTCCAGGTAACGGCTCTTCCACGTGAATTTTGAAGATCTTCTTCAATAGCGCATCTTGGAGATCCGCAACCGGCCGCGGTTCGTATGAGATGGTGACCGGAAATTGCCGACCCTTGATCCGAAGCACCTCAACGTTGCTCGCCTTTTCTTTCCCTGGCGTAGCCCCGCTGCCGAAGAACTCTTGAATAACGCCCACTTCAGCTGTAGCGCTCATGATGATGACCTTGAGAGGGATGCCTCCCCTTTCCGTTTTATCTCCAAACAATATCTGTTTCAGAAATCCGGCCAGGAGGTCGACGTCCAGGCTTCTCTCGTGAATTTCGTCAATGACCACTGCACTGTACTGTTTCAAGTAGGGATCCCGAAGAAGCTCCTGCAGCAGAGTACCCTCAGTTAGAAATTTGATGCGGGTGCCTCGTGGCACCTGGTGGTCGAATCGAACTGAGTATCCCACGAGCCCATCTGGCCGCCCTTTGCCAAGTGGAGTGCCAGCTTCAGTTGAAACGCGATGCGCCAGAGTCGTGGCTGCAACGCGCCTCGGCTGTGTAATAGCAATCATGCCTCCAACATATCCGTCTTCCTGCCGGCCTGGCAGCTTGACCTTGTGTCGTTTGCACCAGGGTTCCTGATAGAGAAACTGCGGCACTTGCGTACTCTTACCAGAACCCGTCTCTCCCACAATGACAATAACGTCGGTACCTATGCGCTTCACAACCGATCGAATCTCATCTTGATGCTGCCATATTGGTAACTCGCGGCGAGTCTTGAGTAGAGCTTGATTCCCGGTTCCATTCGTGCTTCGTGATTTGTTGTATGTCCCTTTTTTGTCGAGCAGACTGGGCTTAGCCGTTTCTTCTATCGTTTGCTTTAACGTAGAGTTGGTTTGCTGTTCTTGTGTCGAGTTTGGCAGGATTGGCAGGATTGGCTTAGGACCGCTGCTTGCTTCGACTTGTTTCTTGGGTCGAGAAGGTGTAAGATATCCTGCGACTGAGATGGTTTTGCCTCCAATTGTGACAGACCCCGAATCTTGCCGCGTTTTGCGCCTCTTGGCAGCATGCTCTGTCGCATTTGGGGCAGCCATCATTGATTGGCAGAGCGAATGGTTGAAGTATAGAAGAGCCGCAAGATTATATCAACAATGGCGCATTCAGTGGTCTATTGGACCATCAAAAATTCAAAAATTTCTGGGTAGCAGGCTAAGCTAATTGGGACGTGGGAGTTAGCGCTCAGGCAACTAGTCCGCCTACAAGCGCTGGCTATAAAAACTTTATTTAGAAAAAAAAAATATTTTTCTGCATTATATCATATTAGAATAAGCTGTGTTAATATTTTCTAACCAATATTTTCTTAATAAGTAATAAATAATGCATTCTCTATATGTAAATAAATATTTATATATTTTTTCTAAAATCACTGTTTCATACATGGATCGCCTACTGGCTAAATATAGCCTGGAGCAGCGTGGAAGGCTGAGAGTGGACGAGCGCTGAGGCTTACTGCAGCACCTGCGGCGGTGTGGGACGGCCCCAACAGACCCCAGGGTCTTGGGCTGTTCTGCGGCATTCGCTAGCGTCCAGGACGGAGTACGACTGCAGGTGGGTGGCTCAGATAGGGAGTTGACACCCAAGCCTTCACCACCGCATCTTTGTTCGCCGCTCGTGACATCTCCTTTCTCTCTGCATCCACCAATAACTACCTGCTCTACCATTATTTCTTTCTTTCTTTCTTTTGTGGCTCTAGATTTGCATCTCGGTTTATCTGAATTCGACAACCCCCCCATAGAACACGATGAAGAAATTCGGCTTCGGCAAGAAAGGCGACGACGGCGACGACACCAACCGAAATGCCCTTTTTGGCAGCCGCAAGAAGAACTCGACGCCCACTCCCTCGGAAAACCCATATGCCAACCAAGGAGGCAACGATCCATATGCTGAGCAAACCAAATACGCAAACATGGGCGCCCGTCCGTCACCGCCTGCAAATGGCGGCTACAGCCCATACCAAGGAGGACAGAGCCCGGCCCCTCAGCAGCCTGCCGCCTCAGGGTACGGCAGCGATCGATACGGCTCAGGTGGTGGCTACGGCTCCAACCGCTACGACAGCGGCCCTGGCTCAAACCACAACAATGCTCCGGCAGCGGGGGCTAGAGGCCCTGGAGGCTACGGAGGCTTTGGCCGTGATGCGCCAGACAGCAACAGAGACGCCCTCTTCGCCGGCGCACAGGAGCGGCTCGAGCAAAAGCAGCAGCAGGCTACAGCGCCTGGGGCTGATTCACAGTCGGGTGGCTCCTATGGAGGCTATGGCGAGCAGCGGGAATTGACAGAAGAAGAACAGGAGGAGGCTGACTATCAGGCTATTCTGACTGAAAAGAGACAGGTTCAGCAGGACAGTGTTGCTTCAGTGAGCCGCTCGGTGCAAATGGCCAGACAAGCCAACGAGGTCGGACGTGCTACTTTGGCCCGTCTTGGCGCACAGGGAGAACGGTTGCATAACACGGAAAAGAACCTCGACCTTGCCGCCAACCAAAATAAGATTGCTCAGGACAGAGCAGCCGAGTTGAAGACGCTTAATCGCAGCATGTTTGCCGTCCACGTTGGAAACCCATTCACGTCCAAGCAGCGCCAGCAGAAGGCCGATGAGGATGTAATGAACCGCCATCGGGCTGAGCGAGAGCAGCGAGAGATGACTCGGCGAGACGGCTACGCTGCCACCCAGCGCATGGAGCAGAACATGCGCCAGATTGGCAATACAGGGGGGAACCGGGCAAACCGCAAGAAGGATTACGGAAAATTCAATCTGGACGACGAAGAGGGCGCTGACGAACTCGAGGATCAAATCGATGATGGGCTCACCGAACTCGAGGGACAAGTCAAGATGATGAACATGGTCGGCCGAGCCATTGGCGCAGAGGTGGACGTCCAAAACAAGCAAATCGATCGTATTATGAATAAGGTATTTCAATCCTGGATCTCCATCTTTACACATGTTCTACTTCTTTGCTTGGTGCCAGATGGCTAACGGTTTATTTTCCCAACAGAGTGACGCAGTTGATGATGCTACAAGAATGAATAGAGAACGGTTGGCCCGTATCAGGTAAAGCGATGAATAGAATTTCGGTCTTATAGACTGCTGGGTTTTGCGTGTGTGTGTTTTCATAATATGGTGTATTTCATTTATTATATATCTTAGTAGCTATATATATTACATGAAACGTTTAATATTGCTCGTCGTGCAACGCCTCTCGTACTATCACGCAGCAACGCAGTCCATCTTCATTTCCAATTGCAAGGGGCTTTTGACAAGGCTTAGCTAATTCCTCCCCAGGCATCGAATTGCCACTACAAACATCTTAGTCATAGCTCGATCTGTATCCGGTAGTTCCCAAACTCTACCTTGCGTCTATACCGCTAGCGGGCTGCATCAACCGGTCCTCTTAATGTACCTGCTCCCCTCGGCCATGCGTCAGGAGACACCGTCAAACTGTGTTGACTCACACATTCGCGCTGAGCGCGTTCGCTGTCAGTGGCTTGGCTCCTCCATGCTCATTTCGTTGACGGGCTGATTTTTGCTTAAATACTCGCATTTCTTAATCCAATCTGCATTCCTTACCAACTGCTCAGCACATGCTCCTACTATTCTCATTCCCTGTTTCTTGATCATCAGGAGGCTGTTTGCACCCCCTGCCGTTAGTATCGCAGCTGCTTACCATAATGATATCCCATGACCGGCATTGCTTTACAATAGTACATCGGACCTTCATAGTATGATTCAGGTTGTCTCAGTAGCGGAAGGGAATATCCATATCAAATCGTTATAATCGCTTTCAATGGCCTCAGTCTTTACCTACGACCCGGATCCTCCTCGGGTCTCCTCGCCCTGGATTCTGGCAGACGACGCAGACACTTCTCCGGCATCAGGTGCGGCGGTGACTCAGACCGGTTTGCTGTCCGAGTATGGCGTCACGAGGCTGGATGCAGAGCCGCAGACTGGCCCGATCGAGTATAAGCTTCATCTACTGCTTCGATCAAGACGCGGTTATGTGTACATGAGCACGGCGGACCAGAAGAGAGACAGGTTTCATGCGCAGCCCGGAGACGGGTCGGCGCTGTATTCGGCCTCTCCAGCTTCTTACTCGGCCTCTCCCACTCCTGCATCGTCGAGCCAGCCTCGCCAGGAACGGCTCCAGCGCCTCACGACGCAGCTGCTGTGGCGCCTGCAGCAGTCGTCGCCGTATCATGCGTCGAGTTCAAGAGAGGTCAAGATCCCGAAGCTGCCTGACGGCAGCACAGACGCAGATTCGCCTGATCTTTACGGCACTCAGATTCCTGGCCTTGAGGAGTCGCAAGGAGCTCTATACGAGATTGGCGTTTCTGACGATGGACACCTTGTCGGACTGGCCAAGGACGAGCTGGACGAGAGCATTGCGACTTTGAGAATCATGGCAGCTAGCCTCGGGTGCGGCGTTACTGTCCTGCGAATGGTGATTGTGGGTGATTGCGAATGGATCGAAATAGCCGACCTCAATGGAAATGCTTCTCAGGGACCGACTCAGGTCGCCAAGCGGGACAGACTCTGGGTAGCCGAGGCACTCATCACGCCCAGCACTGAGCTGCTACATTCAAAGGATACCAAGCGTTACACCGAATCTGCTGAAGGAACTCCCGTGGATTCTGCTGCGTCAACCACAGTACCAGGCCATGGTAAATCTACAACACCGCAACTACGGGTTACCCTGACCGGCCCCATAGCATCGGGAAAGTCCAGCCTCTTAGGAACGCTATCTACAGGGACTCTGGACAATGGCCGGGGCAAGAGTCGCCTAAGCCTACTGAAGCATCGTCACGAGATGGCGTCCGGAATGACCAGCTCCATTGCACAGGAGCTCATTGGATATAAAGAAAGACTCATATTCAGCTTTTCCCATCGCAATATTGAATCATGGCTCGACATTCACGACTATGCCAACGACGGTCGACTTGTATTCATGTCTGACTCTGGTGGCCACCCGAGATATCGACATACCGTGTTTCGCGGACTCATGAACTGGGCACCCCATTGGATGGTCCTGTGCATTGCTGCTGACGATGCTGAAATGACGTCTCGAGCCCATGACGTGACAGCACCGGCACCAGATTCAGGGGAGACTGATTTGGTCAAGGCGCATCTGGATCTCTCGCTCAAACTTGACGTTCCATTGGCAATTGTCATTACAAAGTTGGATCTCGCATCCAAGGTGGCCCTGCAAAAAACCATGACCAAGATCCTCGGTGCTATACGGGATGCGGATCGTGTGCCAAAACTCTTGCAGCCTGACCAACAGCCACGAGACCAGCTGTCAGAGATTCCACAGACTGACTGGGACAAGGTGCAGAGCTTTGTTGGAAACATATCCGAGCAAGATTTGCTGAAGCGTGTTCCTATCGTGTTTACCAGCGTTTTGAAAGGGGTGGGCATTGGCCTTGTCCATGCTCTCCTTGCGAGCCTGCCTTTACCTCCTGCGCCCACGTCGCATAGTTCCAGAGACGCAAGCCCTCAGTCAGAGCAACCGAGAAATATATTCCATATTGATGACACGTTCAGCTTGCCCAGATCTTTTGATGATTCGCTGGCAAACTTGGACGGAGTTATTGTATCCGGCCATGTCCGTCTTGGCAGCTTTTCTATAGGACAAACCATTGTTGTAGGGCCATTTTCGTCGAGCCATGCGCTTGATCGTGGTTCCGGAACTGAATATCAATCATCACCTGAGGGTCGTGGATCACCGGCACTGCGCGCGATTTCAGCTACGCATTCCAATGGGAACAAGAGTGGTGGCTCAGTATCCCCGTCAACAGATTCGGATGAGTGGCAGAAAGCACGCATTGTGAGCATTCGTAACCTTCGGTTGCCAGTTGGAACATTAGAAGCTGGCCAGGTTGGATCGATTGGGCTTGTCTTCGAGACAAACCACAGCGATCTCACAGTCCTACCTGATCCCCCTCAGATTCGAAGAGGCATGGTTATTAGCACTCCAACTATGGACATGCCTGATAGTGAAATGCCGCTCCACGCTTCCCGTGGGTTCACTGCAGTGTTTGAGGAGGACGGTGCTCAGTTCCCACCTTCGGGCACACTGGTCAACGTTCTCTTTGCCTGTGTCAGGACTGCTGCTCGGATCCTCGATGTTTCTGTTCAGCACCGCGGCGAAACAGGCGAGACAATTGGGCCCCTCGACGCGGACCAAAAAGCAGAGACTACAAAAGACTCTTCAAGAGATACAGTAACAAAGGTAACTATAGAATTAGTGCACAGTCGAAAGTGGGCTGAGCTAGGGTCATCAGTGATTATCATGGGAAACGGTAGCCACGATGGATCAGGGTTGCAGGGTTTTGTTGGAAAGATTACAGACGTGGTATGTTAACACTCGTTTTCCGTGTCAGCAGTGGTATATATGTATGCGTGTGTGTTGTGAGAAGCGTTTTTTGATGAGCGTTGAGAGAAATCAGTGGGTCGTTATTATAGGCATTAAGAATAAATTATTGTTTTGACAGATATCGTAATGGCACATCCGCATCATTGCAAAGTTCGCTGGCTATCCTTTCCCTTCCTCTTTCCCTTTCCCTTTCCCTTTCTTTCCCTTCTTTCCCTTTCCTCTCTTATGCTCTCACTAATCCGTAGAATAATGTCCATGTCAGAATGAATCCAGGCAATCCATTCGTTATGCCGCCTGTCCAGATATCAAGGGCGCCTCTGTAATACCGACTGGTGTCGACGACGCTGCGTCCCTCTGCCAGAGAGCCCGGCGCCAGCTGAAAGGTGTAGAACAGAATGGTTGTTATTATTGAGAAGACGATGTAGAACAAGAAGCCGTAATAGGACTCGAGGCCAAGAATCCCTGCGCTGACACCAAAGAGAGACGCTGTCAGGCTGTGGAGATTGGTGAGGACCTGCATCGCGGAGGTGGAGGTTAGCACGTTAGTTGGGATGGTAGGAAACCCTCATTCGCGGTTGCGAGAGGAGTTCGGGTTGAACGCACCTTGTTGTTATGGACGATTGAGTCCCCAACAACGGGATTGATTTGAAGCTCTTGTTCCGACGACATTGTTCCGGCGATGCTGGATTCGGCGCATTCATGCGTATATCATACGGCACTGATAAGACAGCTTGGTGACAGCTCAGATGAAGTAGCGCGCAGGACCAGGAAACGCGGGCCGAAGGCATCCGAAAACGACATGCGGAAAGGTGGGCGTATTCCAGCAAAGGTACGTACCTGTACATACGACGAGGGGCAGTCAACTCGGCATGACGGTCAATCGGCTTGGATGGTGGGGTTTCGAGCTTGCGGTTTGCCTTTTCCATGGCTGACTCGGCTCACATGGACAGCTTGGGCTCCTACAATATTCAGCTACATATAAAATTCCATTCATTTCCTTTTCCCGCCAAGATGTCCGAGCACTCTTTTGAGCCATTGAAGAACGACCTGCTGCTGCGAGCGGCACGGGGTGGGTTTATTGCCTTCTGAGTGTCTTGCGCAGCCTGCGAATTGAAGTTTGTTGCTTATACGTATATGTGCGCTGTTGGATAGGCCAGGTCGTGGAACGACCTCCCATGTGGGTGATGCGCCAAGGTGAGTTTTTGTCTTTCGAGCTTCTCCCTTTGAAAAAAGAAGGAGTCGCAAAGAGAAACACTATCACAAGGGGAACAGCCCTGTCTGACAAGTTCTCTTAGCTGGCCGCTACCTGCCCGAGTATCATGAAGCCAAAGGCTCGCGCGACTTCTTCGAGTGCTGCCGAGACGCCGAGGTCGCCTCCACCCTGACGCTGCAGCCGGTCGAGCGATTCGAGGGCCTGCTGGACGCAGCCATCATCTTCTCCGACATCCTCGTCATCCCCCAGGCCATGGGCATGCAGGTCGAGATGGTGGACAAGAAGGGACCGCACTTCCCGAACCCGCTCCAGAACCCGCTCGACGGACAGTACGAGAAAGTTCTCGGCGGCAAGGTCGATGTGGCCGCTGAGCTCGACTACGTGTACAAGGCTATTACCCTGACGAGGAAGAAGCTGGCGGGCAGAGTGCCGCTGATTGGCTTCTGCGGTGCTCCTTGGACGCTTTTCTGCTACATGGTTGAGGGCGGTGGCACGAAGCTGTTTGCTCAGGTCAAGACTTGGATTTACAAGTACCCGGAGGAATCGAAGAAGCTGTTGGCCAAGATTGCCGATGTTTGCGTGGACCATCTGGCTCACCAGGTCAAGGCTGGAGCTCAGGTATGGCTTTCATTGTTCAATCCTCACCGCTTCATCTTTTTCAGTAGCATTCTGCATCATTTCATTATCTCGTGCAATGAATCGGGTAGCTAACGATGTGTATCATCCAGTTGGTTATGGTGTTCGATTCGTGGGCTGGAGAGTTGGGTCCTGCTTCTTTCAAGCAGTTCTCTGAGCCCTACCTCGCTCACATTGCTCAGAAGCTTCCTCTGAAGCTCCAAGAGCTTGGGCTTGAAAAGGTGCCCATGACGGTGTTCCCCAAAGGCGCTTGGTTCGCTCTCGACTCGGCGTGCAATCTGGGCTACAACGTTGTCGGCATGGACTGGCTGCAAGATCCTAGTGAGGCTGTACGAATTCGAGGAGACCGAAACATTGTTTTCCAAGGTAACGCCGACCCTGGAGTGCTGTACGGCACAAAGGCGGCCATCACCGAGGCTGTTGAGACGATGGTCAAGGGTTTCTGGTCTGGCGAGAAGAAGGGCTGGATTGCAAACTTGGGACATGGTAAGAGATATGCCCATCTTATTTATGTGTCTGCGTTTACTGAATAACTTGTGTCTATAGGTATTACACCAGGAGTGAACCCGGAAAACCTGAAGTTTTTCTTTGAGGAAATTCACCGACTGACAAAACCTTGAAAGCCGACCCAGGGAAAAGAGAAAACATAATAAAACAAAATAAAACAGGCAACATAATGAAACACGCTCTCCACTCAGCGACAGAACCAAGTAGTAGTTAGTTGTAATGATAGGCCACGTTATGTTGTAACCAAGAACATAGGTATATATATATTTAAAAAAAAAAAAAAAAAAAAAAAAAAAACACCAAACCCGCTCCGTTAATGGAAAGCCCTTGTGGCCTCAGATGATGTTTCCCAATTAAAGCCCACAAGCTTACGCATTTTGAATACCGTTATACCGCCGAGAGACTCCGTGCCAAAATGTTTAACAGTCGACAGATGCGCCTCGGGAATCCCCAACACCATGAACCAAATCCTTTCTATAAAAGAGGAGAGATATAATGAAGTGGAGAAGAGACAATACAAAAGAAATGATGGAGGAAAAGAAGACACAAAAGGGGAGCTGACGGGTGCTGTCATGGCTTCCTTCCAAACATTAGCCACTTCTTTATTGCTGCGGCTGGTTCGACCTTTTCAAGTTTGTCTGTCTTGTCCAGAATCTTCTCGGACGTCTTCTCAGATGTCTTCTCGGTAGCGTCTTCGGGGGCCTCGTCGATGGCTTGCTCGCCGCTTCGGTTGCGCGTCAGCCGCTCGAGTTCGTCCTCGCCTTTGAAGACGTTGCCAGCGCCGCCGCGTCCAGCGTACTGGGCTCCTGAACTAAGTCGCCGGGGTACTCTGTACACAAGCGCGCATTGTGAGAAATTGTACATTATTCCTTGAGTGTCTTTCGCATATGCCAGAGAGATGGAGATGCCAACAAGAGTGACAGTGGGGAAGGATGATAAGTCAGAGAAGGTTACGCCTTAACGGCAAGGGATGGTGTGCAGAACGGGAAAAGAAAAATCCATCTCTCGCAGCATGCTGGAATATCCTCAACTTACGCTTTGACGTCCTGGCGAAGACGAGTTTCGTGAGGGTCGTCGTTCTTGGTCATGTTGCCAGTGCCGCCGCGGCCCGTCGTCACAACGGCTGTTTTCAGCACCGGCGTCTCGAGATCCGAGGCCTTGATGGACGGCGACTGCGCTGCGTCGGCCATGTTGCCAGCGCCGCCGCGCCCATGGGAAGCAAACTGAGCAGTCATTGTGCGATTGTGAATATGGCCTCTTTTTTTTTTTTTTCCTTCTCTTTTTCCTGTTTCGGGATGATGGTTTTGGAACGGAGACGCTTCGGCTTAGACCTCTGCGCAGAAAGGTTGAGACTATGTGAGTCGAGAGAGTTTGGGTAGCAGCCTTATGGGCGGGCCGGGTCATCTGCCACAGGGGACTTTTTTTTTTTCCCTGCTGCTTGCGCTAGGGGAGGGGGATTGCCATGCGTTAAAGGCAGGGCCTAGCACGGAGAGGGATTAGCGCGGTAACAGAGCAGCGCTTCTTTGAACGATGGCATCAGAGCGTGACGCTATTCAGTACTACCTGGGAGTGCCTGGGGCATCTACTACTAAACTCAGCAGGTACGGCAGCCGAGAGACTCTCCATCCCGTCGACTTCCCTCTCAAGCGTCTGTCTCTGTTGCTTCTGTCTCTGTCGCCTCTGTCACTTTTCGCAGGATGAGGATCCCAAGATCGAGCGAGAGCGGGTGTGTTGCATCGTCATTCGTCACATCATCCCGTGCCCGGTTTAGCTCCTCCCCGCTCCCAGCTATCGCTGCCAACCGCTAAGCGCTACTGCTGCAGCTCGAGCAAAAGAGAGGCCACCACGCTGCGTGCCACGACTAATCGCAGCACATGCGACATATGCGCCGGAGCGGTACCTGCACCTGCTTGGCGCTGCTGTTTGGCACCCTGTGGAGCAGAAGCTGAGCCGCACGGGGTATAAATACAGGCGGGTAGCTGGCCAGGCCTCGCTTGGCTGCGGTATGTAACCTCGCCATTTCCGCCTGTCCTTTGACACCCCCACCTCTTCCATTCCACCTTTTGCTCTGCGTTTGCTTGTGCTTTTCGTTGCTTGAGCGAGCGAGCGGGCGAGCGAGCAAACCAGCGACTTGTCTGTTCATTTCCTGTATTGCACTGCGTCTTCTCCCTGAGAGCTGCCGCTCGTTTCGCCGCCATGAGCCTCTACGACTCCGAGGACGACATCAGCGTCCGCGTTCGCCACGACCGCTCCCCGCCCGCTGTGCGCTACGTCCACAGCCCGCCGGTGCGGGGACCTCAGTACGAGTACGGCACCACGCCCACCTATATTGGCCCCGAGCGCACCACCGTCGTCGCCTCGCACCTGCGCACCCGATCGCCTCCGCGCGATCTCCGTGATCCCCGTGATCTTCGTGATCCTCGTGATCTTCGTGAGAGCCCTCGCAACAGCCGCACAGCCGTCGGGGCTGGAGCGCCGGTGCCGCCTCCTCCAGCGCCGGCCCCAGCGCCCATTATTATCAACAACCGCATCTACAACGAGCACGACTCGGACGAGGAGGATGACATTTACCGTCGCAGCCGCAGGCCGGCGGCAGTGCCTGTCGTCTATCGCCGCTCCTCCAGGTCCCGATCTCGATCTCGGTCCCGGAGCTCCTCCCGGTCGTCCCACGGGCCTCGTTCCGGACGGATGACTCGAGATGATTGGGAAGGGGAGCAAGCACGCCGCGACCTTGAACTGATGCGCATCAACCAGGATCGTGAAAAAGAGGACCGACGTCGCGAGAAGGAATATCGTGAAGAGGCGGAGCTCCGCCTGACGCAGCGCCAGCTTGAAGTAATTAAGAAACGTGAGGCAGATGAAGAGGCAGAGAAGCGCATCAAGATGGAGCTTGAGTATAAGCAGAAGGAGCTCGAGTTTCAGCGACACAAGGAACGCGAGGCCGAAGAAGAGCAACAGAAGCGCCTCAGGATGGAGTTTGAGTTTAAGCAAAAGGAGCTTGAGTTTAAGCGACACAAGGAAGCTGAAGCGGCCGCCGATGAGAAGCGAAAGCGTGATAAAGAATATCGTGACGAGGCTGAGCTTCGCCATGCCCAGCTTGCGCTCGAAGGCATCAAGAAGCGCGAGGCAGAGGCAGAGTTGGAGAAGCGTATCAAGAAGGAAATGGAGCTGAAGCGCCTCAAGGAGGAGGAGGAGGCGGCTGAGGAGAAGCGACGGCGCGATGCCTTGGCTCACGACGCTGTTGAGAGATACAAGAAGGCCGAGGCCGACCGCATTGCTCATGAACAAAAGATGAGAGAGCAAAACGACAAGGAGTACAAGCGCCGCCTGCACGACGATCTCCTCAAGTCGGGCCTTGACGAACACGCCATCGAGGCTATCCTCAGCCAGAAGAAGGTGCAAAAGGCCCCGGCCCCGGCCCCGGCCCTGCCTCCGCCTCCGGGCATGGCTCCGGGAATGCCTCCCGGAATGGCTCACCCCCCCGGCAACCTCGCAATGGTGCCGGCTCTCCCAGCTCCGGAGCTTCATATGGAGCGCCATACGTACACGCGAATGGCACGCAGGTACCTGTCCATTGAGACGCTGCGCACTTTTAACATTGATTTTGAGTTTGACGCTGTAAGCCTTCCTTTTTTAATCGGCAATGATATGTCTTGATATCGAGCCCTGACTAATATATCTCCAATACCAACAGGATCCCGAGTATGTCCTAGTCAAGCGCTGGGTCCCCGAATGGGAGCAAGACCAGTTCTGGGAACACACCAAGCAGGTTCGAGAGAGGCGAACTAGCAGGACCACCCTAATGGTCGAAGACACCAGGCGCTCGTCTCACTCACACCACCGAAGCAAAAGCACCGACGTTGAGATTATCCGCAAGAAGTCCAAGCACGACCGCAAGAGGAGCAAGTCTCCAGGACCGCTGCTTATGTACCTGGCAGGAGCTCGTCCGTCCTAAACTAATGAATGATTTTTTTACGAGACCATGTTTTATTGCAAAAAATTGTTTTCCGGCCAGATATCTATATTTTATGTAGTCCGTATTACTGCTATTGATTGGTTTTGAGGCTGTATTTTCCTGATTGATAGAGTGGAATATTCTTGATACTCTTATGAATCTTATGACCCTTATGCAACATGTCTTCTTTTTTTTTCTCTCCCTCTTTTCTCTAAATCCTGAATATCAGGTTTAGCCAAATTACATTGATTTGAGACTACGCCTTGCGCCGTAGCTGCCAGCATATCTACGGATGAGTTCCTCGTATATCGTCCATGAAAGCGCAGAGCTCAGTGCTTTGCGACTCATCCGGAGGACCAGCCCGCGCCATAATGAATGGAGGCCTTCTTCAGTGACCATTCTGTAGCCAGCATGAATCATATTCCGGTATTGGTCCGGCTGTAGCTGAATGCGCGTCTTGCAGACGTCGATTGGGTTTGATATTGCCGAGCAGATTGCGCCCGCCGAGATGGCCGAGGCAAAATTGACAGAGCTGGCCATGGAGGGGGTCATGCCGTCGTGAGAAACGAAGGAGCCCAGTTCCCTTTTCAGCATCTCGTAAATGGATACGTACAGGCCCGCATAGGGGGCGTCCCGGATGGCAGTTGCGCCAAAGCCAGAGAAGAAGCCCCGGATGCCTGCCTGGTGATGGATATCTTTGACGGCGGCCCACATGGAAGGGTAGGAGTAGAGAGTCGACTCAAACCGGACCTTGATGACGGTCAACGGCATCAGCACAAAGCCTGCCCATGTCCGTGCCACAGCGCCAGCCACCACGTTGGCCGAATTGCTCAGCTTCGGCAGCGACGACGACGAGGCGCTGTGGGGATGGATCTGCTGGTTGAGTGCATTTGACCGCTGGATGAACTCGCGGATGCTATGCAGCGACGAGAAGTAAATGGCCGATCCTATGCCTGTGCGCAGCGACGACGGCACAGTTCCCCTCCACAGCGCCCGGATTGGATGTGGCGACTGTGTCAATTCCTTCCAGGAGCTCAGCAGTGAGAGACGACTCGATTGCTGCGTCCGCGTCTTGAGGAGATCCAGCGGCTGCAGCAGCACGGCTGAAGCCACTCCCGACCCAAGGCCAGAGAGGAAGTGTTGCACTAGGAGCTGGGATGAGCAATTTCCATACAACGTGCCATTGTGAGACGCGCACCTGCCACAGCTGATTTTGCTGATGATGATGATGACGATGACGATGGTGTTGTTGTGCCCATGATAATTATATCAGAGTCTGGCTCAAGCAGAGGAGCGAGCAGATGTGATGTAGCTGAGCTTTGCTAATTGGTAAGCTACACTGCGATAACACCAAGCTCAAAGAAAGCCCTCATGTAAATATATAAACAAAACAAAAAGAGCTCCAATTGTGCGCGTCTGTGAATCGATAGCGTGGCAGTAAGATATTAGTGCTATGATATAGTCTACGGTGTAAAGGTCGATGGATTTGTTGAGAGGTTGGTTAAGGTTTCGTAGCTCAATGCATGCGGTCCAAGGTTTGCGATGACGCATCTGCGCACAGTGACCAAAAAAAAAGTGCCTGGCGTTTTACCGATAATCTCCGATGACAGACTCCAGCCGCCCGGCGAGCAGCCTATGGCGCTTGACCAAATCCACCCACTCGCCAACTCCAGCCATGGCTAACAGCATGCCAAAGTCGGCTCCGAGCCTGCCCAGGCTGCCGGCGCAGTAGAGCACCTGTGTGAGAATGCTTTCGCGGGCGACTTTGTCTTTGACGGCGGGCAGATAGACGCGGATTGGCTCGAGCAGGATGTTGACCAGGTGGATGGGAAATGTAGACAGCGCAGAGGGCAGAGGATGGAGCAGGTCGAGGTCGTCGGGGGATGCGTTGCCCAGGTTGGTGTCCACACTCTTGGACATGGAGACAATGCCAAAGCTGTGCTCTCGGAACACCTCGATGAAGCGTTTGAGAAAGCGTTCTGTGTGCTGGCCATTGGACCGCGACTGTGGTGTCTTCTCCTGGCTCAGCCGCTCGTCCTCAGCCAGGCGGCGGAGAGGCTCCAGTGCGTCGAGAGTAGCTGTCAATGTGACGAACCGACAAATCAGAAAGACGGCGGGGATCATGTCTTCTGCCGGCGCTGCGGGTATGAGATCTGGAATGGCTCGCTTGAGCCACCCCACCGTCCTCAGCGTCGCAGCCAGCTTCAGGTTCGGCGCCTTCAGCGTGTTGATGAGATCCGTGGCAAGCCGAAGGATGGAAACCTCAGACTCGCTCAGCACATGCTGGACAAGCTGTGAGTTCGGGTACAGGGCTCCAAGGCGCTGGATGTGGCCATACAGGTCAAGCGTAGAGGAGAAGCCCAGGGGCGAGATATTGGCCGTGGACGACAACAGAGTAGGGACCTGCATGAGATCCGTCAGGCGGTCGGCGTTGTCCAGCAGCTTCAGCACCTGTTTCCGGCGCGCAATCAGCTTGTTGTCGCCGGCCTTGCTGACGCTGGTGGAAAAGTGCTCGACTTGCGAGTCCAGGCTGGAGATGAGCCGGCTCAGCTGCAGCACGTTGGTCGACAGGGCCGGCACCGTTTCGCGTAGAGAGGCATGGCTTTCGGCCGAGCTGACGACCGCCTTGTACGACTTCTTGGAGAGGCCCTGGATCGAGAGCAGCGTCGAGTTGGAGGCCTGTGAGAGAAGCTGGCGCTCTGAAGTCCGCAGGGCATCAACGGGCTGTCCCGCCAGGTACGAGATGTAGTCCGAGGTTGCAGCATCCACGCTCTGCCCGTTGCCCAGCAGATCCTGCAAAGCTTCTGCCATGGCGGAAATGAGATGAGGGAGACCAAGTGAGATTAAAGGCGCATTGACTTGGGAGATGCAAAGCTCAGGTAAAGAGAGGCGCAGATTAGATGGTGTTTGTCCGAGTATTTAGCTTGCATGAGCAGGAGATTAATGCAGTTGAGCCTCTGGAGTAGCAAACCACGTAGCGCATATGGCCAGCAGCACAGGGCAGTTGGTACTTACCTTGGGCGCGGGTGGCCCATAATAGCTCGGGCCCTCCAGCAGACAGCTTAGCGCACTGCCTCGGGTAGGTTGGTGCGTTATTGGAGAGAGACCCAGTACTACAGTACATCAGAAAGCTCCACGGCAAATTAACTGCCAACTTGGCAGAGCTTCTAGGCTAGTATCTATCAATATGTGTATATTCGTATTATAATTACATAAAATTTAATATCAAATTTCTAGCTTTCTACTCGTCATCAAGGCTAGATTAAGCAGGCAGTCGTTTTTGTGTTTAAATCAAGCTATATAGTTAGTTGGCTGTATATAACAAGTCGCAGTGTAGAAACCACTGTCTTCCGTCTAGAAACCAAACGGATTTTCAGGAGCTGCGGCGGAGTGATACTATTAGCAAAGGCAGCAGCACAGCGTTGGGGGCAAGACAAAACTTACTTGCTTGAGACAGGTTGGCCCGTCGGCCGGTTGCCTGGGGCGCCAGCTTCTTCGTCTCGGGAGTCACACCAAAACGAACTGGCGGAGGAGGTCCGGTCTTCTGCGGTACAAGCGGCTGCAGTGGTTTCAATCCGTCCGTGCTACCTGTTGGCTGGAGCGGCTGCAGGCTCTGGAATCCGGTCGGCTGAGGCTGTAGAGCTGGTGGCAGATAGTTGTTGATGCTGCCAGAGCCAAAGGGAGACTGTGTCAGGCCGGGTTGGAAGCCGGTGGGCTGGGCTTGAAGACCCCCGTACTGGCTTATTCGGCTTGGGTCAATATAGCCAGGCGCGCCAGTGAACTGGGGCTGTATAAACTGTCCAGGAGCACCCTGGGGAAATTGCTGCAAGCCCTGGGGCTGGGGCCCAGAATATCCCGTAAACTGGGGCTGCAAGTTTTGGAACTGTGCATTATATTGCTGTTGGAACCGAGCTTGAGTAATGTCGTTGAGGCTTTGTCCCGGTGGCGCAACTTGGCCCTGAACGAGGCCAGTAACTTGAGGGAGGAGCGTAGGGGCGGCAAATATGCCTTGAGGGAGTGTAGACTGAGGGGCGGAGAGCGGTCGTTGCGGTGGTGGTGGCACGCCGAGTGAGCCCTGAACTGGCGGCGAGATGGATGGCGCGAGGGGTCGCTGCCTCCCCAGAGACTTTGGAGAGATGTGAACTCCGGTAAGCTGAGGGAGCTGGGCCGAAACCACCTGGTTTGGTTGTGGGACTGTTTGGAAGAAGGATGGGCTTGCTCCCAGTGGCTGTTGCTGTTGTTGCGCTGGTGGTGCCGCTGCAGCCGCTTGCTGTGCTTCGCCACCAAAGTTGGCAGCAGGAGGCTGGACGGGAGGCTCAACCTTGCTGGGCTCTAATGGCGCTGACAGTAGAGAGAGGTCCATCAAAGATCCGGTGAGCGCTGGAGGTAGAGGCGCAGGAGCTGGCGCTGGCGCAGGTGTCGGGTTGACGGAGGGAGCATCTGCCGGCGGCGAGGCCTGCGGTTTTGTCTGCTGCTCCTGCTTCGTTGGCTTCACATCCCAGGCATCGTCGTCAAACCCTCCTGTAGGGCGCTTGGGTGGTTTTTCCGGGCTTGCAGGAGATGCTGGTTTGGCCGCAGTCTCGCCAGAGCTAGACGCTTCCTTACCAGTTGAGAAAACAGCCGCATCAACCACATCGCCAGTTTGCACAGCAGGGGCAGGCCGGCCCTTTCTTGTGTTATTCCGCAGCGCTCCTCCTGGGCCTGAGAAGAGGCCGCCGTCGCCCTCGCCGTTGGCTTTATTGCGGCCGAACTTGGCGTCTAGAGTACGCATGACTTTGATGATGTCTCCTTCTCGCAGTCCTAAATTCCGTAAAACACCGGCATCGACGTCCGGCAGCACGCTCTCATCCATCGAGTCTCTCGTGAATGCCTGAGCATAGCGTTCACAAAGGCCAACGGCCACGTCGCAAGACAAGAAAAACTGGAACCAGTCATACTCTGGTTTCTTGTCGATGGATGCCCCAACGGCAGAGGCAGAAGCCTTCTTTTGCTCCGGGGGCTTCGATCGCTTGACATCGGCCAGCGGTCTCTCGTCATCCAAAGAGATGCCGGTGATATTCTCAACATATTCGAGGTCTCCGTGCGACATTTTTGCGATGGGTACAGCGATCTTCACGCCATTCATCTTGTGAAGATGCAGCTTGCCATCTTTGAGTCCAAGGAACTGCGCCTCGACGCTGAATGACTTTGATCGATCCGTCCATGTCCGCACTTTGGTTGCGTCGGGTTCTGCAGTTCGAATGTTAGTTGCACGACATCTTTTGACCTGCGTAGCGTGACTATAATTAGGGGGAGATGGAACTCACTTGTTTTGCTCGCCGAATTGCTGCCACTGTCGGCACGTCCATTCTCGCGTCGATTCCGCTGTTGTCCCAAAATGTTACCATTGTCCGGAGTTATGAGGCTGCTGCCGCGTTTAGGCAAACGCATGTCTAGGCCTACCTGCTGAGGTTCCTTGCTAGCCTTCATTGCTTCTTTGGTGAGTCTCATCTCCTCCATGCGATTCTGTTCCACGGTTGATTTGGCTCTTGATACTGCTTGGCCCTCGGGTGGCGGCGTAATGGTACCTGAGAATTCGACGTAGCTACTCGGCACAACGCCTTGCTTGCCGTTCCTGAGGCGGCGAACTTGCCACCAGTCCTCGCTCCTTGTGTCGTCAATAATAGCCACCTCGTCACCCGCAGCGACAGTGACTTCATCTTCGCCCTGCGCCATGAAGTCATAGAGAATCGTTCCTTTTCTCTGTCGCTTTTGAGAGCCAGCCGCGATTACTTCTCTCAATCCCTCTGCTCGGGCAGCACCTGCAAGCTCTCCAAGAGAAGCCACAATTTCTTCTGCGGTGTCTTTAGCTCCGGCATGGAAATCGATGCTCTTGCTGGGGCGAACAAGCTCCATGAAGACGTGCTTCCCCTCACGAGAGTAATGGGTCATCTTCTCGGCAGTCCATTCCTGAGGAGGGTCGTCCTGAGCTTTCTCGGGTGCGATCAAGATGGTACCCGTCAAAAGATTGATGCCAAGAGTTGTCGGCATCTTCTTCTTCTTGCCCATGACTGACACCATCTCGTTGATGTTGTATAAGTGGAATCCACCAGGAATAAGGTGCCCCTTGGGCTGAGGTTCAATCTGTGACTCTCGCTGAGGCCTGGGCGTATATTCCGCGGGTGGTGAATATGCTTGAGACTGCGGTCGCGGTCGCGTGGGCAATGCAGGAGACTTGATAGACTCTTCATCTGATACCTCTGGTTCTTTGAAACGCAAAGTCGGAGGCTCCCTGACGGATGGCCGGTTTTGGATGACACTAGCGAGAGCAGCTGCTGGGTTGGCAACTGGTGCCTCGTCAGACGGCGTTGAATCATCTTCAGGAGCAGCAGCGATGGTTTGGGAGGGCGGCCGTCTTGGCAGCACCGGAGCTGCTGGCGGCGCCGGCGCAGCTGCAGGAGTGGCAGCTTGCACCTCGATATAATTGGCCGGGACAAAGCCATACTCGCCATCCAGACCGGCAAGGATCCAGTCCTCGTCGTTGGTGTCGAAGACTTCCAGCACGGCATCTTCGGAGAAGGAGAGCTCTTCATCGGTTTGGCGGGTATATTCGTAAATGGCACGCGCGTGGCCTACTGTCTCTGCCTGGTTGATGGACACGAAGGTTAGCCCATGGTACGCAATCCGATTTGGCGTCGCACATTTGCAGCCGTCGGCCGAGCAGCTTCGCAGATGCTCTAGGAGGCTGACGTAAAGGGTCGAGACGAGGCTGGGAGCTCGGGAGATGGACAGCGCCCGCAATGAGGATGGACTCTACCTTTTCAACATAGTTGTTTGGAACCAAGCCGGAGGGCTCATCTTCGTCGTCGGTGCCGGCCTTCTTCTTGGCCTTCCACCAGCCATCGTCGTTGTTCTGCTCGAGGATATACAGCAAGTCGCCCGTCGTGATGGCGAGCTCGCCATCCTCCTTGGGCGTGTAGTCGTAGATGGCCCGGTAGATCCCCAAGAAGCCCATTTCGCCTTTGATGGTTCCGTTAAACACAGCTCGACGCTCGAAATGCGGGTATTAATCCGACGCGGTGGAATGCACCTGTTGCGTGGAGTCAAGGTTTCGGGCTGGAGAGAGGAGGGCTGCAGTGAGTGACGAAAACCGAGCCAGTCCCTACTAAGCTGTGCTAGCGAGTGTACAGTACTCCATACTCTGTGGCTGCGGGCAGCGATAGTGAGTTGAAGAATACGGAGAAGCCCCCCGTAGCCAGGTTCCAGCTCTGTACGGGTATGATTAGGGATCCACCCTGCTGAGTTTCTAGGCCTGATCCAGTGACAACCGCCCGGGCTTCGGGCGCTTATTACTGTGCCTACCTACTAGTACCTAGGCATTACGGCTCGCTTAGTCACTTTACATATGTACCCATTTAAGGAGTATACTCTAAATTTCCCAGGAATGCCAATAAATTGCTGTATGATTTCCGGGCTGGTTGAGCTTGTCCATGTCGATTCTAAAACTATTGCTCTTCTCCCTTCCCCTTGAATTGGCCAAGAACCCATAAGAGCACTACTAAAAACATCACTGCTAAGAAGAGGTACTTCTGTGGCAGATATTATTAGCCTGATCTGCTATGGAATCACGTATGCTAGCGCTGGTGGCCATGTAGCTGGCACTAAATAAAGCGTGAGAACCACCGACTCTGGATACTGAGCATAACCTGCACCTCACTACTAATACAAGCAAATAATTACGGCACGGTATTCCAATTGTTGACCTCGCCTCTGTTTATTTTCTTCGGGGTTTAATCTCTTTCTTCAATTTTAACAGTATATATTTACTTGAAATGTGCCGCGACTCGGTACTACTGCTGAGGAGCTTCAAAAGTCTGATTGCATATATGGTATTCGATTCTATTTATAACACTTGTGATACAGTAGTAAAGGTACACTCTAAGTGGCCAATGCATGTTCCAACGCCAATTACCCTCTATACTCATACAAAACATACATTTACAAAAAAAAAAAAGAAAGGAAAGGAAAACGCCATCTTTCCGACCCGGATGATTTTACCAATTCCCCCTCTCCCCCTTCTTTACATCTCCCCCTCAATTTGAGTCATCCAGTCGTCAAACTGACTTGGCTCCTCCAAGTGTTCAACTTTCCAGTCGCTGTCAGTTCCTTTGAGATATGCATCATAAGAACGTACATCTACCCCGGGAATCATTGGATCTGTGCGTGATGCCTCGGCATGTCCCCCGTGATTCCACTGCTCTTGGGCTGCACTCGATCCGCCGTGTGGAAGATCGTATCTCGAGCCGGGCGAACAGGGGAGGAGTATAGGGTCGATGCAGGCCTCCTGAGCACTCAAACCACGCTCCATTGCGGCTCCATGCAGACCGTTCACGAGAAGCTGTGGATTTCCACCAGAGAAGTAATCGCCGTCGTGCCATGCCTGGTATGGTTGGTACGAGCCAGCATCTACCTGATATGTGCGCTCCTCGTAGTATGGGGCAACCTGTACAGGCTGAGGAGCCCAATAAGCTTGCGTGGCAACGGGCCTCATGAAGACCTGCTGTTGCTCAACAATTGGTGGGTACAGCCCACTGCCCAGGTGTAAGGGCTCATGGTATTCAGGCACTTCCTTTCTCTTTCGCTTTATCTTGTTCTCCTCGGGTAGATCTCGAACACCGCTGTGTTCGAACCCGTCCTTGTCCAGTGGTATAGGCAGCATCGAATCTTTATCATCCCTCTTCTTGGAGTGAAGAGGATCATATTTGTATGAGGGAAAAGCCTCTACGTGCATTCTCCTCTCCTCCGCGGCCAGACGGATAAAGTCGCCCTTGAGATTCTTCGGCTCGCGTTTCCAAGATTCTCCACAAACTGTCGAAACTTGTTGATGGTTGTTCTTAGTGCAGCACGTTTTGGCAACGTCTTGATAGAACTTGCGGTAAAGCATGAATGCATTCAGAGGGCGCTTGATCTTGCCGGCCTTTTCAGCTTCGGCTAGCCGCACCTCTGTCGCGCGAGTGGCGAACAATTCAGCGTTCTTGAGCATGACGGTTGGAGGCAAGGATGAAATGTCAGAAAGAACTTTGCCAAGAAACGTGGGATGATGCTCTCCGCGCTTTGGAGTTCTCGTCTTTCTTGTGGCTCTTCGTGCCTTGGTCGGACGATACGCCTCTTCCTCAGAGTCGGATGTTTTCAAACTCCTATTACTCGGTTGAGCGTGGAAAGCATCCCCCATGCTAGGAAATTCGTACACTGAGCCCTCAGACATATAAGGAGAGTTGGCCTAGCAATAATTGTCAGCGAGTTGTTTCTTTCAGGTATTATGAGCAGTCTTCTAGCTGAGTAACATTGCATCGGTTTCTTACCATCATATTGTAATGAGTACCAGGCACTACACGTCGCTGTGCGTGAGATGACTGACAAGTATTAGCATCTTTGGATAAGTGAACTCGCTACATTTATTGGCTGAGCTTACTGGCAAGAGAACCTGGGCTGAGTAAGGATGGCCAGACAAGCCGAAATCTGTGTTCCCCTGGATCGCAGGACGTTTACGCTCCATGAGGGATGCTGTTGTGAGATGAATATGTTGATGTTGGAATACTGAAGGAAATAGAGACTCTGGAGGTCCCAAGTCTGAGCGTATTGAATGCTTGATGCAAGAGAATTCCGAGAGAGAGAGAGAGAAAGAGAGAGAGAGAGCTTTGAGAGTAACAGGCACTGAGGTGTATGCGAGGTACTGAGGTGTATGAAAGGTACTGAGGCGTATGAGAGGTACTGGGGTGTATGAGATATCTTCAGTCTTCTATTGTAATGGCAACAGAAGCAATATATGCGATGAGGAGATGACTCTTCTTTATGAACCAGAAAGGGAAGAATCGTTGTCTTTGTCCCAGAGTGGCATCCTTTGATGGGCTGGCCTTATACATATTCGCTCCATGCCCCACGATATCGTTCCAAACGCATGACTTACAAGGACACAAACAAACCAAGCAGTAATTATCAAAGCTTCTGCCGCATGCGGTACTGTGAACCCAATTGGCATTAATTTCCTTCATCATGGGCCACTCCGTGTACCGCAGCGCAATGCATCACGGGCCTTTGGATCTGTCGCGGACGCCGAAAAGAGATAGCCTGCGAGCGCAAGGACGCACAACCGCCAGGTACGAACTATGGAGAGGATGAGGACGGTACATAGGATGGCCATATGGCATGTGCCGAGCCATCTTTAAGTGCCCGAAGCAGCTGAAATGCGCGTTGCTAATAACTGTTGGTTGTGCGCATCGTGGGGTTGCTCGGACACGTCTTATCGGCTCGAGGATCTCACGCTGAAAGGAACGTCCGCATTTATTGCAGGCTTCTGTTTTTTTGGGAGGCTGATATTTGACAAATAATGTATACATTTTTGCTAATGACTACAGCTAGCGTCGGCTTGAAGGCTGCCAGACGAACGCGACTTATACTGTGAGTTGAAAAAAGTTCAACATCACCTTTTCCAATACAGGTGGGTGGCGTGGATGTCTGGTATGGTAAAACGACAGATGCGGCTGCTAGCAAGAGCTTTGGATGCATGACATGGAAGTTGTACCCAAACACTGATAACTACTAGCCGCTATCCAGCGAGATGGGTCCGTTACTGGGAGGCTCCAGTTTCAACTCTTGTCTTTGTATCAAGTGGATGTCCAACAGGCCTGCTAAAAGTCGGAGAAGCATTTCGGAGAAGTAGCTCGGAGAAGCAGCCTCAGCTGAGCCAGTTGCTTCCTTTGAGCGGCTATTGTGTTTTCAACCATTGCAAACGGACAGGTATCTCTAAAAATATCTTCATGAGTATTTTACTTGTAGGCACTTGACCAGCGATATCAACAAAGGTTTGAGAGCATTGTAGCCTTGAGACAATCGTCAGCCAATTCTTTCGGGGAAGGTCTATCAGGTGATAAGCTGCTTGTGAAATCAACAAAAAATCCCTTCTGAATGGAAGCAATCCTCAAGTGGAGGGACTCCATTTGTTGGGGCTAGTGAGAGAGAGGCATTAGCAGCTGATGTACTCATGTGCGCGACGAGAGAAATAGTGTTGTGCCGTCTTAAGAGACCTCCGTGGTTGTTTATAGAATGCGAACAAAGCTTTAACAGGTGGCCACCAAAACTAGTGATATGGAGCTTTTTTAGCGATCTTCGAAAGTGATCATCAGTTTCGGCCTTGCATAGCTTGCCAATTAGATAATGGGAGCTGTGGTAGGAATGGTGGTAGGAGCAACATCAGGAGCAACATCAGGAGCAACATCAGGAGCAACATCAGGAGCAACATCAGGAGCAACAGCAGGAACAACAGCAGGAGCAACAGCAGGAGCAACAGCAGGAGCAGTAGCCGCAGCCGTAGGGGTAGTAGTAGAAACAGTAGCAGCGGTAGAAGAAGTGTTTTGCCCAACATTATCTTCGAATTTGGATTCAGGTCCAGGTCCAGGTCCAGGCCCAGGTCTAGGTTCAGATTTAAGTGTAGGTCCAGGTCCAAGAGCAGGTTCAGATGCAAGTGCAGGCTCAGATTTGAGTGTAGTTTCAGGTCGGAGGTCTGGTTCGGATCCAAATGTAGGTTTAGCTGGTGGGGGGCTTTCCGGCGCTGCAATGGCATCCCCTTTTTGAAGGCATGAGGCGCAGATGAAATGGAAGTCGGGGTGATCTGCAGCAGCCTCGCTGATCCTCAGGCATTTGCTGTGCTGCCATACATTGCAGCTCTCGCACGCGACGCTGTGACTGCCGTCATCCACTTGACCATACAAGCCGCATGAGCAATCAAATACCCAGCCCTCTTCTTCGTCTTGCACGTTTTTGACACCTTCTGAGCTTTCTCTGGCTTTGATTTGATGGGGTAGAGGCCTTCCAGCTGCTACCACGGTATTATTGCCTTCGCCCGCAGATATTTGTGTGTCGTCTTCGTCATGAGTGGTGCGACGTTCTTCTCTCTTTTTCAAACGTTCCTCTCTAGATGCAAGCCTCATTTCAAGCTCTTTCTGAATCTTCTCTTGTTTTTGCTCCTCACGTCGCTGAATTGCTTCTGCCTCCCGGAGCTGTTCGGTCTCTACTCTCTCCTGCTCTTCTTTCTGTCGCTGCTCTGCCTTCAGGGCAATCCTGCTTGACCGTTTGGCATTGGCCATCTTGGCAAGTGTCTGCAAGTCCTTTTCGCGTTTTAGCTCTCTGCGAATCCTGTCTTCTTCCTGTTTCTCCAGAATAGGCAGAAGATGGTCTCGAAGCTGTCGTCGGAGTATTTTTTCATTTTCGTCTCGGGATGAGGCCATACTATCGATGAGGCTCTGGACTTCTCCAAGCGTCACGGCAATACACTCCCAAACCATGCCTCCAAGAAAATTATCTTCCAGCTCGGCTTCGGGGCCATCTTTCCTCGAGTCTTCGAAAGAGGAAGCAGTGTCATCGATCGATTCGGATACGCGTCGCCTTTTGCCTGGACGTCGAGACCCACGGCCCGGCTTAGGCTTTGGAGGTTTATAGCTCGGAGGGGCTTCTGAAAGTCGATATACCCGATTGTCGTCAAGGACGTAATAGATGCGATCGTCTCTGTCCCACCCATATGGCTCGATTCGCTACAAGCTTAGTTAGACAGCGTAGGAAGCATAAAATAAGCGGTACGCACCCATGATGTTTGCTCTGTATCTTTTTGTTCTTTCATTTTCTCTCGGAGGAGCTCCGGCCGGGCCATGATCCACTGGGTGAACTGCTGCATCACTTTGATCTACCATATGACGGCCGACGTTAGCGGATGCTTGGGAGATTCGGCTCAACTGTAGCGCCTACCTTGGTGAATACATCGAGGTCAGAAAAGCTCTTGGGGGCATCTTCGTCGCCAAACGGATTTGATTCTGGCGACCTCAAAACGTACTGCATTCGAGCTTGGTTGTCGAATGCTTCGTGGCTTTTGTTCAGATGTTAGCCGTCAGACACTGGCTCTGGAGAGGAAGAATTCGAGTATATATATGCATACGTAAGACCGCGATGTGAAGTGACCGTTTTCAAGAGTGCTAAAGCAATATCGTCGAGGCCTGGTGAACTTGGTTTGAGACATTCCGCCTCGATATACTGTCGCTGTGTCAGCATACAGCTATGAACAAGGCATAGCAGACGAAGAAGAATTCACTCACTTCTATGTCAATCGATACATTTATCGCGATAGCTTCTCCAAAAATGTATATCCATTGACACAAGTTGGCGAATTGCCACATGTTACGGATCCGTTGAAGCAGCTCCATGACGTAGCGTAGGCAGCTCTCCAGGTAGATGGAAGTCACTTAAGGCGCCCTTTTCTTTGGCTTGTTTATATTCAGGAGTCTTTTAGGGCTGCATAATAGAAAACGTCGACCGTAAGCCGGAGTTTAGTAGAGCAAACGAACAGATGATAGCGGCGTAAGATAGCAAGAAAGCTTTCTCCTTGGCACATGTAGCAAAGCGCAAATCGCGTCTTATTGATAGGACGCGTTAGTAATTAATACTGCAGCAGGGATAATTTTTAAGCTACCAAGCTACCACCTATTTAAAGCACTGGAATTTTATAGCCCACTTACTTAGATAATCGGATTTCTAGACCAGAATAAGAAGAATTGTGGGAAACAATCGGCTCACTTTTATTCAGCATATTTGGATTCAAGTTGATACAATTAATGACTATTTTCAGAGAAAAATGGTTGCTCTATTTAACCTGCAATATCAATGAGCTGTTTTATTTCACTCATTAATATTATACTTGGGACGAAAACTCGCATATGACAGCCTAAACTTGTATACTACTCGTATTTACCAATTTCTCTTTGTAAGTCTGTAGGACAAGACATATTCTGATCCTAGCTTTACTCATAGGTTTTAGAGGTGGTAGGGGTTTTGAATTTATTATTATCCAGGTATATCATTAGATCGCTAGAAATGTTCTCGCTAATGTATATAAATAAATGCTTCCCCAGGCATTATTTGATCAAGCCTGTTAATTTCACGACATTTGCAGCTCGCCCCGTAATCAGTCAAGTTATTCAACTTCAGCTGGAAGTAGTGATCCGGCCTTCTTGGATGGTTTGGCGCTTGCTACTAATCGCCCAGGAGGTTTGGCCGGTGTATGGACAGAACGCCCAAAAGAAGCAACAGACCTACTCAAGTTGGGCCTTGAAGTTGGCTGTGGTGCGTTCGACATGTTCCGTGAAAGACCCGGCTTTGCGCTTTTTACAACGTCACCAGTGCTCCAGCGATGAGGAGAAGGAAAAACCTCTGGCCGCGCAGCTTTAATGTTCAAATGCACAGGTACGGGCGCTCGAGGAGTCGTGGATGACAATATACCCCGCCGCGTAGTCGCAGGAGTTTTACTTGGGGACTTCACCATTCCAATGTCATCAATGTCGCTGGATGCAGTCGATTCTTCGTCCGTCCCCCGCCATGCGAAGATTGGCTTCGCAGACGAGGGGAAGGACAGATTCAACGGCACGCCAGTCGACCGCGTCGGTGTTTCCATTGGCCTGGCCGCAGCGTCCGGTTTGTTGCGCCTTTCCACTAACAGATGCCGGCGAACAGAAAGTGCCCGCCAAGCGCTGCGACGGCCACTGGGTGGTTCACGGTTCGGCGTAAATCGTAGATCTTGCTCTACGCGATCAAAGTCCGGGCCTATGCAAGCCTGTTTCCAGTGATGAAATGTGCGGTTCCGTTTTTCGCTGTATTTCTTTTGCTGTACCTTGGTCGCGGTATGGGCCTGTCCGCTTCGTTGTAATGATGAAATGGACCATGCTTTGAGGTACTGCCGCTGCCTGCGAGAAGCCCACAGTTCCAGCGACTGCATATCCGCCTGATTATGCTCTTTGGCGACATCACTCCAAGCCGCCAATACGGCCTGCGTATAATGTTGGTAGGTGGCTAGCTGAAGCTGCACATCGTCTTCTGCCTGCCTTTTCCACTTTTCCAAAGCGATATCGAGCTGTCCGTAATAGTATTTTGTGTTATAAAGAGCAGCAAACTCGCTTTCAGAAGCCGCTTCGGTTGCCACTGCTCGCCAGTGGTCGAAAGCCTCGTAGAATTTTCGCTTTTTCCTAGCGGCAGAGACTTCCGTGTATCTCATCATCAAGTACTGTCGAACCATATCTTTCATCTGTTGCCTCCGTGCCTCCACAGCAGCGTCCATGATGGGTAATGTCCGTGTTGTGACAATGAATAGCCTGGCACGATTGCCCATGACCGATAACTGCGCGTCAGCGTCACTCGACCGTTGTAGAGTGCAGAGAAGATTTGATGCGCGGTATGATTTGAGGCGATCAGCACACGCATTTCGCCTCCATTCGTCTTGTACGTAATGCCTTCGCCAGCCGTCGAGGGCTCGTGTTACAGATATGTAATCCGCCCTCCACCGAAAGGCTTGCACTCGTACTGATAAGTTCCAGTTGTGGAATGTATGAATGACAGCTGCAGTGGATGACTTGGCCTTGTACGCTGATGATCGCGCCTTCACCTGGATCTGATGCTCACATTTGTCAAGAGAACCAAACAGTAGCCTAAGTGAGCCGATTTGACGCGCTACTTGAAATTGATGATTGTGCAAGAGCGCTTGGTCTTGTAGTTTTGACAATGTGGTAACAACGCCCTCATGTTTGTTAAACTTACGAATAGCTTGGTCCTTGATGGTGTTGCTGGAAGTGCTTGATTTCCACGCCATCAAGGCGCCTTGTTTCAGTTTCCTATCTACTTTCTGACGGTAGACGAGGGATATGAGGTGAGAGCACCATTGGTCATAGACGCGAGACGCCGTCCTAGCTCGATATTTTTGAGATATGGCCGTTGCTGCGAGACGGAGTTGCTCTTCCTGGTATGATACAGCTCTTTGCAATTTCTGAACCGCCGTAAGGGCCTTTAAGTGGTCGATGATTGGAAGCTGTAAACTTGGCGCACGACTCCAGCCTTGGAAACAGCGAAAGCGAATCATGTGTCTTCTAGCTACGCCTTCCCGCTCAAGCCGCGCTGCAGTCCGGTCTGCCCAGTGGTTGAACACTTTACTCGCTAGATATATCTCGCGAGCGCGGGTTGCTCTCGTGAGTAGTTGCGCTTGCTGCTGTTTCGACATTGTATTCTCGTTCTGGGAGCGAAATGGCAGTGGCAGCTCGTCCTGTATTGAATGCGACGCCAGTACGTCTATGGCATCGGTTTTGCTAGCATGTTGACTTGCTCCAATTGGCAAGTTTTGCTTGTCTTGCAATCCAGGCGTCTGGTTAATCTTGCCGTTCCCTCTGGCATGGTTGGCTTGTTTTTGATCCCGATTGTTCATAGGCCTAGGAGATTCTACTCCCAAAGGTAGAGTAGTTCGCTCTGAATTATGTTTTGAAGAACTGCGAGAAATATCGGTTTGTGGAGGCAAGGCGTGCGCTTTTACATCGTCGTAAGGGATGCCATCATCTACGGCACGGAAGTCAACAGGCAGGTGATCGAAAAATGGGCTTGGATATTGGTGATAATGATTGAGATGCCGTGTCGCAGTTGTCGAGAGCGGCGCAGAGGGATACGCATCGGCTTCCATGAGGGCGAGATCATCTTTTGTTTGGTTTCTTTTCTTATAGCTTGATGCTTCAGTGCGAATCTTTTGGAACCCGGGGTCATAGTCTAGGGAGCCAGCGCTGTATGTCCGACGCCTCGTTCGAACGGGCGCATCTTCCTCCTGTATGGGGAGATCATCGGGATCCCAGTGACCAGTATCTATTGGTTCTGGAGATAGCGGATGTTGGTGATAGTCTTGCGGAGTAGTGATAGAGTCGTCGCTGAATTCGAGAACGATGCCGATCTGGCCAAGTATTGATTGGAATTTTTCTAACAAGCTGCCGCCCCCTTGCTCGCCGCCCACTCTGAACACGAGGGCTGAGAGATGCTGGTCTGTATCTGGATCGACGCCATGCTCGGGAAGAACTTCGTCATACGCTTTGAATAATGCAGCGGCGGGCAGCGGTTTCGGGCCCGTAGCGTGATCGAGCTGTTCTTGAGCCGCCGTAATGACGGCGTGCAATATCGTAATGTCTAGCTGGTTAGTTCGAGGATGCGAACGAGAGGCCGAGGGACTGCTCTACCTCTATTCGAGTAATACGGCTCCTTGGCCGGAAGACCGCGACTGGGAGATGCGCGAACGCTATCCGGCTCAGCGCCGTCGCCGTATTGAGACTGCACAGATGCCACTGCGAAAAGATCCACGTGAGCCTTTTTTCATGTGTATTAATTGTTAATAAATGACAGCGACTTACTCGAGGCGAGAAACTATCGGTGACATTTGCTCATAATCAAGGCACTGCGGCATACATCAATGGAAAATCATGTCACTGGCAGGTAGCGGGCGCGACAAATGTGTCGGGTTGGCGAGGCTCTAGACCCAAGTACGGGCGCCAAAACACTGGGTCTGGGACATCTGCCGTTTGATGCCCAGGCGCCCAAAGCCAGAACACTTGGCGCTCAGGAATCTGTCGCTTATGCACTGTTTATTGTTTACATGTACTCCTCCAAGTCGACTTCTTTTCATGACAGTTATGATTGAAAGATAATGTGAGACTGCTGAAAGAAATATGATAGAACATGACGCTGTTTCTACAAACCGGGTCTTCTTTTTTTTCCTTTTTTTTTTTTTTCTCGTATAGGTACCATTTAGAGTTTCATGCCGTAGAGGTCAACTGCCGACGACCTGGACGCTTAAACAGCTCAGCTTCCAGAGATCGCTGTAGCTGCTGCTAGCCTGCCCCGCCGGTGATCCAAGAGAGCACGGGTAGCGCGGAAGAGTATACACCAGCTCTCCACCTCACGAGTTCATTTCTCTTCCAAACATATTCTCTATTCTTGATATTCTAATCATACTTTTATTTTTCTATAAACAAATCAATATTTTGAATACTCAACCTGTTATTGCCTACGTAAACCACCAATGGCCTTATCTGCTCTGCGCTCGGCCATCTCGCTTCCATATCCAGTCGCCAGTCCTGGCCATGGATTCTGGGGCGAACAGACGTCAACGCTGAACTTTTGCGAAGAGGTGGGCAAATTTGGCTATGAACCATGAATTCTTAATTTATGTTTACAGTTCGAAAAACTCATCTCAGTCTCATGCACTAATTCTCTTTATTCAAAAGGACTATGCGCTATCGTGGTATTGTGCTGAGCTCTGTAATGTTAGTCCCGCCTTCAATGTTCTTATAAACCCCGATTGGGTCGTCTCTCTTTATTAACACGATGGCAGACAGTCACGAATGGCCTTTTCATGTGGCTTGGAATCAGAGGCATTAGAAACTGTATGAAGGAGGAGCATCCGTCAATATTCCTGATTTCTTATATCGGGTACATGGTCGTGGGACTCGGCTCCATCCTTTTTCATGCGACATTAAAGTGTATGCATCTCCCTCTACATACCATTCGTGACGAAACGAGCTGACAACCAGACCTCAAGATCCCATGCAATTGGTCGACGAGCTATCCATGATTTATACGACTTGCTTGATGATGCATGCTAGTTTTTCTTACTCACGCTCACAAACGTTTTCGGTTGTCCTGGGGGTTGGGCTACTTTCGCTTGCTGGATCAATCACGGTAAGTACCTAGTAGTATGCGACCTTTACTTACACGCATATGCGTCATATGAGGCATTGAAGATTCCACTCTCTGTGAGCCACGCGCTGAGACAGGAGTAGCTTTATTACTACCTTACCAAGGACCCCATCTTCCACCAGGTAGCATACGCTGCTCTGACAGCTACCGTCGTTTTTCGGAGTATCTGGGTGATGGAGTCGCAGGTCCGGCCGGTCTTACACGCCCAAGATCCAAAACGGGCCTCGAAGCTGCTGAATACGATGTGGGCCATGGTAGCTACTGGTGTGTCACCCTGAAGAGCAAGACGAGGCTACAGGGTTCAAGTGCAGGCGGCTAATCACCCATGACAGGACTCGCGGTTTTCGTTGGCGGGTTCTTAATCTGGAATCTCGATAATTTCTTCTGCTCGCAAGTGCGACGGTGGAGACATGCGGTTGGCCTTCCCTGGGCCATTCTGCTCGAGGGCCACGCCTGGTGGCACCTCATGACCGGGCTGGGTAAGTTGAACGGCGGCTTCCTCTGATTCCGAATTGTCGTGGTGTGATGGCGTTGATTGAATGCGAGGCTAACTTGACTTTGTTCATTAGGAGGTACGAGCACTCTATATTTCTTCTTTTTTCCTCACTCACCCTCGTGTCGAATGAGTTATCATCTTTCGCCCTTGAAATACTCCGTGTTAATGACTGAGCCTATGACTGATGAATCTTTTTTCCAGCCTATTATTACATCACTTGGGGCACTTGGCTGCGGCATTGCCTTGCGGGACGGGGCGACAAATACACCCTCGTCTGGCCAAGGCTGTTGACGTCTGTTCCATATCTGAAGATGATAGAAGAGGACCAGGACCAGGATCAAGACCAAGCAAAGAAATCCCAATAGACCTGGAGCTACGTCCACATAGCCCGAGGACCATACAGTATACCCGGGATGCGGGTTAAACAGGTACTGCGTCCCGCATCGCATCATCGCACTGCTTTACTTCAAGTTGTTTGTGCAGTCCATGTGTTTATGTATTATATGGTGTAATAGAGCTTAGGCCTTGAATAGCAATAGATTTCGGCGAATCCCACCAATCCGGGGCTGGGTCGCCACTGAAATTGCGCTAGTGCACCCGCCCGAATTACTAATACCGGCCTGCAGCCACTAAGGGCGCCGGCAGCTTCTCTCCGTGTATAAGCCCAACTCTCTCTCATCTCACCCAGCTTACCTGGAGACAGAAACAAGGAGAGAAGCTACAAGCAGTGAAGGCCTCGCCAAGCACTCACAAAAGCCCTCCGCCGACTCACTGAACTGACCATCGAACAGCCCCAAATGCTTCCAGTATCGCAGGGACGGCACTCGCAATAACTCATGGCCTCTCCATCTCCCCAGGGCCGCAGCTTCACCGTGCGCGGAGTCGCTGCTGGCCTGGGCGTCGGCACCGTGATATGCTCTGCCAACATGTACTTCGGCCTCCAGACGGGCTGGGTGTCCATCATGTCGATGCCGTCCAGCTTGATGGGCTTTGCCATCTTCCAGCTGCTGAAGCCGCATCTGCAGTTCCCCTTCACGCCGGTTGAGAATGTGCTGGTGCAGAGCGTTGCCGGCGGCATGGCCATCATGCCTCTTGGCTGCGGCTTTGTCGGTGTCGTAGGCCATCGCCACTCTCCCTGCTCCTTGGATTCGTTGTCCTGATTGCTGTATAGATCCCGGCAATGAACTACTTGCTAGGCGCCGATGAGCAGGGTCCCTTGTCACTGAGCATGTGGCAGCTCATTGTCTGGTCCATCGGCCTCTGTTACTTTGGTGTCGTCTTTGCCGTTCCCTTGTAAGTGTATTTATTGGTGCCTCAAAGGCAAGTGAAGTTGCAGATTCGCTGAGACGAGCTCGTATGTGCATGATATTAGGCGCCACCAGGTCATCATTAGAGAACGACTTAGGTTTCCCAGCGGCTTTAGCACCGCCGTGCTCATTCGCGTCCTCCACGGCCGAGGCCAAAGCTCTTCTGCCCAGGAACTTGATGCCGCCGCCAAGGGTGGATTTGCCAGTCTTGCAGATAGAGATGACGATCCTCTGTTAGTCGATGAGACCAATTCCAACGTAGCAGACGAAGAGCCAGAGGCGTCGCCAAAAGACGTGGACTGGGCATACAACATGAAGCTCCTGCTGGTCAGTTTCTTAGTGTCCGGCATCTTCACCATTTGCAACTACTTCCTGCCGATCTTGAGAGACCTCCCCATCTTCGGTACTGTTGCGGCCTCCGCTTGGCTTTGGACTTTGAACCCAAGTCTCGCATATGTCGGGCAGGGCATCATCATGGGGACCGAGACAACGCTTCACATGACTCTCGGCGCAGTTGTCGGTTGGGGTATTCTGAGTCCCTTGGCCAAGAAGAAGGGTTGGGCCCCTGGGCCAGTGGACGATTGGGAAAATGGCAGCAAAGGTTGGATTGTCTGGGTGTCTCTGGCCATTATGCTCGTCGATGCCGTTGTAAGTCTGGCGTACGTTGCCCTTCGGCCTCTTTTCGCAACCCATGCTACGAGAGCCTTTACTGCATTGCGAGAACGGTTCCAACGTTCTAGGGTCGCCGTTTTGTTCGAGAGAAGCCATCAATACTCCCCAATCCCTCACGGAGAGGAGGATCAGGACGAGCCAGCAACTCCCGATGATGACAATGCTTCCATTGCCTCGAACGATGAAGATGCCGGCCTAGATGACGCCCCAGCCGAGCAGCAAGTCAGCACTCGAATTGTCACATGGGGTCTTCTCGCATCTGTCTTGCTCTGTATTCTTACAACGCGCATTGTATTTGGCGACCTGGTACCCCTGTACGCGGTTGTTACTGCCGTTCTCATGGCTCTGGTCCTGAGTATCATGGGTGTCAGGGCCCTCGGAGAGACTGATCTCAACCCCGTTTCCGGCATAAGCAAACTTGCGCAGCTTTTCTTTGCTCTGATCATCCCACAATCTCACAAATCTAGCGTTCTCATCAACTTGGTCGCAGGCGCCATCGTACGTCCACTATCTTCTCCTATGACCCTCTTTGTGTTATACATAGCCCACTAACAATCATGGCCATATTTAGTCTGAAGCTGTAAGCTAAATCTCCAAGCTTCTCTCTCTCTCTCTCTATATATATATATATATATATATATATATATATATATATGAATGTATATACTCTTGAGTATCCTTTCCTAACATCTTGATAGGGTGCATTGCAGGCTGGAGACTTGATGCAAGATCTCAAGACCGGTCACTTGCTCGGAGCTGCCCCCAAGGCGCAGTTTTGGGGACAGATTATAGGTGCAACGTGTGGTGCGCTGTTCAGTGCTTTTGCGTATCGTATCTACACGGCGTAAGTGCCCCTGATAGTCCAATTTTCTGAAGCATCGACTAAATAGTGATGATTCTTTTGGCAACAGAGTATACGAGATCCCCGGCAAACTTTTCCAAGTTCCAACGGCCTACGTGTGGATATTCACCGCTAGGCTTGTAACCGGACAAGGCCTGCCGTACATGGCCAAAGAATGGGCGACTGGAGCCGGTGTTCTTTTTGCTGTCACTACACTGGCGCGAACTTTGTCTGTCGGGAAGCAATGGCGTTCGCTGATCCCTGGCGGCATTGCCGTTGCAGTCGGTGAGTATTCATCTATCCCCATGTGATGTACAAGAAAACTTGTTCTAATTCGCATCTTCAGGCATGTACAACGTGCCCTCATTTACCTTGGCTCGAGCCATTGGAGGAATTTTTAGCTGGTACTGGTTGAGCGTACGAAAACGGTCAACCACGCCGCTCATCATCATTGCATCGGTAAGGCTTTGAGCTACACTGGTAAGTAATACGCTTGCTGATTTCATGTGTAGGGCTTCATCTTGGGAGAAGGTTTCCTGAGCATTGTGAATCTATGGCTACAGGCTCTAAAAGTGCCTCACTATTAGAAGCTTGCAATGGCTAGCCAATGACAACCTTTTCCTGTCCATTCAGTACTCATAAACTGCCTCTACCTCTCTACCTCTACGCCAACTTCCAGGACCATTTCTTCTCTTCTTGACTTTCTGTGGATTGGCCTTCAGGACTGCATGTGACGTCAATCTTCAGTGCTCTAGCGTTCTCCTCGAGAGCTGCAAAGGTGATTTGCCCAGAGATGGCACTTGGCAATGTTGAAGGAGGGTTCTTCGGTGGCACCATAAGCAGGCCTTGCTTCCAATGGGTCACGGTGCCGGATGGGCCCGTTGTAAATGCTACATTGCCTGATTTCGCCTTTATAAACACCTCGGGGGTCACCTCAGGCTCTGGCATAGGCTCACTGCGAGAAGTGGCGAAGAAGTTGTCGAACCAGATCAAGAAGCCGTCCAAGCCATCCCGAGGCCGCAGCAGCCGTGACTGCCACTTGGCTGTGAAGGACAGCTCTTCTGGCTTAACAGTGTGGAGGTCGAGTGTCTTAAAGGGGTAGGGCTCTCCGCAGAGAGCGGCCTGGGGCATTGCCTCGACCCTAACGTCATCATAGATGCCTTCTTGCATAGCTTTCATGTCGAATCCATAGACGTCTCTCCAAAATGACACAAATTCTGACATGTACTCTGTATCTTGCACGGGAGCCACCCAGATAGTGGCAGAGCTGGGAACCAGAAGGCCATCTGGCTTAAGATACTTATCTCTAGCGTAGAGGACGCTCGGAAGCATGGCCTCATACAGCAGGCAGTAGCCCATCCACTCGCTGACGATAATGTCGACTTGGTCAACAGGCAGCTTAACCTCCTCGATGGCGCCTTTGATGCAAGTGATGATATCAGAGAGGCCATTGTTAAAGATGTTTTCCGTTGCCTTCTTGATGATGTCTGCGTTATCAACAGCGATGACTTGAGCCGCACCAGCTTTAGCACAGAACATGCTCAGAATACCTACACATGGGCGTTAGCTTTTTGTAAGCTGATGAAATCATGGATTCGTGTGGCTGGTCGATGGGCGAGCTCTCTTACCGGTGCCACAGCCAATGTCAAGAACAACTTTGCCCTTGATGAGATGCTTGTTGTTGTAAATGAAGTCGCGGTAGGCGTCTGTCCTGACAGTATCCTTCAACATGGTTTCGTGGATCTCTGTAGAAAGTTAGAATTTCCACCAGAGTGAAGAACACAGCTACTGGATGCTCTGACTGACCGTTGTAGCCATAAGACTCGAAATAATAGTTTCCACGGTCCTCGCCAGCACCAGTCTTGGCCTTGGACGGATTCTGTTCCACATCGTCTCCCCAGCGGCGATCCAGGGTCTCTTCAACGGCAAGTCGATAGTTTGAGAATTGCGTCCGGACCGCCTCCAGCTCAGCCTCCAGCGCCTGCTTTTGCTCCAGCAGCTCGTCGTGAGAAGTAGAAGCGCCCGCCTGGCCGGGAGCAATGTCGACCTTGACCAAGTCGCTGTCGAGGATCTCGTCCAGGGACATGATGAGAGCATCGTTCTGCAGGACGGGCTTGAAGTAGCCGTCATCTTCAAAGTCGGCGAGCGTCAGGGTGCCTGGGAGGGCCTGTTGCTTCTGGACCTGGTTGCGAATGAAATTGACGAGCTTGACGGCTCCGTGGAAGTCCAGCTGGAGTTTTTTGATGGTGGCAATCAGGTCGAAGTCATAACGCTGCTTGCAGTGGTTGAGCATCTCAGCCCAGCTGGAGAATGTCTGAGAGTCGAGGAGAGAGACGATGGTGGTGGACTCGTCTTCAGGCTCGACATCAAGCCATTCTCCATCATCCGATACGTCGGTGGTACCAGACGACGATGATCTCGCACTCATTTTGTCTGTGTATTTTTCTTATCCAGAAAAAAAAAAAAAAAAACCAAGTGCGTAAAATTCCTATTCGCTTGCACACGTTTTCTTCAGTGAGAGGTGTAAGGCTCACAATGTCTTTTTTTTTTTTTTCCAACGCTGAGTAGGGTAACTGGATTGTACTTGGCTGGTACTTGCTAAGAGATCAAGGTACTAGCACAACAGGCCAAGCAACTACCTGATAGATACTTTCTCTTGGCAAGGAAAACCGTCTAAAAAATCAGCAGCTGCTAGAGTCGTGCTAAGTTAGCTAAAGGTATCTTTACATGCAAAAGATGCCCCGCCATGCCCACGCTAGAATCGGTTCTTGTACTCGCTAGGTAGACTCAAAAAAGTTCTTCCTCCACTATAGAGAGTACCGACATGGCAAGCTTCGACTGCAAAGAAGAGAAGATATCAACTACCTTAATAGCCCAGTGATTGAGAACAAGGCAAATGACCATTCTTTACGACGCATTTTAATTAAATTGAATAATATATACTGCAAAAGCGAAAAAAAAAAAAAAAAAACTGTTGAGAAAAAATCTCCAACTAGTGTTCGAACCTGGAACATCCAGATGAGGTAATGCCAAAGATTATTGAAATGGAGTCTGCTGGGCCAATCCCACGGTCACATCTGGTAAAAGGCAAGAGGTGAATTCGATGGGAGGTCCCACTCCAATAACTTTTAGTCAATAGTGCCTTATAAAGGATTAGCATTAGCGTCTAAACACTCAACCAACGCCTTACACCAATCTCTACAATCACGATATAAAATGAATTGGTACAAATAGCGCCTACACAGCTTCAAAGTCTCAAAATTACTTTATTGCTCTAAATTGGTCGATGGCGCTGCTATTTCTGGTCTTCTTCGCCCTCCTCCTCGTCGGCACTACCATCGTCTCCGTCGTCGTCCTCACCATCAGACACATCTTGTCCGAGATCCCGTAAACGACTCTGGTAGAACTCTATATTAGCATCACATCATTCTATTTTACGCGGTCCTAGGTTTCAATGTAACACCAGGTCACCTACCTTGTACTGTGCCAGCTTCTCCTCTAGATCGCCAAATACCATAAGGAGATCGTCAAGTTCGGACTGAACGGCATCCTTGGCCTCCTCTGCATCCTTCAGGGCTGACTTTGTCTAAGAAAAGCCCGTCAGTAATGAACCTGTGAGCATTGAGTTTACCATGTCTTACCTCCGTAACTTCCTGCCGGAGCTTCTCAGCTTCGGACGTTGCATCCTCCAGCTGTTTTTCCAGCTCCTCGCTCTTCTCGTTGGCCGTCTTCAGCTGTTTCCCCACCTCATTGTGCTTCTCGTTGACCGTCTTTAGCTGTTTTTCTAGCTCTTCCTTCTTTTCGTTGGCTTTCTTCAGCTGAGACTCCTGCTCTGCTAAAGCGTCTGCATGCTCTGTACGAAGGGCCTGTAATTCAACGGTCTTGGTCTTATTGGCCTTTTTAAAAAATCCCAGTTAACAATCTGTAAACGGTACTCATTCAATCATGCCTCGTAACACTTACCTTCATCAAATCGACTTCAAGTCTGCTAGCAGTCGCCCGCAAATCGGCGATTTCTGCTTCAGCCTTCTGCTTTGCTCGCTCTGCCTCTACCTCGTGTGCTTTTTGAGCCTGGCTCAATTGCGTTTGTAGTTGCTGGTCTTTGGCACTCAATTGAGTTTGAAGCTGCCGCTCCTTAGCATCTAGTTGCTTTTGGAGATGAGCCTCCTTGGCGTCCAGCTCTTTTCGGAACTGAGCCTCTTTGGCAACTAGCTCTTTGTCTTTGGCATCCAGCTCTCTTTTTAGGCGCGCATCTTTGGCTTCCAATTCCCTTTTAAGACGCGTATCTTTGGCATCTAGCTGTAATTGATGATTTTGGTCTTTGGAGTTAAGTTGCTGCTGTAGTTGCACCATTTTTTGTTCATATTCCGCGGCTTTAGCAGCATGTTGGCTTTGAAGCTTGCTAGATAGGTCCATCAGCTGTGCTCTAGACACTCATCATGGCAAGGGTATATCAAACATACCTCAGTTCTATTGCCAACTTTGCACTTGTGGCCTCGGCATCTTCCTTAGCACGGCGATGTGCCTCCTGCGCTTCATTAACGGCTCGTTGCAATGCTTGTTTGGCTTCGTTAGCTTCAACAATCGCGCCATCTCTCTCCTCTACTTGATGCCGCAAAGAATCTACGAGCTGTCTTGATATGCCTTGTTCCAAGCCATTCGTGATGACCGATACTTCCACATCGGGTGCTTTATCAATAGCACGGGCTGCTCGACTATAGTTGTCTTTGAAAAATTCAACAAATATGCTATCAAAGAACACATTGACTTCTTCTTCCCCAGTGGGTAGCGCAATGAGAGTCTGTGGCGTAACTTCAAAATCTCGAAGCAACGGGTGGTTTCGCAGTTTTACCAGTCGGTCCAGATAGCCATCTCTGTCCAGCCGCGATTCCAGGATAGAATGTAATGTTGCTCGCGGAATGGGTGAATCCTTTGTAGAAAACTCGTAAATGAAGCCCAGCAACATGGCGCACAAACCTTGCACGAGCTCCCCTGCTACACGAACTGGCTGTGAGATTACCTGAATGAGGCCCTGGACATTGCTGCCTTCGGATAGGAAGTCATTGACGGCATCTAGATCCTCAAACAGCCAGCCTAGAAGTAGCATCAGATACCCCACCAATATTCGGGTGTCATCATCTCGACGTATCCTCGTGAGTAAATGCGCTGTGATCGTCTGTATGCTGGTCACAACCTCCTCGCCTTTAGAGGCATCGCCTTCAGTTAAGCCCTTTGCCACTGCTTTGGCAGCAGGATTGTCGTAGACAAGGTGAAATGCGATGACAGAGGCAAACCACACGCGGTATGGATCATTCAAGAATACATCACCAGGTAGCTTCAGCAGAACACTCAAGATGTTAGCAGATTCGTCTCGTCCAGACTGATACCCTTCTATGGCTCTGCCAAGGAAATGCGATTTTACTTCGGCGTGGTTAGAGAAATAGGCCGTTAGACACTGGCAAGCGGCAAATCGCAAATCAAATGCGGCAAGATCGTGCACATTTAATGACAAATCAAGCAGGCCGTCAATGATGTAGATCTTGGAAGGAGCATGGCCATTGGATACGTTTGGATTCCCGGCCATGGATTCTAGTGGTGGAGAGACTGTGAGCGAAGCGAATCCTTCCTGGAGGGTCATGTTGTTACGGATCAGGTCTCCGCAAGCAACCAAAGCCTGTTCGAATTGTTATAATTGTGGCTCAACATATTAAGAAGCAGGGGAGTAGGCCTCCGCACCTCGGCTTTGATCTGTGTTTGAACATCAGGGTCGAACGCAAGCTGAAGGACAAGATAGCTAAGGCCGTGCCTCCAGAACGTGGCTTGATTCTGATGCGTCTCTGCCGAGTTCGCAGACAAAAACAGGCGGATGATGGAGAGAAATGCGTATATGTTTCGATTGACCTGGATTTGCGCCCATTTGGCCAGACCATCTTCCTGGTTCCGAGCTTCGAGTAGGCCCTTGAGCATCTCTGTGAGTTTCCCCATGCAGTCAGACTCCCTAAAGAGGGACTGGTTGGCCGCATTGCCCCTCAACAGGTTGGCTAAGAGTATCAAGCAATCCTCTACAGTCCTTCCGCCTTCAGAGAGAGAACCGTCACCAGCAATGATGACGAATAGTTTCTCAAAGGCACTTTGAAATGCTACGAGCTTTTGTATCTCAATGGAACTCGATGTCAGCAGTATCAATAGATTGATACCCTCGTTGCGGATCGCCTCCCGCTGATCGTCGAGAGCAGCCACGAGGCGGCTGATCCCCAATGGTGCCGAGAGAACACATTCTTCGGTTCGTTGGGTTCGTGCGGTGAGGATCGAGCTGAGAAGCTGTAAACAATACAGGCGTGAGTAGAAATCGGGGGAATCTAAAAAGTCCAGGACCAGCGTGATGTTTTCTTGGCGCTGGGTAAATTCATCGGCCAGCCATAAGGCGATTTCATCTGATGCTTCTGGGCTCTCCTTGTTCGGGTTGAACAGCATCAACAGGGTCTCCAGCACGACCTTGATTGTATCGACATCTTCGGCATCTTTGGTGAGGCTGCCAATCAAGCCCCTGAGAGCGCCGGATGCTACAGTCGCTGGATAGTCCTTTGCGAAGCTTCGCAGGCCTAAAATCGCAGCCCGCCGATCTTCGAGGAGTGTCGCAGAACCGAGTCGGCCACTGAGAACGGTGATCGTGTCGCCAACAGATTGTTTCGCTGGAGCGCTGGAGATGGAGAACATGTCGTCGCTCCCCCCATGCCACCAATTGAGGGAATTGAGGTTCACGATTGGTTGAGCATGCAGGATAGAAGGCTGAGCTACCTAGTCGCAATTTACGATGCCGAGCTTCTAGAAAACGCCCCTACATAACACGTAGGTGGGTATACGGACTACCTACCTACTGTAGCTGTAACCACACTACAGCTTTAGGTGCATAGTAGCAGATGCTAGGTGAAATAGGCAATGCCTTTACTCGTCAATGGATGTACCTTCCTTTATTTGTATTTAAGCACAATCGAAATAGTATTTAATTCCCATATAATGTTCTTCTTTTGCCAGGCGAAGATGGGCAAATCCTATTGAAGCCTATACCATTTCGCTTCATAGCAGCTCCCTGACACTCCATGTGTCAACCGCTATTGGGCGTGCTGTACGCTTTATTAGACACACACTAGACCCGATCTGGACTGGTCCCCTTATCTTATCAGGCTTTACTGGACGACCTGTCGCCGGGTTGACCCAGAGACGCGTTCCACAATCCGGAACAAACAAGCTTGAGCCTCTTTACTTGATCTCGCATCCGCTCCGATGTAGCCCATTGCGTTAAGCTACCACGCATGGTTGTTCAATCCGCTCTTTCTTCCATTTCATTGATACCCCTTTCGCAATGGCTCCTCGCCAATCAACGGCAGCGCCCAAACAACGATATCGTGCCAGACCAAGCGACATACAGCGTGCGCGGTCAGCTCCCATGTTCTCAAAACGACTAATTTGCTAACTATCAATCCAGCGGGCGATCCACTGCCTACGAGACAGAAGCGGCGATATCGCCCGGGCACCGTTGCGCTGCGAGAAATCAGGCAATATCAAGCCAATACAAAGCTTCTACTCCTAAAACTTCCATTTATGCGACTCGTTAGTGCCGTCATGACAACCCCCTTCCGACAGTGGACTTGCTTTTTTTTGATACTGTATAGGTTCGCGAAATTGGATTGAATTGTCGGCCGAGAGGGAAAGATTTTCGATGGCAGAGTCAGGCCATCCAGGCACTGCAAGAGGCCGCAGAAGCATTCATGGTACATCTTTTTGAAGATGCGCAGCTATGCGCGGTCCATGCGAAGAGAGTGACACTTATGCAAAAAGACATCCAGCTAGCGAGGAGGATTCGAGGTATATGGGGCGGGCTTGGTTGAAATCAAATAGCAGCAATTGGTATATTATTCATCTTGAAATCCCCATACACATAGACACAATAAAGTCTGGATGTGCGAGGTAACTATCATGTTATGGGAAGGTTCTACCGTATGAACAAGATTTACTGGCTGGAAGATTATGCTCTTCTTCGGTACAGAAGCCCTACAACGTACAAAATGCGTTTCAGAATAAGCAGCTTATCTTGTATACGCACCTGAAAGAGAATTGTGGCGATCATTGATGACCACGTCCGCGCCACTGATTGCCGTAAGGAGGCCGCGCTCCAGAGTGCCCTCCGTGTCTTCCCTGGTGGCCATACTCGGGTCTGTTCCCATGCCAACCTTGCTGCGGTTGGTGCTGCATATTTGGAGCTGCAAAGGAGCTGGCTCTTGGGTCAAACCCTGGCCCAGCTGGTGGTTGCCACCTCCCATGTTGAGGCATACCTTGGTGGGAATTATGTGAGTCGAAGCGTTGGTTGTCCCTATAGTGCCCGGTATGAGATCCTCGCGAATCTCTGTACCCACCAGCGTAGCCAGGCCCATTCCGACCATTGTTATTCCTATATGATCCTCCATAGTTGCCGCGACCTCCTCGATTTCCCCTTCCTCGCAGTATTTCAATGTCGCTCCTAGTCAAAACAGGTGCCGGCATTCGCACTCCGCGTAGTAGCATTGATTTATGAGTTTGGGATACCTGCGGCATGTCATAATAAACGCTGCGCCCGATTAGTCAAAAAGTACCAGAGGCAAAAAAAAAAAAAGAATAGTTTGATCATACCTAATTGAGTGATCGTAATCTAGATCCGGCATAGATCGTCGCTCCAGGGGATAGTTCAAAGCCCCATGGGGAACCTTATCCTCTTGCTTTTCTATTTCTCCTGCTAAGCCGTTGCTGTTTTTGGTATTTATGCTGAGTCTTAAACGGTCCTGCTTCTTTGAGTAGAAATTGGTTAGGATATCGTCGTAGAGTCCATCATGGCTATCAGACAATAGCAAGACGTCTTTTCCCACTGTGTTTCGTGCAACATCTTCTGGGCTCAGTAAGTCATATTTGCCTTGAACAGCCTTGAGGAGTCGTGGCATGTCAATAAATGGAAGCAGAGCGACTCCCTGCCATGCCATCTTCTTCCCGTTCAAGTCGACTTGAAACTCCTCTGGATAGAAGTCGATAATCTCACTATCTTTTTGTAACATCAGGTCATGAAAGACTGTGGGGAGAGCATGGCGAGATGCCGCCGGCAAGACGCTCATCAGCTGTTCAAATGGCCTAGAAATCCGTCCCTTTTCGAAAGCAATTTCCATCTTGGTGAGGTCTTTGAAATCAGCAGCAAACGGAGCATAATGGTAAGGATAGTACCACTCCCAAGACGGACATCCTTGGAAGTAATAGAGTAATACCCAAGCCAGCCCTTCGACGTATGCCTGTGCCACCTTGTGGCGAAAGTCAACGTCCTGTGGATCTTTGTGAAACTTTTGCTGGTAGTAGCGATCTTCATAGCCATCCTCCCATAGGCGCACGTTATCAACTGGCTCTACCTCTGGAGGCGCCAAGGGTTTGACACTGGGCGATTCAGCTGGAGAGGCATTAGCGGTGTCGTCGGAATCCATAGCTTTCCTCTTTCCAAGGGACGAAGGTAGAGGCTGAGTAATAGCTGCCGCCGCGGTAGAGGTATCCTCATTCTTGTTAGTATCGGCCCGCAGTCGATCTCGCATTACGCTGGCAGCGCCCTTATTGGCCAAAGTCACATCTTGAGTCGCATTGCGGCTGACAATCATATCGTGCGTCATGTTAATGGCCGAGTTTGCGGTTTGTGATGCAGCAATGGGGAAAAGGTGCAGCCCTTTAGTAGGATCGGCGTGTCCGTCAATTTTGGAGGAGCCATGTTGTCCATTTCTGGCATAGCCTTCATTTTGCATCTTTCTTCGTTTGTTAGAGGCCTCTCGGCGATCTTCCTGCTCTTTTCTTCGCTTGAAAATTGCATTTTCTTGACTTGCGAGACCGTCAAGTATGACTTGCGCCCTCGCTAAATCAATATGGCCATCTTTGGTGACATAACCGCCCATGGACGGCAAATTCGTCTTCCAGATTGTGGTCAAAGTATCAATGCCATGCTCTCGAATTTCAAGAGCAGGCAAATGAGGTAAAAAGTCGTTACCTACAAAGCAGCACATGAAGATCCAATCGTCAATGGCCCGCTCTAGGTCAAACCTGAAAGGAAGATCGGGCACAGCCAACTCGGCCGCGAGATACTCTCTCAGAACGGAAACGTGCAGCCAAATGAAAGGCTTTTGAACGGGGCTCTGAAGGCTTCTGCTTTGTTCTTCAGCAGCAGCAGGATCATCGCTTGGTTTGGCGTTTCCACGACAGTTATTCGCCTCATGTCCTTTTTGGCCGCACAGCTTACACGCCCTGTTTTTGCCATCTTGGAAGAAGACATCTTCACGTAGGACTCGGAAGTGAGGCTCGTGCGTGGCAAGTCCTAACATGATGAGATCGGCATCCAAACCGTAAATAACGTGGCGGGTGTTGGGGTCATAGTTTGGAGAAGCGCGTTGAGATCTGACAAAGTTCATGATCTTATGTTCACCTTCACCGGGCACAGTAGCATCAGATATGATGATTTTGAGCTTAGCCCATGCTGGATCTGTGTTTAGCTTGTACTGGCACCAATACCGCAAACTCAGGGCGAGAATATCCATGAATGGGGTGCCTGGGGTGATGGAGTTTGAGTCAAAAGCTTTCTTAACGACCGTCTCCGAGTCTGCAGCAGCGAATGTGCCACCATTTTGACGCTTGAGGAGTTCGATCAGCGCTTGCTTGTCCTCTTCCTTTTCCTTGGCTTCCTGGGCCGATCGAAATCGTCGCGATCGCTGTTGATTCATCTTGGCTCTTGGCGCAACTCCATCTGGTTCAACTTTGTTAGCTACAACTGAGCGAAAAATTTCGTAGACTAGGATGACGAGACGTCACACATACCGACAGCAATCATTAGAATCTTTCGTGGACGAACCATGTTCACAACACGATCCGTGTATTTGAACACCTCGAGCATCATTTCCTCCTCATCAGCCGGTGCCGGCCTATCCTCTGGATGCGAGCATGGATGGACAATTCCATTCATGTCCAAATATAGGTTATCCAGCTCTTCCCCGTTAGGATTGGGCTGCGTGGTGTCGACGGGAATCGTGATGCCATCTTCGGTGACAATAGGCGTTTGTTCAATCACTGGCGAAATGATTTTGGGATATTTGTTAGATAGCCATCTAAAGGCAGCGGGAATACCCATGCTGGGCCGTGGAAATCTTGGTAAGGAATAAAAATGGGTTCGTGCTGTTGGGCAATAGGTAGTAATGAACAGTTCTCTGAAAGAGCGAGAGACGCGATTGCGCGCGGTCAATAATTCGAATAGCGCAAGGAAATGTTTGAGTTGCGCAAAAGGTGTCACAGTTCTATCACCTGATGATAGACTTGAAGTCTGCGAATCTGAAGAGATTGCGCGGACAGGTGAGAGACTATGCTGAGCAGTACCTGAAATCTTGATGCAGATGTTGCAGGTGGAAAATATCCCATATCAGATAAATGCGAGGCAAACTTTATCTTAGAACTGAGGCGCCAAGCTACTAGTGGTACCTAGTAGTAGCAGCGGCAGCGGTACCTTGGCTACGCATTACCTTTTTTGCATTATATATAAAGATGAAGGCTGCAGCCTTTTATTTAAAAAAAAAAAAAAAAAAAAAAAAAAAAAAAAAAAAAAAAGAACGAAAGAATGAAATCGAGAACAATTAAACATGCCAATGGATTTATTTATTGGCTACTATATACTCGCATCTTTCAATCACTTAGTTCTGTTATACTGGTAGGCACTTTCTTCAATAAAAGTTTCCACATGTCTCTGTACGTATTAGGTACCTACCAGTAGGGGGGGAACTTGGATTAGCTTAAAAGCAGCACTAGTAGCCCTGTTAGGTTGTCGCTGTTCCAAGTGCTTGTCTCGCAGTCGCTGGTCTGACGCTTGTTCCGTTACCTTTGGGATTTGCCTTGAGCTGCCTCAAGGTATATCTGCTCATACACCATGTCTATATCCAATGAAGCTCTACAGAAGGTGAGTACGGCTCCTCTAGATTCTAGAACCTGTGCTAATTCAACTACTAGCTGGCGCTCGAGATCGAGACCCAGGCCATCGCAGCACAGCAGCAGATCGGCATGGTCCGAAGCCAATTAGCAGGCAAGCAGCGAGAGCAACGTCTACTCCGGTTAACGATGAGCGAGGTGCAGAGCTTTGCAAGCAATTCAGTCGTTTACGAGGGCGTGGGGAAGATGTACGTGACAGATGCACACAAACGTGGTAGTGGAATTGATGCTGATGTTTCGTGGGCTCTAGGTTTGTTTCTCTTCCTCCCAATACTCTGCACGAGAAATTACAGCGTCAGATGCAAGATCTCGACGGGGATGTTGATAAACTGAACCAAAGACTGCTGTATCTCGAGACAACCCAGAAGAACAGCCGAGAGCATATTGAAAAGATTCTACGTGCCAGTTAAAAGAGACTCAGACGAGCGGGCGACGACCGAATAATTCTTTGTAAAGCCGGGCTGGTATTGCCCACATTTTATACCTACTCTATATACCAAAGCAGCAGAAGGCAGTACATTGGCGATGCGGGATCAAGAGCTTAGGTATAGACGCCAGTTGGTAGCAGTAGTATGCAAGCACTACTGTTGCTACCTGTAGATATTGTAGCAGCATTACCTCTGATGCTCAAGGGAATGATGAATCAAAAGCATACTTGGCAATATGAATAGCAGCATCCATAAATGCATGCATACCAGTATATATATATATATTATTTCGTTTCAAGTTTCTTCTCCAGCTACGTTGGTTGATGCTGTTATCATCCACGGTTGAGGAGCATCCCACCCTGCTACTAGTCTTTTTAGAGTTACCTTGGCTCTCACAGCAAGCAAGCTTTTGCCGCCAGGGATTTTCCACCGCACGCGCATCATATCCGAGCCCAGCCCCTCTACCTCTAGTGTATCTGGCTTCTTGCGCACTCGTGCTGCTGCTCTCGTGCCCCACCAGCAGCAGGACTAGGTAGCTCTCCTTCACCCGCGGCGTGTGGCACCTGTTAGTAACATCAAGCTGTGTGCTCTCTCCTCCAGCCCGCCAGTGCTACGGCAAACGACATCATCCGCATCATCAACGCCTGATTGCTTCGCCCAAGCCCCGACCCGACGCTCGACGCTCTGCCCGGCCCAAGCCCCAACCCGCCGCGGCCGACCTCCCATCCCTCTCGAGACATCACCCCTCACTGCCCTCTTCCTGTCTCGCGCTGTATCTCGTCACCCCGGCTGCCTGTGCCACCTCTAGTCCCGATCCCTGCTATCGCTGCCAACCAAAATGGTCGACAGCGAAGCGAACTCACCAACATGGAAGTTTACCCAGTATGTGCCGCCGCTCCAATGGACTCTACCTGCAACTGACCCAGGATGCCCGCAGATGCTTCGGCGACAAGGGCGATGTGGAGGACATCACTGAAGGTTCGCCGCCGGACAAGCTCCCTTTCTTCCCTCTGACGTATGCTGCCTGATACTGACCGCGGGGCCCAGCCGACATAATCTCGACGGTGGAATTTGATCACACGGGGAACTACCTTGCTACTGGTGACAAAGGAGGGCGAGTGGTTCTGTTTGAACGAAACGAGACGGTACAGCTTTGCTCAGCTCGCTCCAACCCACCCCCCCCCCCTCCAAGCGGTGGATGCAGACTCTCTAACGCTTTTGCTTTTGCAGAAAAAATCTTGCGAATACAAATTCCACACCGAGTTTCAATCCCATGAGCCCGAGTTTGACTACCTCAAGTCTCTCGAAATCGAGGAAAAGATCAACAAGATCAAGTGGTGCCGTCGACAGAATGCCTCTCATTATCTCCTATCCACCAATGACAAGACGATCAAGCTGTGGAAAGTGTTCGAAAAGTCTCTTAAAGTGGTGGCTGAGAACAACCTTTCCCATGATATAACGCCCGGGGGTGCGGTAGGCGGTGGCGGCGGCGGCCTTCGAGCTCTCCCTACATCCCAGCAATTCAGGGACGCCGCGGATCTGAAGCTGCCTCGCCTCACGCACCATGATACCGTTGTTGCCGCCGTCCCCAGACGAACTTATGCAAACGCTCACGCATATCACATCAACAGCATATCGGTAAACAGCGATGGTGAAACCTTCATCAGCAGTGACGATTTGCGTATCAACCTCTGGAATCTCAATATCCAGGACCAGAGCTTCAACATAGTCGATATCAAACCCGCCAACATGGAAGAGCTGACCGAGGTCATCACTGCCGCTGAGTTTCACCCAATCAGCTGCAACTGGTTCATGTATGCCAGCTCAAAGGGCACAATCAAACTTGCTGATATGCGAGAAAGTGCTTTGTGTGACCAGCATGCAAAATGTTTGTATTCATACTGCATCACATAAAACTCTTGACACGACGCGAATGAGGGACTGACCAAGATATTTTTACTACCTAGTATTCGAGCAAGAGGAAGATCCTTCATCAAGGTCATTCTTTTCTGAAATCATTTCGTCAATATCCGATGTGAGATTCTCTTACGACGGGAGATATGTCCTGTCACGAGACTACCTCACCGTCAAAATCTGGGACATCAACATGGAGCGGCAACCGGTCAAGACGATACCCATTCACGAGCATTTGCGACCCCGGTTATGCGACACGTATGAAAACGATAGTATTTTTGATAAGTTCGAGGTCGTATTTTCCGGCGACGCCAAGAATGTCATGACTGGAAGCTACAACAATAACTTCATGATTTATCCCTCCGATCCGGATAAGGAAGTCGAGGTGGTTCTTCAGGCGGACAAGTCGGCTTTCAAAGCAAAGAAGGTGGGCGTTCCTACACCCATTAACTCATCCACAAGCCCAACAGCTGCGAATGGTGGCAAGAAGGGAGGTTCACGGGCGGGCAGCCCGGCTGGTGGTGCGCAGGGCCAAAGGATGCGGAAAGAGACGGACGCAGACCAGATCGATTTCAATAAGAAAATACTACACATGAGTTGGCATCCGTTTGAGGATAGTATTGCCATAGCCGCGACCAATAATGTGAGTCTCCCCCCCTCTTCCAAGCTCATGGAGGATCGAAAGTCTTTACTGGATGCTAACAGCTCGGTTCGCAGCTCTTTGTATTTTCAGCACTGTAGTTGAAGGTAGAAATCTTGGAACACTGGAGAGCACACCTAAACCAAAAAATAGCAACTCACGAGTTGTAAATGATAGTCAATGCTAAGGAATAGTGAAAGAGTCAATTAAAGTCCTAATTATAATTGGGCAAGAAGAGCAAGAGGATTATAAATACAGTATAACCTTGAAATAAGACATACTATTACTAGTTGATACCAAAAAAAAATATTCAACAAAAGATATTGCCATTTATGAGTTTTGCCACTCCAATGGTAAAAAGAAGAAGGAAAAAAAAAAGGGGGGGGGGGGGGGGGGGGGGGGGGCTTAATCTCATTGAGATTACTACACAAATGGGTAATATTTTTAGCACCTGGAAGTTTATGCATAGAACAAACTTTGAATGCTATCAAGTTGCCAAGAGATATATCGCTTCCATTTAGCTGCTATTGACTTAACACGAAATTATGTATACATCTCTAGTATCTCCGCTCTGCGCAATACTCTACTATGTCGTCAATCCATACCTCAACGTCGAGTGCCTCTGGTAATACGGCCATGGGATGGTATGTCTTCGTCATCTGTTGACTCCCTGGAACTGCTCGACCGAGACCATATTCTTGCTTTGCTAGTCTTCCTGTTTCTGCCAGTGCGCCCCGGAGCCTTGTCATTGCCATATGGGCTTTCGCTCCCTCCCTCTTCGTGTTCTTCGTACCCCTCATCCATTTCAGGGGCTCTCTTAGATACCTGTTTCTCGGCGAGGCGTTCTCCAACTGGTGTCATCGTCTGCTGTCCCAAGCTTGGGCCCTTCACGTTGCCTTGAGGCTTCCTCAAGCCAATCTTGAATGACTTGCCTTTGAGAGCCATCCGTTCAGCCATAGACATAAATTGAGAGCTTGATGGTAAAATTACATCCAAAGAGGATCTACTTCGTGAAGAAGCCACAGATTTCGGAGGTCGGCCTCTCCTCCTTTTCGGAAGAGCATCTCCCTCTTCGTCTTCGACCTGTGATTCTCTAGAGGTCTTGGTTTGGTGCTCTCGCCGTGGATTGCCGACGCCAAGTTTAGCAACACCTGAAGATCTGGAGCGCCAGCGTCGTTGTCGTGAATCTTCAACGAAATCGCCATCCCGAGTATTGGTCTGCTCATCCAATTCCGGAGAATTCGATTCACGAGTTTCTGTATCGGGAGCAAAGACCATGTCGTCCTGCGGGCCAGTATCTGCCTCCATGAGCGATGTAGGCAGCGACTTCCTTGGGCGCCCTCTCGCCTTTTTGTTACTTCCGCTTTCAATCTGCGGCGTTACATCCTCGGCGGTCACTGGTGATGCTGTTCTCGGCAACTTTCTCGGTGGCCGACCGCGACGTTTCGGAGCAACTTCCCCGGCCGCCTCTTGGGTTGCTCTACTCGGACGTTGTTCCTCAGCACTATTCAGTCCTTGTACTTCTTCGTTCGCGTGTATATCTTTGTGGGGTTTATCTACTGCTGGGCCATGGGCTTCCATCGCCGCCAAGGTTGGTGATATCTGAGGCGCTGCTTCAGTTTCGTCAACTTCATCAATATCTAGGTCGTCGATTTCGATATACGACGCCCGTGGTTTGGCATGTCGAAGGATTGGCTCATTAGCATCATACGGTGCAAAGGATGTCTTCGGTATGTTGTGGCTAGGCTCTGCTCGAGACGTCCCAACAGAATCCTCCCTATCTGGAGGAGCAGGCGCTGTTGCTTGATCAGGTACTGCTGACAAAGTTTCAGCGACAAAAAGAGCTGGATCCATGTTGTCAAGAAAATCCGTTGCCTGTGGGATAAGCCTTTGTTTCTTCGCATGGCTTTTAGAAACAATAAAATCAGGGTCGTCATTCTCCCGTTTAGCTTTTCTCTTAGCTGCCCGAATAGTTTTCTTAACAAAATCTGGGACGGTAGATTCGTCAGCCTGGATTGATTCTGCGGAGGGCGCCTGGTAAGGGTCGAAAAGAATTTTATCTGGTGTATCGTCTTGTTCGTAGTATCCCATTCCTATTCGCTGCCTGGTGAAAACCGATGGGTCAGGATACTGTGATGAATATACACTCTCTTGCTCTCTTGCATCGGCTGGGGCATCGGTTGGGGCATCGGCTGAGGCATCGGCTGGGGCATCGGCTGAGGCATCGGCTGAGGCATCAACTGAGGCTGGAGCTGCGACATCTTGCGGCACGTTGTCGGCTTTGTAGGTATGTCTGTCGGAGACGTCAAAAGCCAGGTTGGACACGTTTCCCCCATCGTGGCCAAGTACTTGACTCTGATCTCCATACCCGTTTATCGCGGAAGATTCTCCTAGATTGGCAGTGAAAACAGCGCTGGGTTGCATCCTAGGCTCCACATGAGATTGCTGCAGGGCATCTTGCGCTTTGGCGTTGTCCGCTTGCTCTCGCAGCAGCTGCATTCTCTTGCTGTCCTTACTACGACTTTCTTCTCCCGCAGCTTTCAACCAAGACAAGTTATGGATTCGAAAATCAACAAGTGCTTCTACACTTCGATCGTCTGCAATTCGTCGAGTGTCATGTCCAAGAGACGTATTTTTTGGCATATATGGCTGCGTAATGCCTGCACGGCGGCAATGACCACAATTGCATATCCCTAAGCATTTGGGGCATTGCCAATGCTCATCTTCCATAACAGTCTGTGGCATGAGATCGAAAGCCCGATACAGGACGCCGTAGCAGTATCCTTCGAGACAGCCAGGATTCGTGCATAGATGTATTCGATAGCTATAATCCGGGTGGCAACAAACATGGCAGCGGTGGACTTCGCCTTTCTTCTTTTTTCTCTTTGCCTTCTTACTGGGCTTATCATCGCCCTCACCTTGTTCAGAGTCACTAGGTGTCTTTTCGCGGTCTGGTTTTGTTATGTCCTTCCAAGGACGTCGTTTTAATGCCTCCTGACAGATTTGAGCAAGTGACTTCTTCCCTGCCCTCTGTCTTGTGATCTCAAGTGGCTGTGGAGAATTTTCCAAGTCCACATGGCCATCGATTGCGATAACAGTCGCTTTCCAAGTCTCGTAGTTTTCAGTCAGCTCTGACCATAACCACTGCTCACACCATTGAAGCCCGGAGAGGCAGACGCATGACCGGCCCATTGCGTAACATTCCATGCAAACGTCGTATGCATCCTCTTCTCCATTAGGCAAATATCTGACACAGTGTTTGCAGGTGAGAAACCGATTGAAGATGTTAGACCTGCAGTAAGAGCAAGTAACGCAGGAATCAAACGGCAGGAATTCAATGTCTTTCTCTTTGAATGCAAAGACTTCGTCAGTAATGATTTCGGTAAACAACTGAAACAACTTTTTGAAGTCGGCGGCCAGCTGCTTCACACGCGGAGAGCTCCTGAAGATATCTCGCCCAAATCCCATGAAGCCAGCCTGCATAATTTCTGCCGTCTTTGCAATTTTTTGGAGCTCCGCATGGTATTTTTGAAGGGTATAGTAAATGATGGCTTTATTCTTGTACTGTTCATCTCGGCACACCAAACGAGCCTTGGGAAGAGCTTCATGCAGTGCGAGGTCTAAGGTTTCCACTGTCGTGCGATTCCAAGCAACCTTCATTGTTCTCGTCCCTCGATTCCAAACTTGATGCGCAGCGAGAGGGGGGATAAGTATAAAATCGCCCGCGCATTGCTCCACAATGTACACGTCAAAGGGTGCCTTCTTCCAGGCGTTGACTTGCGCGAAATGCTTCTCAATCTCGATATCATGGCCAAGCATCGACAAGAAATACTCTCGTACCACTTCACGATCTTTGCTTTCGGTCATGAACCAAATCGAACTCCCCTTCTTTTCTCCATTTTCATCTCGTGATGCTTCAACCATGATGTTTTGTCCCAACGATGCGCACATCTCTCGGTGGGCGGGCGTGTAGGTTCCTTCATGGCCTATGTAGCACATGAGATTTTGGGCGCGCATTTCTTCTGGTAGGCTAGACATAAGATCTCCGGCAGAGGCAGCGGTAGTTTCGCCCCCAAAACTTCCCCTGTCGCGCGCGCGCATATCTCCTTTACTTGCAACATTTTCGTTGAGGTAGAAGAGATTAGGATGTATAATTTTCTGTAGCATATCGCGCCATTCGGGGGGGCAGTCGATATCCTTGAGATATAACCGCTGTCGACGCTCGTCTCGATACGTGTTTGGAGTCCATTGATTGGTAAGCTGTTTCATGGAGCGTAGATAGTGTCCAGTGGTCATGGGGATGTCAGAGGCGTTGGAAATATCACGAACATTCTCCTCTGGCAAGACAGGCAGATCAGTATAGGTTCATGGTAGCTTGGGGAAATAACGAACGTTTCTTATCGTAGGTATTCTCAAGCCATCCTGCGCTAAATAGCGAGGAGGGCAGGGCATCGTCCCAGCCCTCGATAACGAGAGGCTTCCCGCCAGCTATGACATGTATCGCCACAAGCTTCTCGAAGTCCTGCTGGCCAAGGCTGTTGATTTGAGATCGAGATACCCGCTGAACCCATCGGAAATTCGGTGTACGGTCTACCAGAGAGTGAAGGTCAAGATCTGGAGGTATCGGGTCAAACTTTGCCTGGGGATGCTGTGCGCTAGGCATCTTGTTTCGCGCGGCGAGGTTCAACGGCGTTGGTCATGGGCAGTCGGCAGTAGGTAATCGGTGATGCAATCAATCGTAGCGGGGAGTGCTGATTTCCAGCGTCCGAATATGCCGTGTCGTGGCCGTCAGCAGGCCATTCTAAGGCATAGGTACGAACTGATCCCGCAAATTGATGAGCTCTGGGCAGGATCAAGGCGCAAGCTTCACCAGGCACAAGCTTCACCAGGCACAAGCTTCACCAGGCACTCGACAATGCCAGTAGTAAGCGCGATGTGAAAGATGGAAAACGATCAATCTAGTAGCCTTAGCGTGAGCTAAGCATGCGTCCCATAGGACCTTACAGGGGTATCCTAGCAGCTTACCCCAGCCTGTCTGCGAGGGTATGTAGACTTGCAGCAAGATGTTTGCGAAAGAAATGTAAAATAACATGGTCAGATTAATGTTTTGTTGATATAATAGAGAGTAGTAGTACAGATAGTTAATATATCTACCTACTAGGGTAAATGTATAGGCAGGCGTGTTGGATGTGATATAACTTTTTCGAACAACGCCTGTACTTTTTCTTCTGCAAATGGCCAGACGCTTTGCGATGATGTAAACAAGACTGTGCTCCAGTGCAATAGCTACCCTTTGAGATGATGGAAAATTAATTTCAGTCTACTAAGCGCGCGAGTGATAGTTGCTGGCTCGTGGCTGTCGTCGCCTTGCTGTTCCGGTGTTCTTGAAGTCGTCTCTAATGGCGAATTGCCCCACACTCGCGCATTGTATGCTGTGAAGACGTCATGCCAGTACCCAAACCATGTGTTGCTCGTTTCTCGAATATCTCCGCTTCCAAGGTAGGCCTCAGCCTGCTGCGAATCTTCAGGACTAGTAATGAAATTGGGAGAAAAGTCGAGCCGCTCTTCCTTCACTTTTTCTTCTTGGCCGCTAGGAATTTCCTCTGGAGGCGCATTCCATAATAGATCTTCCCCAGGCGCATGCTCAAGATTGAAGGCTAGGCCATGCGACTCGTCTTCCTGTTGAGAGAGAAGTTCTAACACAGCTAAGCCATCCGATGCTTCTTGGTCTATAAATGAAGACTCGTTTTTGCCACCTGTCACCAGCGCCTCAATATTGTGTTCGGTAAATGCATCGAACGAATCGTTTTGGCACTCGTTTGCAGTCCTCCGATTCGGTTCGAATGATGTCTGCTGGTGTCCTTTATACGATGAAGATTCTCCAGAAAGATACGAAGACGACCCCAGATGACTTAATCCACCAGAAGGTTTGGATTCTGGCACAAGATTGGGCATCCCCCGTGATGTAGTTATGGCGTTCACAACCAGTTTTCTAGACGCTTCAAGATGAGCAGCCGCTACTGCTAATGTTTCTTTCTGTTTGCCTTTAGTATCTCCATATGAATTTCGAAGATCCTCTTCAGTTGATGGACTTGAGGATACAGCATCTTCTGATCCATGGCGGTTTAAGGTTGAGTCTTTCATTGTTTGTTGGAGAGCTTGAAAGTTACTGACACACGGTAAGTGGGATGTATATGATAGAGTGATAGCCGAGGTATCTATGGCATCTAAATGCAACACATTCACATGTAATAGCCGCTTAATGCAACACTAAAGGAAAGTATAACAGCTACCTAGGTACCTACTAGTACAAGACACTAAAAGGATTAAATATAAAAGAGTATTAATTAAAGAATATTTTCAATTATCTTAAAATGTATTTTAAAATAATATATTTATATAACTTAAAATATATTATATTATATTATATATGTAATATAATAATTATAAGTATATAATAATACTTTTTTAAAGTTTGACTTAGTAAATTAGAGGAAATAGTATTCATTGATAAATTATAACATTTATTTTAAATATAAGTTAGTGTATTAATTATGATTATTTATTTTTTTAATATTTGCGCTATAATCACCTCTATACCTGTGCATGCGTCGGACCTCGCAAGTTGCAATCAGCCAATCTGATCATTCCTACCGGGTTCTTGGCAGGGCACCTTTACTCGCATGCCTGCATCGACATTCTCTGGAACCCTATGACGCTTAGGCTAGCTGTCAGAGTGCCAGTCCACCACCGAGTGCGATGGCGATCGAGCAATTGCTTGATTAGTCCACTCCGGATACTGCCCCGTCCGACATTGTCCGCCCTACAGAGTATACCAAGTCGACTGCCGGTTCAGGGCCAAAGAATTGTCGCTTTCCACCAAGTCTCGAGCAAACGGCAGCCGGTTGTCGATGTCGCCAATAGCCACAAACCCACGAACGATGAACCTCTAGCGGAATATATCCCAGCTAAAACTGGGATATTGTCCATTGTCCCAAAAACATGGGTACCATACGGTGAACTCATCCGCATTGACAAACCTGCTGGCACCTATTATCTTTTTTTCCCATGCCTTTTTTCTACGCTACTGGCGGCGCCAATGGCAGAGCCTATTGCTTCATTCGCCTCTGTAGCTACTACCGCGGCCCTGTTCTTTAGTGGGGCATTGATTATGCGTGGTGCTGGCTGCACTATCAATGATCTCTGGGATAGAAATCTTGATCCGCAAGTCAGGAGGACTCGATTGCGGCCAATTGCCCGTGGTGCAATTACCCCATTCAAGGGGATTGTATTCACTGGATTTCAGCTACTTGCAGGGCTAGGCGTTCTGGTTCAATTTCCCTTACCATGCCTCGCCTATGGCATACCAAGTCTTGCCCTTGTCACGACATATCCGTTAGCAAAACGAGTCACCTATTATCCCCAAGCTGTCCTTGGCTTGGCCTTTTCTTGGGGAGCAATCATGGGCTTCCCTGCACTTGGCATTGATCTGCTTTCAAATTCCGCCGCGCTCACAGCTGCAGCGTGTCTCTATGCTTCGAATATGGCGTGGGTTGTGCTGTACGACATGATTTATGCCCACATGGACATCAAGGATGATGCAAATGCCGGTATCAAAAGCATCGCCCTGAAGCATGAACATCAGACCAAGCAAGTCTTGACTGGACTTGCCGTTACACAAGTGGCCTTGCTAGGCGCAGCCGGAATGGCAGCCGGAGCAGGTCCTATCTTCTTCCTTGGAAGCTGTGGCGGAGCTCTCGTTACTCTGGGAATCATGATCAAGCGGGTGAATCTCAAGAGCGTCAAGAACTGTTGGTGGTGGTTTGTCAACGGCTGCTGGATAACAGGTGGGGTTGTCAGCATCGGCATGGCAGCTGACTATATCTCCAGGTCTCTTGAAGAGGTTGGATCGAAATCTGCGCCGGATGTAAAAAAATTAGACGCCTGATTAGACAATAAAACACACGTTGCCTGCACTTGGTTGATCGAATGTGAATGTGAGAAGATGCCCAATCCGGTGCCATCTAGTATTTGAACATGCTGAAAAATATTTCTAAAGAGATGGCATAATCCCTTTCAAAATTTTAGCCTCCCATTATAGGGCCATGACTAGTTGTGCGAGTATAACCGAGCCAATTTCCTTCGCTCCTCGCGATCCGTATGATAACACCTTCTTCTCCCAAAAGACTGCTTTTTTTATGATCGGGGCTTCTCCTTCTTCTCCTTCCACAGAGCCAGCAGACCAACACCAGACACCTTGACGACCTTGAATCGGACACCGGGAATATCACCCTTGGCCTTGCCCTTGCGACCGAATCCAGCGAGGAGGACTTCGTCGTTCTCGTCAACAAAGTTGAGGCAACCGTCGTTGGGGACTGTAAATCTTGAGTTAGTTGTGCACCGACCAAATAGATCATTATTTTTTTTTCATCTGGTTTTACGCACCGAAAGCAGTGACCTTCTTGCCGTTCTTGATCAACTGAACACGGACACACTTTCGAATGGCGGAGTTGGGCTGCTTGGCCTCAACACCAACCTTCTCCAAAACAATTCCCTTGGCGTGGGAAGAGCCTCCGAACGGTGAGGACTTGAAAGCAGTGCCCAGAGCACGCTTCTTGTAGGCGAGATCAGCCCATTTCTGATCCTTTCGGTTGGTTCGCAGCTTGCGCGCAGCGTTGAGACCTCGGGGTTTGCCACCAGCCATGATTGCTTCGTAATGTTATGTCAGTACAAAGAGATGCCAGTTAAGAGGTCCTGATGTGAGTGACGATGAGGGTCAGCTGGTGTCGAACATACCGATTTATGCTAATATGGCACCTATGGTTGAGTAATGCGACAACACCGAGAGCCAAAAGGTTGCAGTTGCAGACCACGAAAATTCCGATAGGGTTTGCGGCCCTAGAGCCAAAAAGACGTGAGCGGCGAAATTTTCTCACGTGACCTCGGAAACTCGAGCGCGGCCGTATTTTTATCCACCGCCCAAGGCAGGCGAGCTACTGACGGGCCCCACACCTCCGTCCTCACCCTCACATGCCAAATACGTCTAACAGTGGCTGTCCTTACTGAAATGCCATGTCGTCCACGGGCGAACCAAAAGCAAAGGAGCGAGATCCACCTCCTTTCCTGTTTATGCCTCCATCGCCTTCTATCTCTCGTGTCTCGCTGCCCGGCTCCCTCGCAACCAGCGTTCAAGCTCTCGGGAGACACAATCTGAAATGGAATCCCACCACTGTAGACGCCTCGCGCTCGGGGGGGTCAGATATGCCATCAGAACAGCGGCGTCCTGAGTGGGCCCTACAGACCAAGGGGAGCTATGGAGGCACTGACAGGACAGATGCATTATGGGCAGAAATGCAGGCCACACTGGAGAAGGTGGAATTATCTGCCTCGGAAGGCACTCACGTATTTGGACCTGAGCACGACCGCAAACTAAGAGAACTGCGAACTGCTCAAATCGTACTTGCACAGGCCTGGGCCAGAAGTGAAGCAGACGATACCATAGAGACTGCTCTGCGTGACCATATGAATGACGACAAGGGTGATGAACTACCTAATCTACGAGACGGGCTACTGGACTCGTCAAGGCCTGAGAGGGGAGAAGGGACTGATGCCGCAAAGAGCATGATGGGCACATCAAGTGGATGGCAAGGAAGTGACGAAAAAAGAGCAGACCGGCTAGGGGCAAAGTTGGTAGAGGAAACGGAGGCCGACATTCTACTCGCGAGAAAGCGACGAGAGGCCAACGATGAATATTTTGAGCGCGTCAATGACGGTGTCATCGACGTTATTGCTAAACTTGAATCAGTAGCAGTGGCCATGCGAGCAGTAGAGGAAGAGACCAAAGATTTATGGAATGATGCTGCCAGTCCTCAGGCTAAGTAGAGGAGTTGAAACAATAGATAGATGTACATATGACGTCTTTCCTGCCCGTCATTAGTATGTACATTAGCTAATACTAAGGTAAATTAATATTCCGTTCACATCACCCAAATGGATGTCATTCAAAGGCTCAAGACTAAGCAAGGCAGCGAGGGGTATAGGATAGAGGACCATTACTCTGAAGTGCAGAGAAAACTTGGACGTCCGACGACCGGGCCGGTCTTACCAGCGCTTCCGAAGTAAGACAAGGATTGAATTACACGCTGAGGCTACCTCGGTAGTGCATGATTCCGTTGCGCCTAGTCTGTACTCTACCCTCTGTATAAGCCGCAGATCTATCTGCTGAAAATTATAGCTTACCAACAATGTGTCCGTTCGTCCGACTATAGTATATAAAACTAAAGAAAATAAACATTTATACTAAATCTTTTTTATAAGTAGGATGTTATTAATAAATATTTTTAGATTTCTATATATTTATGACAAAAAGTAGATATATAATTTAATTTATAAATATAAAAAAATAAATAAATACTTATAATTTATATATTTTATAATTTATATATATATAATATCTTAAAATAAAAAAAGAACATTAGTTAATATAATAAATTCTAAAATATTATGATTATATTCTTAAGACTCCTATTTTTTATACTATAGCTTAGAGTGTATGTAGTGTTTACGCTAGTGCCGCATATGGAGCCTTATAGCAGTATATCAAAAACTTACTTGCGCAGCTTCATTGCCCAGTTTATGCTCAGCACGGCATCCTAAATTCCTCTCACGGCTTCCGTCCACGCCACAGCCTTTTCTCTCCGGTGCTAAATTGCTTCTTTACTTTCTTTTTTTTTGTAAAAAAAATTTGCCGGCGTGCACAAAATCAGACACAATGGGGTTTGTGGAAGACGAGCTCAAGCACTTGCGCGATGTTATCAGCGGCCTTGATTCGCGCATCAAGCAGCTTGAGCAGCGCGCTACAGGATCTACTTCAATTGACGCAGAGAGCCTTCGTATGATCTTGATCGGACCTCCTGGAGCCGGTACGTGTTTCAATTGTGCTATCGAAGCACCTCGGCGTCGAATATAGCACACAAGACTCATACAGTGATTAGGCAAGGGTACCCAAGCACCAAAGATCAAAGAGCGCTTTTCTTGCTGTCATCTGGTATGTCAATGTCGACTGAGACTTCATGAATGGCGCGCATAGAACTAATAGCAACTGTTTCCTATATAGGCTACAGGCGATATGCTGCGATCACAAGTCGCCAAGAAGACACCTCTCGGAAGGGAAGCCAAGAAAATTATGGACCAAGGTGGCCTTGTTAGTGACGATATTGTCATTGGCATGATCAAGGAAGAGCTTGAGAATAACAAGGAGTGCCAAGGAGGGTATGTTGACACCATTCATCTGCATGACACCGGGACTCGTTCTTACTTGGGCGCATAGCTTTATCCTCGACGGCTTCCCACGTACCGTGCCTCAAGCCGAAGGCCTCGACGCAATGCTCAAGGAGCGTGGCCAAACTCTCCAGCATGCTGTCGAATTACAGATCGACGATGCTCTGCTTGTTGCCCGCATTACCGGACGATTAATCCACCCCGCGTCTGGGCGCTCCTACCACACAACTTTCAACCCCCCGAAGCAGGCTATGAAGGACGATGTAACCGGAGAACCTCTTATCCAGAGAAGCGATGACAATGCTGAGGCGCTCAAGAAGCGCCTTGTCACCTACCATCAACAAACAAGCCCCGTGGTTGGATATTACCAGAAGAATGGCATCTGGAAGGGCCTTGATGCCAGCCAGCAACCCGGCGAAGTATGGAAGAATATGTTGGATATTCTAGAAGGAAAGAAGTCTCATGGTTCTTCTATCTTTAGTAAAATTGCTGGAAGCAGCTAGGCCACTTGAGGATCATGTCCTATATATCGCTGCAGATGGGAATCTAAGCCTGCCACGCTGATTCTGCTTACCACTATCAACCTATTAATTTCTCTTGAGAGCTTTTAATGTAAGAAAACAGCTCCAGAGATTTTTCTTCTTCTCATGCAAGACGGGCCCATGAAGTGATAATTGAATGTCAGGATTGTGATAAGAAATGATTTCTATATAGTTTGCATGCAATGTATAATAAATGATAATGGCCGCGTTCTAGAAATGAAGAGTAGTCTCTAAACAGAAATGAGACTGTAACCGTGAAAGCCATCTACTTTCTAACGTATAGGATAGGAATACGGCAGCGCTAAACAATCAACTCTTTGCTTGCAATACGCCCAGTAAATGTTGTACTCCCAAAGAGATACCATGATATACAGACGGAGCTCAGCCCTTTAAAATCCTATCTCCTCGAAGTTGCTGAAGAGTCAGGTCAGTCAGTAGAGGTAGAGCATGTCCCGTTGGCGCAACTGACCATTCACCAACTGCCTCTGTTTGTTAAGCCAGCTCTTGGGGGCGTCATGTCGGCGCTGAAGTACGACGTGGTTACTCTGAAGCCGGCTTGTGAGGTCATACCAAGCCGTCGCAATAAGTGCATTCTCCCTTTGGAGGTTCTTGATGATATGATCCGATGCAGCCTGGACATTTCAATCAATTGAAGCTCTTCAGCAAAATTAAACTTTCATCATAGACCAAAACATACCTTTTGTGCCGCCGATCCTTCACCAACTTGTGCGGCTTTTAGTTTGGTCTGTAATTCGAGCCTTTCCTGTTCGGATTGCTCAAGTTGCTGGTGCAAAGTGTAAGTAAGAGGCATGTATTTCTTGTATACGGCGTATGAAATACCTGATTTCTCTGGATAAGGCGAGCTCGTAGCTTTTCGACCTTTTCGGTGGCTTTCTTGGCGGCTTCCGAGCCGTCGGCTTCTGTTGGTGAAACAGCTTCATTCAAATCTTTGTTCTCATCTGATTCCTTTCTCAGTTTGTCGTTTGCTAGCAGAGTGTCGACAAGCTGCGATTTCAGAGCGTCACGTTCATTCGTTATAAAGCTAGTTTCTTCCCTCTGTCGCTCAAGCTCGCTTGTCAATGAAGTTGATATCAACTTATCCGTATTCTTCAGCTCATTCAATGCTTCTATACTATCCTTCTGGACAGCAGAGAGATCTGTTTGTGCGCTAAGCAACTCTCGGCTCTTATCACCCAGCTGTGTTTCAAGGCTGTTAATTAGTTTTCGAGCTTGTTCAAATTCGAGTTCCAATCTTGTCAACTCCTGTCGAAGTTTAATAAATGCTTCAGCCCTAGAGTATAAATCAATGAGTATCAATTGCTCTGCACAACAAGATAGGCATAATGGACTAACCCTTCATCGGTACTCTCACTCATCAAAGCTTGCAAGTTGTCGCTCATGATAGTATACTTTTCGAATAATCCGTTAAAGTTTTGTTGAAGGCGTTCCCGTTGGCGTCTTGTTTCTTCCAACTCGCGTCGGAGAGTGGAAACGTCTCCCGGAGATCCAACTGTCTTTCTAATCAACTCATTCTCTGCTCTCAATCTGGATACCTCCAAGGGTAGGTTGGCCTGTGGACCCCCCTCGGATGCGATCAGAAGTTCGTCTTCTAGGTTAAACGGCGTAGGAGTTTCGCTCAGTTCAGCCTCTTCAACCGTACCGGCACCACCATTATGCTGAAGCTGCTCCTGTAAATCCTGAATGAAGTGTTCGTCGTGCGTTCTTTGAGCCTGTAAGCGCATGAGCTCCTCTTGAAGGGCCGTTACATCCTTCAAAAGTTGCGCTTTTTGGTTACGCTCGTCCCACAAATGCTGCTCCGACTGCGTAATCATCTTTGTCAATTCGTCTTCAGCCTTCTTGGTACGGTCACTCCGCTCTCTCTCCTCCATGAGCGAACGAAGCTGCTCCTGAAGCTCAGCTCGTTCGTACTGCAAGTTCTGCACTTCTCTCACTAGACTCTGTTGCGATTCGAGCTTTTGCTTGTACCGTTCTGCCATGTTGGCCTTCTTCTCGAACTCTTCCGCCTTGTGCCTCCACTCTGCCATCTGATCACGAAGCTCATCAGCCTGTATGTTTTTTTGTCCGAGGCGCTGTACTTCGCTCTCCAGCTGGGACACAGATTTCTGGCTACTGCGGATAACCTCTTCGTTCCTAGCAATGATCTCCATTTGCTCATGGACTTGTTCCTCTAGATGTTTAATAGTTTTCGCACTATGTGCCCCATCTTGGGTTGCCTTCCGCAAAACCTCAAGTTCCCGGTCATTTTTTTCCTTGTCATAAGTAAGCTCTTCGTGGCTCTGTTGGAGATGTTCCAGGCGAGTGATGTAGTCTGACAGGGTCTTCTTCATGGTATCAAGCTGTTGACGCAGTGCAGCATTTTGCTCCTCAACGAGAAGTTCAATGTCGCGAGCACCCATGGCAGCATCAATGGTTTCATCCAGGTCATCGTCTTCCTTAGAATTCGCGATATCGTGTTGCATAGCACGAATAATCTGCATGATTTCGGCTTGTGTATCACGATCCAGGCCATTCTGAATTCTAGGGACATACTTTTGATTGCCGGGGCCCATCGCAGCAGCCGAAACCATGACGGCGAGAAGCTAGACATGTGACATATTAGAGTCAATCGGTTGCCGTAGGACTTATGGAAAGCTGTACCTGGCTGATGCCCTGCGGCTCAGGGTTCTCGGCAATAGCATGGTAGTCGAATTTCTTGGCTTGATAACTGAGTTCGGGTATTTGGCGTCGGATGAACCGAAAGAGGCCTTTGTAGATGGCTTGTATATTTCGTTTGTTGCTCAAAGGTTTCGGTATACCCGAATTTGACTCGAGGTGCGAAGGGTCGAATTCAGGATCTAGCTCATGCAGAATGTGGCCAAGAGTTATTCCATTCGCCAACCCCTCGAGGGAATCGGCATCGCGATCTAGGTCGAAGACTCGATTAATCTGGAAGAGTTCAAATTAGCATGTCGTGACGAGGTATTTATCACACAAAGCGTGTCCAGATCCATAGATTGTCGACTCCGTAAGTACTGACAGCTTTCAGGAGTGCCGTCTGGGCACGCTGGTTGTAAGCCGGCATTTCGCTCGACATGTAGTTCAGAAGATGCTTATCGGCGTCTGAGATGTCCAGTGTTCATAACAGTCCAAAGCTATAGCATAGCGACTGCGAATACAGTTTTCGCGGCGAACGTAGCAAAGGTCTTTGGGTATTGAGTAGGAAGGCAGCCTGATACCTGGGCTGGATGCTTCATGCCCCCATAGGGGATATAGTGCATAATGAAGGCACTACTAGGGACCCGTATTGCCGTACTACTGTACTGCTACTACAGCAATACGGTACCTCTACTACCTCCATACTACTAGAGTACCTAGCATTAACATCATTAGAACGCTTGCTGTAACTAAGGCTAATGGACCAGGATCGCATTCTGGATGGGTGTATATAAACCACAGTGAACAAATTATCACAACTGCCCATACAGACTGATGGACATTCTAAATCTCCAGTACCTAATTATTTAGAGAATTTACTAGGGCGTACCAAGTAGCGTTTGATCTAATAATACCCCACGAACTAACTGCCGTCTCCACTAAACCCAATCTGCAGTCAAAGATCTGGTAGTAGGTACTAACACTCGGCGCCCTGCAGCCTCAAGCTGTTTTCAGCAGCCTGACCTACCTTCCTACACGTTACTCTACTCCTCTCTGAAACGATTCCCTACCACCATCGCCACAATCCTGCCGGTGGCTCACCACATACTCCCGCACGATTCTCGCTCGCTCTCAAGATTCGCTATTCCTATTTCTCTGTCTCTATTTACCAATGACAGCTCTCCCACACCAGCAGTCGACAATGTTTTCGCAGAGTTCATCATTCCTCCAACAACCTTCTCATGCCATTGGCAAGAAGCGGTCTCACGAGGAGGCTTCACATAATCTCGAGCCAGATGCATCACACTGCAATTCGCAACATAATGGGATGAATGGTGAGGGAATGGTGTTCGTTAAACCGCGTGCGGTTTCAATTGGTGAAACAGATAACCAATCTGGCGCTCAGCTTGACGATTTGATCACTGAACAGGACGGGAGTGGACTAGCAAATGGCCGGCCTCTGAGAAGCCACAAATCCCAAAGGCTTCTCGTTGGGAGCGACCACGCGTCTTCTAGTAAACCAACATCGGCGACCTCATTGCCAAACGCAGATGGCTCAGAAAACGGTATTAATGACGAGATAGTCATCGATCACTTCACACTACACCTTGGCATAGGCTGGAAAAGGATCAAGGATAGTGACCATGTCCAAGCGGCTGCTAGGGGATGGGCACGATTCATCGAGAATAACTATCCTCTCACTAACGTTAACGTCTTGCTGGAAAGCAAAGGCCTGCAGTCTTACCTCGTCGAGTCCACAGAAGGCTTCTATCTTTTTACAGAAGATTTGCGTCAAGCACAATTGGTCAGCCAAAATGCAACTAAAGCAATCCAGAATCTACAACAAAGCCCGCCAATATTCGACAGCATGAACCTTTTAGCTGCTGAAATATCAAATACGAGTAATAACAGTGTTAAAAATAATATATTTGATATATAGTTAAATATTTATTTTTAATAACATCAACGTTTTATTCAAAAGGCCTAATGACAACCTTCTCGCCAGATACGCCCTTTTTGTTCTTGGCCAAAGCAGCCTCCACACCGGCCAAACCACCTGGCACAATCACTGGTCGATTAGGTTCAAACAGGCCTCGGGCAATGTAACCGTCATCGCCGCCAAGATGCTTTGCGAACGGCTCACTCAAGTATCGAAGCGAGGGGACACTTCCAAGGCCGATGATCCTAGGGAGAGTTACTTTTGACTCGCCTTGGACGTCGAAGTTCTCGAAATCCAAGACTTCCGGTAGAACCACAACAATCTTGGTTACTGCCTCTTTCGTCGACTTGACTGCCTTCACAATGCCAACAGATAACTCCCTGGTGGATTTGGCGGAGATAGTATCAAGGATGAAGTCAAGAGGTACATTATCTCCAATGGTGGCAGCGAAATCGTCCGCCGTGGCCTCGCGACCGAGCACGACTGTTGCACCTAGCTTCCGAAGATAGTCTTTGTGCGCAGGACTCGAGTTGGTAATGATCTTGGAGAATCCAGACAGTCGTGCCATTTGGATCGCATATTGGCCCATGGAAGAGCTGCCGCCAATGATGACGATTGCGGCACCATTGCCGATTTTGTCCCCGCCTTTGTCCCACGGTACGGGCAATCCGTGGCCTGTCTTGTCGTAGTACGCCGTGAGTACTGCTAGACTCGCAAGCATAATTCCGCTGGCCTGGTCATCGCTAATGTTGCTAGGGGTCTTGGCCACCAGTGCTGCATCGATCTTTGCATACTGTTGGAATGTAGATGCATCGTAATTTCCAATTATTCCTTGGAAGAAAACTCTTTCTCCAACATTGAAGTCTGAGACGCCTGGCCCAATGGCCGCGATCTCGCCCGCGGCATCGGATCCCAGGACCGCGGGGAAGTCTGTAATGAAGACCTCGTGATCACGCATCTTCCAGTCTATGGGGTTGATAGATGTCGCAGTGATCTTGATAGCCACTTCACCAGACTGGAGAGTCGGCAGTGATCTATCGACGATGACATGCTCTTTACCTGGACTGGGCACCACAGCTGCCTTGAATGTTTCGGGAACACCCATGATGCTTATGGTATCTTCGGCGTGAAATACTCCGCTTCTATTCTACGTAACAGAGTGTAAGTCTGGCGTTTGCGTGCTGGAAGGCAATAGTTTTATTCTTTACTGAAAGTGAATTACTGGAAGTGAATTACTGAAAGTAAATTACTGACTTTAAATTACTGACTTTAAATTACCGAGAGTCAATTGCTGGAAGTAAGTGCAAGCTGTATTAGCTTTTATATATTATAGGTAATAGTATAAAAGTTAAGTTTATAAGTTATATGTGATAATCTGGTCCCTAGATCCTAGGTTATTATTATAGGGTAGGGGGATTCCTAAGGGATAAATGCATATGTTTATATTAGTAAATAGAATAGGATATTTAGTATTAAGTATATTGTATAAGTTATATAGTTAATAAATAAAATATAATTTATATTTAGTATTATTATAATATATTAATAACTAATTATTTAAGTTATTTATTAAGTATATTTTATTTAACTTATCTAATAAGTTATTTTATAAAAAGTACTATTACTTATTACTTTTTATAAATTATAAAGTATTAGTATATATTACTTTTATAAGAAAAGTACTTTTAGGTATTATTTTTTTTATTATTAGTTATTTTTTTTATAATTCTTTTAGAGTATATATTATTTATTTAATTTTAAAAATTTAAATTATAATATAATATTTTTTTAAAAGTTTTATTTTTAAAGTTTATTATATATTATATAATATTTTTTTATATTAATTATATATTATAATAATATATATTTTTTTATAAATAAAGTTTTTTATATATATAATATAATTAATTTTATATTTTTTATTAAAAAGTATTATAAAATAATTTTCTTAGTTAAATATATTTTAATTATAAGCTTTATTTTTTATTTATTATAATAATTTAGTTCCTAGATCTTAAGTTATTATTATAAAATAAGGAAATTCCTAAGAAATAAATATATATATTTATATTAGTAAATAAAATAAAATATTTTATTAAGTATATTATATAATTACTTAATTAGTAAATAAAATATAACTTATATTTAATATTATTATATTATTAATAACTAATTATTTAAGTTATTTAATAAATATATTTTATATTAACTTATATAATAAGTTATTTTATAAAAGTAATTATAAATAATATTACTTTTAATTATTTTTCTTTTATAAAGTAATTAAAAGTAATAGTATTTATTATTACTTTTTATAATTAGCTTATTAGCTTATACCTAATTTATAATATATACTATTATATTTATTAAGTTATAATATAATACTTTTCTTTTAAAAGTTTTATTTTTAAAGCTTATTATAATATTTTTTATTTTATATATTAGTATAATATAACTTTTTCTTTTTTTTATATATAAACCTTATAAATTATTTTCTTATATAAATATTTTCTTTCTTTTATATTACTTTTTTTTTCTTTATAATTATAAAAATATTTTTAATAAAATATATTATTTATAAAACTTATATTATATTATATTTTATTAAAAATAAGAAATATATTAATTTAGTTAAGGAAAAGTTAATTTCTTAAACTAAAGTAATAAATATTTTTATTATATTATATAATTATTATTTAAATATAAATATTAAAAGTATATACTATTATAATAATTATTTTCTTTATTACTAAAAGTATATTTAATTATATAAATTATATAATAATAAAATAATAATTACTTTTTATAAGTTTTTATATTTTTTAAATATAAGGTTTTTATTAATTATAATATTTTAATTATATATTTATAAAAAAAGTATATTAAATATAATAAAAAAAAGTATAAAACTAAGGTTATTTTACTAAAAATATTAAATTAGCTTTAGTAAATTTATTAATTAAAATAAAATATTAAAAAGTATAATAATAAAATATTTTATTATAATATAAAAGTATTAGATATATATAATAAGGTTAATTAGTAAAGTATAAAAATTATTTTCTTAAATAGCTTTTTTACTTTTAAGTTTTTTAACTTAAAAGTAATATTAAATTCTTTAAGTTTTAATAAATTTTTTTTACTAATATTTAAAAGTTTTTTAAATACTTAATAAGTTCTTAGTTATTTATATTATTATTATAGTTTTTTTATTTTACTAGGTATTTATATAGCTTATTTTAATTAAGTTTAAATTTAAAAATTTTTTTAATTTTATATTTTTTTTTCTTTTTTAATTATAATTTTATTATAAATAATTTTAATTATATTTTTATTTATTAAGGCTTTTTTTAATAATAAAATATAAAAAATTAAGTAAAATTTTTTTTTTTTAATATTTAAAATATTAAACTTATAATTAACTTTTTTAAATTTTTTTATAATTTTATATACTTTTATATTTTTATAATTTAGCTTATTATTTAATTATTAATTTTAATATTAGCTTATTTATTTTCTTATATATATTTATAAAAATAAATTATATTTTTTTTTAAAAAAATTAAATTTTTAAGCTTTATTTTATTAATATATTTTTATATTTATTAATATATAAGTTTAAGTTATATTTATAGTTTTTTTTATAATTTAATTATATTTTTTATTTTAATTATAACTTTTTTTATATTTTTATTAATATATAATAATTTATATATTTTTAATTTAAAATTATAATTAAAAAAA